GGACAGCTTCCCAGAACCTACAGGAAATATGCGCTTAGAATCATTGCTCAGGTCATTTAAAATGTTAAGAAAAAGGGGCAGGAGTGAGGAGTGAAGGAGAGGGATCTCCAAAAAGGGAGAGTCTGGAAGCAATTCCTCAGCATTTTAAGTCCTCTGCTATAAAAATAGGAGAATCATCTTGCTTTTGCTTTAACAGCAACAGAAAATAAGATTATGAATTTCAAATTTGGGAGTTGTGAGGGCACTTACATCTAGGGCAGATGGCTGATTTTGGTGATTTTGTCCCCCAGGGACATTTGACACTATCTGGAGACCATTTTGATTGTGACAACTGTGAGTGGAGGGCGTTATTGGCACCTCGTGGGTAGAGGCAACAAGTGATGCAATCATCCCACAACACATATAACAGTCCCCCACACAAAGAATTATCTGGCCTAGAATGTCAAAAGTTCCTAGGTTGAGAAACCTTGCTAGGGTGACCAATCATTTTGGATTGCCCAGGACTGCAGGGTTTCCTGGGACTGGAGACTTTCAGCACAAAAACCAGGATAGTTCTGGTTTATTGCAAATAAAAATGATAAACAAAATACATGATTGTGAACAGAGCACTTTCTGGCATTCAAGATATTGATCCAGGCTGGGAGTGGTGGCTCACCCCTGTAATCTCAGCATTTTGGGAGGCCAAAGTGGGTGGATCACTTGAGGTTAGGAGTTGGAGACCAGCGTGGCCAACATAGTGAAATCCCATCTCTATTAAAAATACAAAAATTAGCTGGGTGTGGTGGGGGCACCTGTAATCCCAGCTACTTGGAAGGCTGAGGCAGGAGCATCGCTTCAACTCAGGAGGTGGAGGTTGCAGTGAGATGAGTTCATGCCACTCCACTCCAGCCTGGGTGACAGAGCAAGACTGTCTCAGAAAAAAAAAAAAAAAAAAAGATACTGAAAGATACTGATATAAGTTATAAATAGATCTCTTATCTCTATGTCTACAGATAGATTCACAGCTCCATTAGAAATTAAAGTGGTGCCACCTATTTTGCCGGGCGCGGTGGCTCAAGCCTGTAATCCCAGCACTTTGGGAGGCCGAGGCGGGTGGATCACGAGGTCAAGAGATCGAGACCATCCTGGTCAACATGGTGAAACCCCGTCTCTACTAAAAATACTAAAAATTAGCTGGGCATGGTGGCACGTGCCTGTAATCCCAGCTACTCAGGAGGCTGAGGCAGGAGAATTGCCTGAACCCAGGAGGCGGAGGTTGCGGTGAGCCGAGATCGTGCCATTGCACTCCAGCCTGGGTAACAAGAGCGAAACTCCGTCTCAAAAAAAAAAAAAAAAAAAAAAGAAAAGAAATTAAAGTGGTGCCACCTATTTTAAGAGTTTACCCCATTTGGAGAGAACTTTTCTTAAATAAAAACTGCAATTCCAATAGTTTTTTCTTAATTATTTACTCGGTAGATGGGCATAAAGACTTATCCATAAAGAAGTATGCATTTGCCAAAATCAAGCTAATATTTAAAGGAGGGAGGTTGCTGAATATCAATTATACCTCAATAAACCTGACTTTAAACGTTTTCCCTATATTTTTAAAATAAGTAATCCCAATTCATAAATTAATCCTAGGTCTAATGTAGATTTATTTTTTAATAGACATATAGTTTAGATCACTTAGTAGGATACCTAAAGAATAAAAATTATGCTTTAAAAGTTTTATCTGTTTTTCAGGGAAAGAGTTTCTGTGCTGCAGGTAACAAAACACTCAGCTACATTAAGTAATAAGGAGATCTACGTCTCAGAAGTATTGCAACTTTGGTGCAGCAAGTCAGTGGTCTGGTTTGTTCCTGTGAATTTCTTGTGTGTTCATCCTCGAATTGGTAAGAAAACGGATGTAACAGTTCCAGACAATCATTTCTTAAGTCACTTTCTTAAGAGCAAGCAGAGTTCCTAACCCCCAACTGACTTCCCTTCCAATTTTACTGGTCAGAATTAGACCACATGCTCACTCTTTTTGTTGTTGTTATTCATGTGGTGAAAATGCCTAACATAACTTTATCGTCTTAACAATTTTTTTTTTTCTGAGACAGAGTCTAAACTCTGTTGCCCAAGCTGAGTGCAGTGGCAAGATCATAGCTCCCTGTAACCTGGAACTACTGGGCTCAAGGGATCCTCCTACCTCAGCCTCTCAAGTAGCTGTGACCACAGGCGTTTGCCACCATGCCTGGCTATTTTTTATTTTTATTTTTTTATTTTTTAGTAGAAATGAGATCTTGCTTTGTTTCCAAGGCTGGTCTCCAACTCCTGGGCTCAAGCGATCCTCCCTCTTTGGCCTCCCAAAGAACTGGGATTACAGGAGTGAGCCACCAAGCCTGGCCCTCTTAACAATTTTTAGTGTACAGTTCAATAATGTTAATGATACATACATTGTCATACAACAGATCTCTAGAAGATTTTCAGTACACATGACTGAAACTCTATACCCATTGAACAACATGGTGTTTCCCCTCCCCCAGCCCCTGGTGACCCCTATTCTACTTTCATTTCCATGAGTTTGATTACCTCAGATAGCTCATACAAGTAGTATCATCCAGCACTTGTCTTTTAGTGATTGGCTCATTTCACTTACCATAAGGTCCTCAAGGTTCATCCATGCTGTAGCATATGACAGAAATTCTTTTTGAGGCTAAGATTCCATTGTATGTATATAAGACATTTCTTTATCTATTCATTCACTGGTGGACATTTGAATCGCTTCTCCATCTTGGCTATTGTGAATAGTGCTGCATGAACATAGGAGTGCAGATACCTTTTCAAGACCTTGCTTTCAATTCTTTCAGATACATATGCAGTAGGAAATGGCTGGATCATATGGGAATTCTAATTTCAGTTTTTTTAGAAACCTCCACGCTACTTTCGATAGTGGTTGCCCATTTTATAATCCCATCAACAGTGTGAAAGTGTTTCCTCCAGGGGCTCACCAACACTTGCTATTTTCTGTTTTTTTGAAAGTAGCCATCCTAACATCATACTGGGTCTGAAATGATAACTCACTGTGGTATTGTGGTTTTGATTTGCATTTCCCTTGATGATTAGTGATGTTGAGCATCTTTTCACATGTGTAGTGGCCATTCATATATTTTCATTGGAAAAATGTCTATTTAAGTTCTGTGTCCATTTTTAGATTGGAGAGTTTTTGTTATCGAGTTGTAGGAATTCCTTATATATTCTGGATAGTACTTTTCTTCTCTGGTATATGGTTTCATATTTTCTTCCATTCTGAGTAGGTTGCCTTTCAATTTGTTTTTTGATTATCATGCTCATTGTTAAGTTAATCACCAGCAAGGAGGATGGGATTATTAGCTCTGTTAAAAAAAAAAAAAAATCTTCTGGGTGGAATGGTTGCCAGGAAATCTATCACTTTGGCAATAACAGGACCCATCTGCCCCAAGTTGGTATTTCACCTCAATTTTATATTGAGAGAAGAGTTCAGATTTTTTCAAATAGAAGTATGTAGACAGCTGTGATGTGAATTGACAGAACATTGGACAGAGCTTCAGATACCTGTGCTCTTTTTAGGACTCTTAGAAACTGCTAGCAGTGTTACCTTGTTCAATACTTAGCCTTTTGAAACTTTATCTGTAAAATCAAAGAGCAGTTTATTAATTCTAGCCTAAATCATGATGGTTTTTTAAGGTAGGGTTTATGAACCTTTCTAAAGTGTGGCATCAAATTGCTGGGTAGGTAGTTGTGCTCAGGTATGAATATGTGTGGATATTGGTTTGTAGGTGGGGGTGGGTATGTATGGGTGAAGGTGTGCATGTTTGTGTATGCAGGATTGTAGAAGGGGTAGGTGAGGGTGGGTAGGGCAGAGGTGTCTGTGTGTGCATGTATGTGCATGAGACTATAGATAAAGATGGATATGGGTATGTGAGGTCAAGGCTTGGTGTGGGAATGCAGAAGTATAAGAAGAATGAGTACTGAGGGTAGGTTGTACATGTGAATGTGGGTGGATACCAGATTGTAGGTGACAGTGGATGCGGGTAGAGCAAGAGGGAAAGGGGTGTGTGTGTGTGTTGGGTTATAAGTGAGGGCGTGGTGGGGTAAAGTGCAGAGTCAGCAAATGACAGGATTATTCTATCAAAAATACTCCCCATTTTACTGATTTATATTTTATATATAGGATATAAACTCACTGTTAGAGATGTTGCAAATATTTTTTTCTAGTGTGTCATTTATTTTTTTAATTGTGTTAAAAAGGTAGAATTGTGTTAAAGTAACAAATCTTATTTATTTGTTTTAATTAACAATACTCCTTTCTTTTCATGTTCAATGTAAAAAAAAACAACACTATAAACTACATGTAAGGAATAATTAAAAAAAAGGTTGCACATAAACTCAAAACCCAGTGATAATCTTAACAACTCAGTCTACAGTTCAAGTCTATAGTGGGAGAAATATGCAATGATGTCATTATATGTAACTGTGTACCTCTATATGGACCTAAATGCTCTGATATTCTATTGATGATAGGATAAATCAGTTACTAAGTTCCTGGGAGGTGATTTGCAACAGGGATCCATAATTTCTCTAAAACCTTGTCCCAGTAAGTCTAGTTTTAAGAATATGTCTAATAAAGCAATTCAAGATGTGAGCATAATTTTAACTATGATGCTTTTATTTCAGCATTGTGTGTAATAATAAAAGCTTAGTTACAATCTAAATAGTTTGGCATTGATTAACTAAAGTGTAAAAGGCTCATACGATTGAATACTCTGCAGTCATAAAAAATATATAATGAAATTAAAACATTCTTACATTTTGCAGTATTTATGTTTTAATCAAATTACCCTCAGCAATAAGCAGTCTTCTGCACCCAGTGGATACGAGTTTTAATGGGGATTGATGGTGATTTTAAAGCTCAAAGGCTTTTAAAGAAACGTGAACTTGAAAGAGGAACTTTGGTTAGTCACAGAGGCACAGGAGGAACATTTAAGCACTTGTGATAGCTGCTTCCAGAACCTGGAAGACAGGAAAAGAAAGGAGCATGCGAAGGCCCTAAAGATTACATTTCAAACTTTTCCTAGATTGCCTTTTGAAATTTTTCCTAGATGTGCTTTAAAATATCTATCCACAGCCTGAAACCAAGATACATTTCCCTAAGTTTTTGAGTTCAAATGACACTCTCTTTCCATTTAGTGGTGTGCTGGTAAATGTTTAACAAGTCCATTCGTGAGGACTCCACTAATTTGCATTTCCCTGATCATTAGTGATGTTGTGCATTTTAAACTATATCTGTTGGCCATTTGTACCTCTTCTTTTGAGAAGTGTCTATTCATGTCTTTTGCCTACTTTTTAATGAGATTGTTTTCTTGCTGTTGAATAGTTTGAGTTCCTTGTATATTCTGGGTATAGTCCCTTGTTGGATGAATAATTTTTCTAAATATTTTCTCCCATTTAACAAGTTATCTCTTTACTCTGTTGATTGTTTCCTTTGCTGTGCAGAAGTGTTTTATTTTGATATAACCCTATTTGTCTGTTTTTGGTTTTGTTGACTGATTTTTTGAGGTATTATTCACAAAATCTTTGACTAGACCAGTGTCCTGAAGTATTTCCCAAATGTTTTATCCTAGTAGTTTTATAGTTTCTGATCTTACATTTAATTATTTAGTCCATTTTGAGTTGGTTTTTTTAATATGGTAAGAGACAGGGATCCAGTTTCATTATTCTACATATGGACATGCAGTTTTTACAGCACCTTTTATTGAAGAGAGTGTCCTTTCCTTCGTTTATGGTGCCTTATCAAAAATCAGTTGATGGTGGATTTACGTCTGGGTTCTCTATTCTGTTCCATTGGTCTTTTTTGTCTGTTTTTATACCAATAGCATGCTGTTTTAGTTACTCTAGCCTTATAATGTATTTTGAAGTCAGGTTGTGTGATGCCTCCAGCTTTGTGAATTTATATTTAGAATTGTTATATCGTCTTGCCGAATTCATTTCTTTGTCATTATAAAACTTTGTCTTTTTTTTTTTTACTCTTTTTGACTTCACTTCTCTTTTATCTAATATAGTTATAGCTACTTCTGCTTGTTTTTGGTTTCTGTTTGCATGGAATATCTTTTCTCACCCCTTTATTTTCAGTCTATGTCTGTCTTTACAGGTGAGTTGAGTTTCTCATAGGCAGCATATAGTGGAGTCATGTTTTTTCAATCCATTTAGCCAGTCTCCATCTTTTAAGTGGAAAGTTTAATCCATTTACATTAAAGGTTACAATGGATATGTGAGGGCTTATTCCTGTCATTTTATTGTTCTCTGGTCATTTTGTATATTCTTTGTTCCTTTCTTACTCTCTCATTGTTTATCACTGTAGTTTGGTGGGTTTCTGTAGTGGTAACATTTGAGTCCTTTTTCTTATTTGTATGTTTGCTCTACCAGTGAGGTTTATACTTTTGTGTGTTTTCATTATGGCCAGTATTTTCCATTTTCTTCCAGGTGTAGGCCTCCCTTAAGCATTTCTTGCAGGACCAATCTAGTGGTGATTAATTCCCTCAGCTTTTGCTTATCTGGGAGAGACTTTATTTCTCCTTCACTTATGAAGTATAGCTTTGCTAAGTATAGTATCCTTGGCTATCAGTGTTTTCTTTTGCCACTTTAAATATGTCATCCCATTTTCTCCTGGTGTGTAAGTTTTTTGTTGAGAAATCCTCTGTTAATCTATAAGCAACTAAATGCTTTTTTCTCTTGCCATTTTTAGACTTCTCTCTGTCTTTGACATTTGAAAGTTTGACTATAGCATGTCATGAAGAAGACTTTCTTGAAGTATATCTATTTGGGTATTTCTGAACTTCTTATATCTGGATGTCTAAATCTGTTGTTAGACTTGGGAGGTTTTCAGTTATTATTTCATTAAATGTGTTTTCTATTCCTTTGGTCGTCTATTCATCTTCTGGAACACTGAAAACTTGAATATTTGGTCACTGTATGCTGTCCCTTATGCTTTGTTAATTCTTTTTATTTTTTTCTTTATTTTTGTCTGACTGGATTATTTCAAAAGATCTGTTTTCAAGTTCTGAAGGTCTTTATTCTGCTTGATAGAATCCATTGTTGAAGCTCTTGAAGGTACTTTTTACTTCATTTAATAAAATAAAATCCAGAATTTCCATTTGGCTATTATGATATCTATCTCTTTGGTAAACTTTTCATTCATATCCCTAATTATTTTTCTGATTTCATTATATTATTTATTTGTTTTCTCTTCTGTCTCATTGAACTTCTCTAGTATCATTATTTTGAATTATTTTTCAATGATTTTATAAATTTCTTTTTCATTGAAATCTGTTGCTGGATAATTAGTGTGTTCCTTGGTAGATGGCATATTTCTGGGAGAATATTTCCTTAACTGTTCATGCAATTCACAATGTAAGGGCTGTAGATGCAACACACTTTTAACTTAAATCTTTATTAACATATTCTCCAAAATCCACCTCTAAATCTAGAGTACACAATTTAAAAAAATACAGTAAATGAGTCTTTTACTTGCAGTGAAAACTGATTTCCATGGTGTAAATATTCCCTGACCATGGTGGAATAAACTACTAACTTGTCACAATTCAAACTACTAACATGGTGTGACTGAATCTGGAATTGAGAATGGACATCCAACACAACATTACACAGTACTCATGCAGAAACATCATTAAAAATTGATGCATTTGCAGTATTTATTATCTTGATTTTCAGGTAAGCTAACAAATTTCAAATTATACTATTGGCAGTGTTTCAAATAGGCTGGAAAAATGCCTGAAAATGGGCTCACTAGCCAGTATGAGCCAGCTCCCGTACCTGACTGTTGCAACACAAAGCCCTGCAGGTCTTCAGAAATCTCAGATAGAGGTAATAATTCTGAAGGAATGTCAAATATTTACCTGTACATGTGTTTAATACTGTTGTTATTGGTTCCTAGCTGCCTTAGGTAAGGTCATTCTTTCTAACAATGAAATAAATACATTTCATAGAAAGCCTCTCTAGGGCCTATTGGAAATCTGCCTACACTGTTGAGTATGTTTATAGTTGGTTACTGATTGCCAAAGGTCAAGAGAGCAATGTGATTCATCTGCTATTACAGTTTATACTTCTTGATTCTTCTATTTGGCCACCCTGCAAGAAAACAATCCTCTAAGAATCACCAGCTTCTACCTATAAGACTTCACCTCAAGATGCAGGCAAGTAAAAGACATGTACTGAATATTAGACTGTTCCATGCAACTCCAATGTTCTAATTCTACTAATCGGGAATAAGAAAGTTCCTAATCTTTGCACTTCTACTGACGCATTGGTTTTTAAGCTGAGATCAATTAATCCAGGTTTCTTTCTCAGCTTTGCCACTGATTTCTTAGTGCTATGAAAAGAGGCAAGTAACTTCAGAAAAAAAAAATTATATAAAGTAAGCGAGATCTTATTTTAATTAAGAAGCTCCCAATTTACATATAGCTGACTTATGTATAAGCTTCATGGAAATTTGGCTTTCTGGAAGTATCTACTCCACCTAGGCACCTAGGACTCAAGAACAGTCATTTTTCCTTCTCCACAGCTGCAATAATTTGGAATTTTTCTTCCCAAATTCCCTCCTCTCCCATGCTTGTTCAACAGACAGAAATTGTTCACCTTCCCTTCCTTTCTCTACAAGTCTGGCTTCTCTATTTATCTCTGGTTCTGTGTAAACTTTGTGACATCAGGACTGGCTGGATAAAGAGACTGAGTGAGATAGGAATGGGGATGGAGAATAACTAAGCCCTAGGCGCTCTCAGGTCCTTACCCTGCTCTACCCTGGCTCCAGAACTGCTTCTCTTTAGAACACTGAAGGCTTTAAAGAACCTTTGAGGGCTTGCCTGAGAACCAGGCATAAAGTGACTTTTATAGAAGAATATACCCAGGTTGCAAAAATTAGCTTCTAGAATTAACACCCCATAATCTACTAGTCCAGTATTCTTAGTAAGAGTCATCCTAAGACAACTCTGGTGCTGAACATGGGTGATTTTCTATCTGAGCATACAGGTCCCGTATTCAATATTCTGCTCTCTATGTGATCCCAGACATGGTAATAGTCACAAGCAGACGTTGGAGAGACTTGATAATCAATACAAGCCTCAGAAAACAACAAATCACAGCCAGTTCTTGTAGTCATTTATTAACCTACCCTTTAGCTACCCCTTTAGCCAAGCATATATACATCTTGTTCATCAAAAAAAAATTATCTGCACTAAAATTAACCCTTATATTGATAGTAATACCATGATATAGATATATATTATTTTAGACAATTGCCTTACATTTAATATTCTGATTTCTGAAATGCATTCTGCTCAGGAAAAGAGAAAACAATGTCTCCAAATTCTTGATCCAATAGAAATTACATAATCTTAAAAGGAAGAGCCCTGAGACAACAGTGTGAGGTTGAGAAAAGATTTGAAATGACAAGATGAGCAATTAATACTGGAATTGCTATTAGTCTGGTAACCTACAGCAAGTCACAGAGTCTCAGTTTCTTCATCTTGCAAAGTAGAAATACTCTAAGTAGTGTGGCTGGGCAAAGTTAAAGTAGGCCATCAGAAAATACTTTGTAGTCTATAGAGCGTTATCTCATCCAGGCCCCTACTCAAAGTACAAACCTACTCTTTAGCATCACTGACAGCCTCTTCTTGATCACCTCTAGTGACGGGGAACTCATCTTTGGAAGGTCATTTTGGACAGCCCTAATGACAGAGAAGTATATACATAAAGTGTGTGTGCATGCAAACATACACACACATATACATATACACACCTATGTGCATACATACACATATATGTATATAGGCATATATATTTAACCATAATAAATTCCTCCAACATCAGCTTCCTGGTTAATCCTGATCAGCAAGTCTAGCTCAGAGCTTCCTTCAGGGAAGGAACAGGTCAGTAAGAATCCCTTCTATAGGAACAGGAACATGGGAACATTTGTCACAGCTAATGACTGCCCTTGCTGTGTTTCGTTAATAACCAATTTATCTCGCTTATCACGCCTACTCCAGGCAAGCAGAATGAGTTTGCTTTCTCTGAGTTCCAGGAAGGAGGAAGCCAATGCAGATGAAAGGGTCCCTGCACTGTCCAAGAGGGTAGTACTAGCTACACAACTATTTCAATTTGTATTAAATTAAAATTTTAGTTCCTCATTTCACAGGCTCAGTAGCCATATATGATTAGTTACTGTGTGGCACAGAATCAAACATTTCTATTGTGACAGAAATTGTTTGAAGAACTGTGGTTGATGATTCATTATCACCTACAATGTGCCCGGGACCAGTTAAATTCTACATGTAATCACTAAAACATCAGTAGTGGAAGTTTCCTATCCTTTGAAAAAATTACATGATAGCATGATTAACTGAGTTCTTACTCTGGACAGTTCAAGAGAAAGGGTGGCTTTTATTCCCAAATGAATATCCTAGGCTTCACACTCTTTCCCAACAATCTTTAAAAAATGGAGATGGTATTAATTGGTTACCTATGTTGCTATCAAACACTCATTTCCACTCACATTTGGAGGTCTGAGTTTCTCTCGAAGCCAGGGGTCTTTAAATCATGAGGTGCCATACCCACATCAGAACTAAACAAAAGCTGAAACTTTAAATTGGCAAATGTTATTGCTTATTTCTTCCTGACAAGTGAAGACCTATGGTTAATTCAACCATAGGATATGGTGAAATAACTACAGTTACTGAGTTACACTATTTCTTTCACCACATATCTGAGTGAAGAAGTCCCACTTGGATACTATATGCAGAGCTTTATATTAACTTTTCTCCAGGAACAAGAAAGTGTCCATGCTGCCTTTTGTGTTGAAAACATAACCGGGGAAGGTGTACCACAAAGAATGGGATTCTCTCTGAAAGCATATTTAGCTACTGTCACAGCTTTAATTGGGAAGGGAGAAATATTTACATCTGGCTAAGTCTGCTCTTCAAGAGCTGGGGCCAGTTATTTGCCATCCCTCAGCCTTGGTCTTTTCCTCTGTAAAACAGCAGGATTGGAGTATATGATCAGAAAGGTTTCTGTAATTCCCATGACTTCCCAAAATAACTATGACCCACATCTTATCTATAAACCTCACATAGTTCTCTCCCTAACCTGTGCTACTATCACCACCCTCCTACGGTCTTTTTTTAGGATTTAGTAAATTGTTACGACAAATAACAGTACTCTACTCATAGGCTTTATCTTATAAGCCTGTATCCTGGATGAGTTTCCAGCAGTGGTTGGTAAACTACTGCCCAAAGGCCAAGTCTACCTCCTATTTCTGTACACCAAGGAGCTCAGAATAATATTTACATTTTTAAATGGCTGGAAAAATAAAATGAAGAATAATATTTCATGTCATATGAAACTCTTATGAAATTCAAATTTCTGTGTCTATAAAGTTGTATTGGAACCCAGCCACATCCATTGATTTATGTATTGTCTATGGATACTTGTGACCTACATAGCAGTCTTGAGTGGTATGTGGTCATACCACTATGACTACATAGTCTACATACCACTATGTATGTGGACTCTCTCATACAGAGACTGTATGGCCCACAGGCCTAAAATATTTACTATCTGGTAGCCGGGCACAGCAGCTCAGCCTGTAATCAATCCCAGCACTTTGGGAAGCCAAGGCAGGCAGATCACCTGAGGTCAGTAGTTCCGGGCCAACCTGGCCAACATGGTAAAACTTCGTCTCTACTAAAAATACACAAAAAAATTAGCTGGGCGTGGTGGCAGGTGCCTGTAATCCCAGCTACTTGGGAGGCTGAGGCAAAAGAATTGTTTGAACTGGGAATCGGAGGGTGTAGTCAGCCGAGATCGCACCACTACACTCCAACCTAGGTGACAGAGCAGGACTCCATCTCCAAAAAAAAAAAAAAAAAAAAAAAAAAAAATTTTTACTATCTGGCCCTTCACAAAGTTTGCTGCCTCTTGGTGTAGAGCACAGACTCTGGAGTCAGATGGCTTGGCAGCATACCTCAGCTCTGTTCTGTTCCTTCCCCTTCCTCAACTGTATAATGAGAATGATAATAGTACCTATTTCACGGGTTTTATTAAGACTAAGCAGATAAGTAAAATGCTCAGATGAGGATCTGGCATATTTTTATTATTCTATACATGTCTGATGTTATTATAAGTTGCCACAATTTTCCCCCACAAACTAAAGTATTAGCAGCTGACCAATTTGTTAGCAATAATTTTAAGAATTGAATGTGCAGCACTTCATTAAAATTCAGTTCTTTACAGTAGAGCAGTAGGAAGATGTCTGAGGACAAGTGATAAGACAATTCGTATAGCCATTTATCCACAAAGCTAATTCTGCATTACTTAAAAATGTGTTATATGCTTTATACTTTTTTCAAACTTGAGTCTTGATCTTACTCAACTTTTAAGTTCAGTCCTGACATCTATTCCTTATAGTTGGTTACTTCTTTCTGAAGAAACAGGCTTCCAAAGAGAGACCAGGGGGCCCATAAGATGTCTCATCTACCTTGATAATTGCTACCTTGATGACTGAAAACAGTAACCTGTGTCCTGAATCAAACACAAAAGAGTCAACAGGCAGTGTCGTTGCTACAACAGGGACTATTTGAATTTTTCTGATGATTTAGACCTTCGTTTTCAACAGGGCTTACAAGGGAAGTTACAGGAGAAAAACAATGAACCTAAGGAGGACAAAGCCCATGAATTTAGAAAGGAGGAAGCCGCTCCACTACAGCGAAAAAGCACATCACCACATTGGCGGGTGCTCCAATATTTGTGGAATGTTGATGACCCTTTAAATGTTTCTGTGCAACCTCTACAACAAACTACTGTGAATCTTGCTTATTAATGCGTTTCTCAGTATGTTAAAATTCAGGAAATCATTAAGTCTAGTTCTTAACAGTGAAAGGCAAGCAATTTTCTGTGTCACTGAAATTACACAAAACAAAACAAAAAGCTCACGCCTGAATTGCTTCAGACTGTTCAACTGGGAGAAAGAAAAATATGTGAAGTAAAGAAAAATAACCTACATTGAAGTTCCTATCTCTTATCTTCCGGAATACTTACCAGCACACTCTTAATTTGTTCTAAACTTTGCTTATATAAAAAGCAGCTGAATAATTTTAGGAAAATGGATTGTTTTGTCTGACTCATCCAGAAAATTCAAACAATTCATTTTCCTAAGAGCGATATGGGTGAGGCTGTCCTGCCGGGAAAATGTCCTCTGTCCTACTCAGGACACGAGCCACGCCCAGCTTAAACAAGCAACAAATTGTCCCCTAGGAAGGAAATACGCAGTTGTCGTTCAATGAATTTTGCAACCAACCGCAAGCCAAACTCTCCCTTGCACAGTTTGTCAGGTTAATGCCTGTTTTCCAAGGGCGCTTTTGTATTTTCACCTTTCAACGCCTCCTTCACGCGCCAGCACCCAAGAATTGCCCTAACACATTCAGCCCCTGCCTCGCGATAGTGCGCTCCGCTTATAAAGCTCCGTCCTGTCCAATAAAGTTGTTTAAAATAAGAAATGTGTCGGATAATAGTCAAGTCCGAAGGAAAAAAATAAAGAATTCCTGGCGTGGTGTATTGGTGTTGGAACGTGCCATTAGTTTCAGAGGGAGGACAGTCCCTGACGGGAATTACCTCGAAGGTCGTAGGCCACCGCTGGGCCTTCGGTCGTGCACGGCATTGGCACCGACATGGCAAACACCCGAGGAAGCGCGCAGGGCGGGGAGCCGCGGCCGCGCGCAGAGGCGGGAGCGGGAGGTGGCTGCGGGGCGCGTCCCCCCGGCCCTCGTGGCGCGCTCGGGGGCGGCCCCCTCGCGGCGGGGCGGGGCGGGGCGGGGCGGGGCGGGGCGGGGCGGGGCGGGCGGCGGCGAGGCCTGGCGCGCAGGGCGAGGGCGGTGGCGGCGCAGTCTGCACCATGTCGTACCCGGGGCATCCTGGCGCCGGCGGCGGGTACTACCCAGGCGGGGTAAGTGCTGACTGCGCGAGATCGCGGCCCAGGTGGCTCCGGGGCGCGAAGAGGCCACCTCGGAGATGCTGCAGCCAGCGGGGTGAGGCGCTGCTGGGCGGCTGCCCGGGCTCCTCCCGCCCCCAGGTTCTCCTTGCGCTCGCGGCCTCGCCCTAGGCCCCTGCGGTTCGGCCTCTCCCCTTGTCTCTCGCGTCCCTTCTCCTGGATGGCTCTGCGGGTCCAAGGTGCGGGTGGATGGGGACCCAAGAAGCCCACCTTGCGGCTTATCGGATACGCGGCGTGAAATCGTGTTAATGAGTGTTGGCTGACCCCCACCCCACCCCCGCCTCTTGGTTGCCTCCCAAAGCAACAACGTTGAGTCATTTTATTCTAGAATGATTCTGCGATCTACCTTCCTCCCTTAAAAAAAAAGAAAAAAAAAAAAAGTGTAGGGGGACAGAAAAAAAGGGAAAACCTGCTGGAGTAGGAGACCGCCTCGCGGGGCGTGTAGGATGTGCGTTGTCTTGGGAACTGTTTCCGAGACAGGCTGTTTCCTCGCCAACCACGAAATACAGCCCGGCCAGACTCCTTACTCTTCCCTGGGCTACACCCGTCTTAGGATGTTACTAACTCCAGCCTTCCGTCGTTCTTAAAACGCTTTTGAAATACCATAAAAGCTGTTAACAAAAGGAGAATTCCAAGCCCTGCCTTTCAGTGGCTTGCTTAGTTTGCACTCACCTCAGTAGCCTGAAGGTTAATAGGGATTTTAAAAGTTGCTTTACATATGCAGACATCACTTTCACAGCAACTCTGTAGGTCCAAGTAGCCAGTTTTTAAATTACGGGGTGAGAATGGAAGAGAGGAGTGGGATGGTGGCAGTTTGAGTGTGCCCGGTGGTGGGCAGGTGAGCCTTGTGAAGCGGGAGGTGGGGGCGAGGGGGGCGGGGGCAGGCGGCGGGCAGTTGTCTGGCCTTGCACAAAAGCCTTCAGTGGTGAAAGAAGAAAACTTGATTGGCAGAATGATGTCTATGTGTTTCCTGTTTCACAGTATGGAGGGGCTCCTGGAGGGCCTGCGTTTCCCGGACAAACTCAAGATCCGCTGTATGGTTACTTTGCTGCTGTAGCTGGACAGGTCAGCTTTTCCCTTTAATATTAAAGAGTGATTATAGTCTGCATTTGTGGTAGCTTTTGATCTAGTGACACAGCAAAGCGAACTTCTTCTCGAACTGAGTCCCCTTGCTACTGCAAAACAAAAAAAGAAAGAAGGAAAGTTGTTACTTTAGTTTTTTATTTCTGAATGTTCAGAACAAATTAGGACAAGGTGTTACTCATATTTATGTGAGTTCAGCTGGAAACCAAACTTGTGGTTGAATTAAAGGGTTCAGGGTAGTTTTAAGTGAAGAAATTCAAGATCTGGTAGATATAAACCCTTGTTTGTACAACTTAAAGACATAACCAGATTATAACAGACACTTTCTTGGGGTTGAACTTGATTGCTAATTGTTCACCCCCTTAGGAAAGATGGTAAAAACCCACCAGCTTCTAAATAAGAAAGTAACTGCTCTTCTTAGTATCAGGAAGTTAACCTTGTGAACAACGTAGTTTCTCTTTGATGCAGATGCTGTTACTAGGTCCGCCCCTCCATGTCCTTATTAGGTATTGTGGCCTGTTGACCTAGGGAAGCAGTTAAGGTCAGCTCCCCAAGACATTTCACTTGTCTGCATTCTGAGTTGCATGGCAGGTGCTGTCGTACATTGAGAGAGGATACTTCCCTAGCTCACAAGGTCACTGTGTGCAGTAAATACACTGTTGGTATAACCCAGACATGTCCAGACAGAGAGGATATTTGTTATGAATTCAACCTAGTCTTGTTTTGACCAAAAACTAGAAATAGCAAAATCTTATTGTGAAAACTGTAGAATCTTCCGGGATAAAAACCTAAGACCACTTTTTAAGGTAGCACTCTGAGAAATACAGCTAAAGAAATTGAATGGAAAATATAGTCTAAAACTGGAAGACTTTCCCTTAAGTATCTACTTAATCTGTTAATGATCCGTGTCTTTGAAACCTCAAGACATGGCAAACCTTAAGACTATAGCATTCTTAGATTGCCAGTGCCTCCAGGATGTAAGTGACCCCACCTGCTTAGCTTTCAGCAGCCCTGGCCTGTGTTCAGCATACCCATTGTCTTTCAAATTATTGATCCTGCTCTTCATTTATACCTTATAATACCCAGTGACTTGAGGATTTATGTATTTTGTTTTAAAATCCCTAAAAATCACATATATTTAGTTCTTTCCCAGTTCAGTCAATGATTGGGCACTGGGAATCTAACGGGGATCTTTCAGATGTATTCGTGCTCTGAAAAAAACCATTCACTGTATCATAAGAAAAGGTGACCAAGGAGGCCACTTTCTGTTTGAACCAAGCCTTCTATTCACTGGTGTCTGCTGTGTATCCTGCTCTCTCCATTCCCCTCAAAAAAAAAAAAAAAAAAAAAAAAAAAAATTAAATTAAATAAATAAAAGAAAAGAAAACAAGGAATTATGATTTTAAGCAACTTGCATAAATAAAAGGTTTACGTGTAGCAGTTTCCTAGCTCAGATTGAGAGAAAAGTAGTTGTCCAGACAAACTCTTTTTTTCATCATTAAATTACTTTTGAAAGTGGGTTAAGGAAAAGAATGCCCACTTTTGGAAGTCATTCCTTTTAATAAAAAGTCATGCATGATGATACTGATTTTGTTTGTTGTTATTGCTTCATTGAATGCTGAGGGTAAACAAATAACTTGAAAGTACAAATCACTATTATGATTCCTCTAATTTTTTTTAAAGGACGGGCAGATAGATGCTGATGAATTGCAGAGATGTCTGACACAGTCAGGCATTGCTGGAGGATACAAACGTAAGTTGACAGTCTCAAAGTTTGTCTAAAGGTACTCTTGTGTTTCCTATTTTAGCTGTTACTTCTGATTACAGCCCTCAAGGAAACAGCTTTTCTGATCCAGCAAAGTTTAGAATTCTAAAAGCTAAAATAGATTGCTATTTAAAAAGGTTGATTTGAATCACTCTAGGCAGGGCACAGTGGCTCAAACTTGTAATCCCAGCACTTCGGATGCCCAGGCTGGAGGATCGCTTGAGGCCTAGAGTTTTTGGCTGCAGTAATCTATGATTGTACCACTGCATTCCACCCTGAGCAATAGAGCAAGATTCTGTCTCTAAAATAATAATAATAATAAATTATTCCATTCTACCTGCCAATTCAGTGGATTTCTCAGATTTGGGTTTTGTGTACCTAGAACCAGTGAGACAGTTTAGGTGGCCTCCTTCACAGAGGACAAGGTAGGGTGCTGAAATGAAATCCACCAGGTCAGGTGTCATTAACTGGCATTTGGAACTGACATTTGCTGTTAATTGCCAAGAGCCTACTCTGCCCTGACCTGGTGGCACTAAGGCTTTGAGTGGCTGGTCCTGCACCCCTAGTCCCTGAGTGGCCTGTCCTGCACCCCTGGTCTCTGAGCTTTGGGCATGCTCCTGCTAACATAAGTGCTTGCCATGACATCCCTCAGGTCTTTCCTCTTCCACTTCATAGTGTGTGTTCAGGCTAAGTGGGAAGTACCCTTTCTACTTACTGGAGCTGCTGCTTCATAATTCAGCTCTTACCCCACCTTCCTGCCTTTTGAGCACTCTGCCATGAGCTGTAAGTAGTGAAATAATGCAAAATGGCTTCATCTCTGGCTGGGCACAGTGGCTCATACCTGTAATCCCAGCAACTTAGGAGGCTGAGGCGGGAGGATCACTTGAGCCCAAGAGTTCAAGACCAGCCTGAGCAACATAGTGAGACCTTGTGTCTACAGAAAATTTAAAAATTAGGCATGGTGGCATGCACCTGTGGTCCCAGCTACTCAGGAGGCTGAGGCAGGAGGATTACTTGAGGCCAGGAGGTAGAGGTTGCTGTGAGCCAAGATTGTGCCACTGCACTCCAGCCTGGGCAACAGCCTGTCTCAAAAATCCAAAAAAGTGCTAAATCCCAACTGGGGCTTCTCGTCATCCTACACACATGAAGTGGTTCCTCTTGAAATTAGATCATGAACATAATAGATTTCCAGGGCAGAGAATAATGTCTTAGTTCAAATACATTATCTGCCAACTTCTTTGCCAGTTGTTAATTGAGACAGAACATCAAATTGAAGACCCAGTTTCATAGCTGTAGATTAAAATGTTGAAAGCAGAATTCACACCTGTGAATTTACAGTGGCTTTAAACACACACACACACACTTTGACTTGGCATCTATTAGATGGCTGTCTCTGAACTCCTTGCATTTGTTTCCATCATCCTTTGTTTTATGTGACTTTGGTATCCTATTACTATTTCCTAATTAGAGGAATTAATACAAACAAAGAACCTTTCAAGTTCCTGTTATTTAGTCTAGTCCTATGCAAAAGGAGCACTTTCTGGTTTATGGGACTTTTTTTCTTTATTGTGTAGGCAGTACATTTAAATTGTTTCATTGTTAACCTCAAGCAGTACAGCTGTTAAACGAGGTAGGCCTACCTAATAGCAGGGTTTATCAAAGTGCAGTGAGATCCTGGCATGGCCTGTTACTCTACACCCTTTCAGTAGATGAGGTGTGGCAGATTTTAGCATCTGACTAACAATATGGGTTATGCTTAGAGAGCAGTCCTTTTAAAATTTCATTGAGAAAGCCACAATTAGTGATGGCCTTAGGTCAATGCATTAAAGAGAAGGCATTTTCTGAGTCATGGGACTATGTGATTGAATCATTTGCCTGCTCTCTCGCAGCTGTACTAAACCACAGAACCATCCTGCCTGTCAGGTCTCAGGATTTTGTAATACTGATATTATATGGCCGTTAGTCTTTTAAACCCAGCTTCCAAACCAAAAGGCACAGATCCAAATTGGTTAGGCAGGTGGGATACTCCAGCTCAGTGCCTATGGGCCCTTCTTAACCAGTTTAAAAGGAAGCAATCATACCTAGAGGTAGAGTTGGTGAAAGGTTGTGTTCCAGTCAGTAAGATTGTAATTCACCTTCTCTTTTTCCCTTGAATTTAGTTGTTCCTCTGTGGTAAGGTTGAGAGAAACAGCTGGAGGTAGGGCTTTCTTTCTAGATCCATTATATTGTATGTTTCTACAAGAAGAAAAGATGTTTGAGGCATTCTAGTAGAATGAACAGAAGAGAAGAAGAGTAAAGGTGAAATCATAGCAGTGATTCTTTGAAAATTATTAAAATTTACATCAATTTAAATTAATTTGTTTTTAAAATGTTTAATTTTAATTTATAGTTATATGTAGTTGCATTTATATTATAGCCATATAATATGTGATACTTATAATTTTAATTAATAATTTTAAATAATTAGAATTAACACCAATAAAAGCTATTTCTAGAGGAAAAATACTATGAACAAAATTGAGCAAGAGTTTTCCGTACCCAAACTTATTGGACGTCAGCGTTCTAGTTCGTTGGAACTATCTGTATTGATACATTTTTTGCTCATTCACCTTTGTTCACTGCCATCTCACTGCCCTTTCAGATTCTTCTCACACAAATGGCCAGATTCCCCACCTTCCTGACACACAGCTCTAACCTGTCCTTCTCCTCCTCAGTCATTACTAACGGCTTAGAAGGAACTCAAGGTCTTCTATAATGCAGCCTCCCTGACCAACCATATCTGCTCCCACTTTTTTTGTGCACTTTGCAGGTCATATTGAGCTTATGCTTTGCCTGTCCTGGGCCTTCTACTTCTCCCTTTGCTTACGCTGGTCCTTAGCTGTCACCAGATGCCCCCATCATTCTTGTCATTCAAGGCTTGGCTTAAATTCTGTCTTCTATGAAGTCTTTCTTGATTCTCCTACTAGGAAGGAGCCTCTCACTCCTTAATCCCTTCTGGTACTTTCTGGCACCTCCATTATAATTCGGCACTCTACCATGATTAGGGTTGTATGAGTATGTGGCTTATCTTTTCCTTAGACTGACAGCTAGGGCAGTGTGCAATTTCACATTTGTGTCTCTTAAAGTTCCTGTTACCCTGAACCCTGAACATAGTAAGTACTTAACAGCTGGCTGCTGAGTTAATAAATATGGAAAATTTTCTAAGCTAGAAAAATCAATAGCCCTGTAGCCTCACTGACATTTTGATTTAAGATTATACATTACTTTTTTGAGTATTAGTAAAGATCAGATCTTATTCACAAAACACATTCCTTCTTAGATGTCTGTCTAAGAGGGCTGTGCATATAAAATGCAGGGCTCTACAGCTTCCTGCGTGGGGGTGAGAATTCGGTGCCATCTATCCATTCATTCATCCAACCAGTACATTTTTAGTGGACACTTCCTATGAGCTAGGTGCTGGCTGTGCAGCCACAATCAATGCCTGGAAGTTGGGAAAAGCACTGGGAAAAGTAAGGAGAGAGGCTGTGGAATCACATAGGATGGGCACACAACCCAGACAGGAATCAGGAAAGTTTTCCTTGCAGAATTGATACGTAAGCTGAGCAGAAGTGAAATTCCAGCAGAAATGATGCTGACCATGAAGTGACTGGGATGGGAAGTTGTGTCATAGGCAGTTAGAACAGCATGTGCAGAAGACTCAGAAAGAGCATGGTTCAGTCAAAGGACAGAGAAATTCTCCATGAAGATAGGGGTTGAACGAGAGTAAGAGATGAGCCTGCCTGGCAAAATAAGTGTACAACCTTATATACCAGTTAAGGTGCTTGGACTTTATCCTGAAAGCAGTAGATCCCTGATACTGTGTTTTACAAAGGAGAGCACATAACCACCCCTGACTGTAGGGTAAAGACTAGTAAACTGGGCGACATGGGAGTAAAACAAGAGTCAGGGATGCCCACTAGGGAGCTGCTGGAGTCACACAGGTGAGCAAAATGCTAACTAAAGTGATAGTGGGGCTGGAGATGGACTCTACAGCTGTTTAGAAAGTGATTGATTATTTGGGGAGAGGGAATTGAGGAGGCTCCCAGGTTTCTGGCTTCAGTGACTGCAGAGTGGATGGGTATGCCATTCATTAAACAGAAACAGAGAAGCTATCTGCCTCACGGCCCCTTTAATACCTTGAATGTGAGCCCAACACAGTTGGCTCTGCCCTGTGGTTTTTTTGTCAAGCCCTCCAGAGCAGTAGTTCATAAACTTGAGCAGCATTGGCATCACCTGGAAAGCTTACAAAAACCAGATTGCTGGGTCCTGCCCCAGAGTTTCTCTTTCAGATGTCTGGAGTAAGCCCTGAGAATTTCACCTTTAACAAGTTTCCATGTGATGCTGGTTCAGGTTGAGCCAGTTGCTTTAACATGAATATATATCACCTTTATCATGAATATATATCACCTGTGCAATCCCATCCTCCTGAGTAGCTGCAATTACAGGCACATGCCACCACGCTCAGCTAATTTTTTTAATTTTTAGTAGAGACAGGGTTTCACCATGTTGGCCAGGTTGGTCTCAAACTCCTGACCTCAGGTGACTGCCTGTCTCGGCCTCCCAAAGTGCTGGGATTGCAAACCGATAAAATTCGCCTTCTTATTTTACTGGTGTAGGTTAAGGGCTGCAATTCTGCAGTTCTTCAAGCTCCTGGGTGATGCTAGTATGGCTGATCCAGGAATCACACTTTGAGTAGAATGGTGGTCTCAACCTTGCTGCTCACTAGAATCATCTGAAAAGCTTTTTAAAAATATGACTACCCAGCCGGGCGCGGTGGCTCAAGCCTGTAATCCCAGCACTTTGGGAGGCTGAGGCGGGTGGATCACGAGGTCAAGAGATCGAGACCATCTTGGTCAACATGGTGAAACCCCGTCTCTACTAAAAATACAAAAAATTAGCTGGGCATGGTGGCGCGTGCCTGTAATCCCAGCTACTCAGGAGGCTGAGGCAGGAGAATTGCCTGAACCTGGGAGGCGGAGGTTGCGGTGAGCCAAGATCGCGCCATTGCACTCCAGCCTGGGTAACAAGAGTGAAACTCCGTCTCAAAAAAAAAAAAAAAAAAAAATATGACTACCCAGGTCCCACACTCAGAGTTCCTGATGTAATTGTTCTGTGGTGCAGCCCAGGTATCAGAATCTTTTAAAGCTTTGATTCTGTTAAGCACCAGGGTTGAGAACTACAGCTGCAGATTAGAGGGACTTCATACTGCCACACAACTTAAAAGTCAGAATGAAGAATCTCCCCAGCTCTTTCCCAAAAGTGTAAATGTGCTTCCTCCTCCTCTCACCTCAGAGAATATTATCTGTGGATCAGTGGAGATTGAAATAGAAACAGTAGAATGAAAGCAGAATGGAATTGAAAGTAGAAATAGTCACCAATCTTTATTTCCAGTAAAGCTCATGCCAAACACAGGAATCTCTTAAATGTGTAAAACCTAGTTTGCACTGTTGGGAGACATTACAGTCATTAGTTAGCTCAGTTATGTTTTAATTTCATTTTGGTTAGAGAAAAATTATGAAGCTAGAAAGAGCTGTAAAAAATGTTAGCTCTGTGTGTTAACAAACTTGCAGAATTCATACCAGCTTTTCCCACATGACCCTGGTCACTTCTCCCATTTAGCCTTATAGTTTCTTTGTACCTTTGCAGTTTCATCAGTCATTAAATCCCATTAATACCATGTAAGATGTAAAAGGTTGTTTTAAATTTCCTATTTCTTAGATTACCAGTAACCTCACCGATTGCATGTGCTCTGGTTTAGTTACGTAAGTGAGGTACCAAAATGCCCTCAGAACAGTCCTAAACTGTAGCTAAGTTAAAAAGGCTTCTGAACAGTGACCACCACTGAATTGGTCATGGGATCTTATCCAGAGTGCTCTGATTTAACACATAATTCTAACAAGCATATTTACCTGGTTTCATATATAAGCTAAGAGGTCATAGACGACTTGAGGTAGGAAGTTTCTGTTCAGTACCTGACGTTGAAGGGAAAATAGAAAAAGAAGTAATCAGACACAGAATCCGCAAACTTAACAATTTATAGTCACTTATGAGCAGGAACAAAACAACCCTACCTTCCCACCCAACATGTTCGATATAATACATTATGGTTTGTTATGGTGACTTGAACTCACCATATTACAGTTTCAAAGCACGAAAGTATGAACAGTACACTATGTAATCCTTATTTATTTATTTATTTATTTATTTATTGAGACAGTCTTGCACCCAGGCTGGAGGTCTTGCATCCAGGCTGGAGTGCAATGGCACCATCTTGCTCACTGTAACCTCCTCCTGCCAGGTGCAAGCAATTCCCCTGCCTTAGCCTCCTGAGTAGCTGGGATTACAGGTGTGTGCCACCACACCTGGCTAATTTTTGTATTTTTAGTAGAGATGGAGTTTTACCATGTTGGCCAGGCTGGTTTCAAAGTCCTGACCTCAGGTGATCATCCTGTCTCAGCTTCCCAAAGTACTGGGATTACAGGCATGAGCCACTGCACCTTGCCTGTATAATACTTTTTAAAAAGAATTCTATCAAAGTGATTTAAATCAGATTTAGGTACTAGTGAAAAATCCTCTTTATGGAGAAAAAGCTACTTTGAAGTTCCATATGATTAGTCACACATAAATTGAGTAGCATGTAAACATAAAAGTATATAATAATCATTTTTTAATTAATTTGAATGTATCCAGTGTAATATGAATTTTTGGAATTGTGTTAATATGTGTGTACTTTTCTTGACAGCTTTTAACCTGGAGACTTGTCGGCTTATGGTTTCAATGCTGGATGTATCCTTTACCTTGATTTTTGTCCAGAATAATTTTTTTTTAATTCTAAAGGAATTCATGTTAGAATTAATATTTAGTAAACACAAAGTAATGAATGATCACTAAAAAGCTTTCTGAAATAATTAGCTTCTATTACAGGATGTAATTTGGTATGAATAAAGGAAGAAAATAAATTTAGTAAACAGAATGTTGTTCAGAAATTCAAAGAAACATCAAAGTATTATAGAACAAGTATAGAGTCCAGAGTGTCAGGAAAGCCTTTTTATTCTTTAACACTGATTGCTCTGCAAGTGATGGAATTTTTCACATCCCAGTTGTTGGACGGAGTTTAGCTACTGCTGATCATCCAATGCATTCCATCCCACCTCAATTGTCTGGGAGGACTAAACAAGGGAATATTAGTACCAGAAATGACACTAGGACAGAAGGGCAAACAGCATACCCTGAAGCAGGCAGAAAGTACAGCCTAGTTCCACTGACAAGACGTCTTTTTATATGTGGCTCACAATGGCAACACTGTTTCCTTATCATCAGGTCATGTAAGTTATCTTTTTCCCATAGTAAAAATAGGTACTTGAGGTTTTTCTCCATAGCCACTTTTTATTATATTTTTAAATCATGAATCTTACATCATACCAAGAATAATCTACAATAACTTTTGTAGCCATTTTAGTGGAAAGAATATTGAATTCTTCTTAAACTTGATCTTTCATTTAATCCTTAGAAAATATTACAAAATACAGCTCTGATCCTTGATTCTAGTTCAGAGAGATATGTCTGGCACAATGGGTTTCAATGAATTTAAAGAACTCTGGGCTGTACTGAATGGCTGGAGACAACATTTTATCAGTTTTGACACTGATAGGAGTGGCACAGTAGATCCACAAGAATTGCAGAAGGCCCTGACAACAATGGGTGGGTATGGCTTACTAGAACTCTCCATTCATCAGTAGAAGTAAGTTGTTTTTTATTTTTAAAACTAGGCTGGGTGCGGTGACTCACGCTTATAATCCCAGCACTTTGGGAGGCCAAGGTGGGTGGATTGCCTGAGCTCAGGAGTTTGAGACCAGCCTTGGCAACACGATGAAACCCCATCTCTACTAAAATACAAAAAAATTAGCCAGGCATGGCAGCATGCTCCTGTAATCCCAGCTACTCTGAAGGCTGAAACAGGAGAAGCGCTTGAAAACCTGAGAGGTGGAGGTTGCAGTGAGCCGAGATTGCGCCACTGCACTCCAGTCTGGGCAACAGAGTGAGACTCCCTCTCACAAACAACGAAATAAATAAATTGCTATCTGAAGGCAGTTTCTGTTTTCTTAGTAATTGTGTGTATTCATAATTAAGTTCGAAGTCTTATTTTATTTTTTAATGGGCTTTTGCAATCCTTTAACCTTTTTACTGGATGACTTCTTTCTTTTAGGATTTAGGTTGAGTCCCCAGGCCGTGAATTCAATTGCAAAACGGTATAGCACCAATGGAAAGATCACCTTTGATGACTACATTGCCTGCTGCGTCAAACTGAGGGCTCTTACAGGTGAGTTCCATGAGGTCATGTCATCACCGCAAGCCAAGACAGTTTTCATGACATTTCATCTCTCAGTGCTTCTCAACTTTTATTCTTCCCCAATTTTTTTCTTGCTTTAGTAGTTTTTTCAGATTACTATTAAGCATATCTAGCAGAATATTTTTTTTTTCCAGAACTTATTTTGGATTAGTAAGTGGTCTGCCATTAAAATAAATAAATAAATTTTACTAAAATGTTCTAAAACATAATCAGCTAACTTGGGCATTTTTTATCAGATTATGAGGAATTTTTCCCTAGAATGTGGAATATTTGGAAAGAGTGAAAGTGAAGCCTTTTCTACAGGGCAAAGCTGAAATGGCGGAGAAACTGATCACAGCACATTTGTTGTATCAGGGACTCTCTGCTTTTTAAGCAGTATCTTTGTTATTAAGAAGCTAGAAATTCTTCCTGTAAGTAGCAATGCCTGCTTTTATCACAATTAAGTAATGGCCATGGAAGTTGCACAGCTTTTACTGACTTTGGGTAAGATATTTTCTCCAGATCCACATTGAAAAAGACAGCTGGCCAACTTCTGTCTGTTACTTTGTTGCATATCAAATCTTTTACTATTCATATAGTTGGCTTCTTTGCTTTGGTCTTTGTTTATGTTAATTGGTTGCACAATTTAAATGTTATTATAGTGTTGAACACAATGCCAAAACAATTAACTTTTTTTTTTTTTAGATGAAGTCTCGCTCTTGTCTCCCAGGCTGGAGTGCAATGGCATGATCTTGGCTCACTGCAACCTCCGCCTCCTGTGTTCAAGCGATTCTCCTGCCTCAGCTTCCCTAGTAGCTGGGATTACAGGCACTTGCCACCATGCCCAGCTAATTTTTGTATTTTTAGTAGAGACAGGGTTTCACCATGTTGGCTAGGCTGGTCTCAAACTCCTGACCTGAGGTGATCTGCTCACCGTGACCTCCCAAAGTACTGGTATTACAGGCATGAGCCACCATGCCTGGCCCAAAATAATTCTTTTATGATTTTAGAAAAACCATTTTAAAAACCATGAATTTTACTGTGTTGTTTTACAGACAGCTTTCGAAGACGGGATACTGCTCAGCAAGGTGTTGTGAATTTCCCATATGATGATGTAAGTCTTAGAAATTAAGAGATATAGTAAATGAAAATGATGAAGTAGATGAAAAAGGGATACACCAGATGTGATCCCTTTGAAATTAGCTGTTAAGAACATCTTAAGGATGCCAGAGAAATAAGGGATTCAAGGGTTACATAGAAAGAGTTATACAAAATTTATTAATTTCATGTATTAGTCTTAACTATAGTTAGACCATGGTTTGATTTGCATTCAAAGACCCAGCTTGTTGCATTTATTAACTGGGTCACTTAAGCAGGTTTCTTAATTGCTGTGACACTATATGAATAAAGTAGATACAATAGCAATGCCTTTTTCACTGAGCTGTTGTAAGATTTCTATTAGAAATGCCCTTGAAAAACACTATGCAGATAAACTATCTGCTTTTGTCTTCTATAAAAAAATCATGTCAGTCATTGAGAACCGAAAACAGCTCAAAGCTATGCTTTGCATTGAGGGCATAAGGCAGGCACCAACTTAAATCACAATTTAAAACAAGTTATTTACTAAACAGCCACACTAAATGAGGGTAGGGCAAGGCCATGTAACCAGTGCAAACATAACCAAGTGTGATGTTATTAGCTGGATGTGTATAACAAGGCTGGGGAGATTGATTACTTGTTTCTTCAGTTTTGGCTCAGCCATTGATTTAAAAAAAAAAAAAAACTTGTTAGAATTGAAATCAGTGTAATCACTGAATATTCTAAAGTGTTTCTCCATTACAAAATATAAGATGCATATATTTTTGGTTTAGCAGCTGCTGCAGTTATTAGTAAACTAATACACTTTTAAAAGCTTAGTATGTTTGTGTAAATATGCTTATTTTACTACTTAAGGGTGTGTTCTCTTGAGCATGCATAAACTTCTTAGTTCACAGTCCCCTTGCTCTTTCTAAAGATCAGGAGGCTGCCTGGGGGATGGAAGGACCATGGGCTTTGGCTTCAGAGGGGCTACTTAAAAGATTTCTAAACATTCTGATCCTTATTTTCCTTTTCTCTAAAATAGGGATAATCACATTGACCTTGTGATAGAGCTGCAAGCGTTAGCAGTGCACAGTACCTTACCAGTGTAGGGAACACCAATAGAGTAGAATCTATTGCTTTGTGTTTAGTGTGGAAGCCAACATGTCACAGCAAATACCGATATTGCTAATCTTCGGTGTCTGAAGGGTTAGCTGTTCTGTTTCTGTGCATACATATACTTGCATGCTAGGATTTATTTGAATAAAGCAGATTTTAAGGGACTAAACTGTTTAAAGGTGCTCCATTAGAGTAATACCGTGAAGTTTGGAAATCCCCACATGATACAAAAGTATAAACTCCAGTTATTTGTGTTTGTGGTAGGTATCTTTGACTATGACCATTTCTGGAGTCTTAGATATTATTAAATAATATTTGAATAATTATTTAAATTAGTTATCCATTGAAGTAGTAGTATCTGCTTTCTGTAAGAAGTTTTGGTGTGAGAAACCCTATGGATTTTACATTTGACCGCTTCTCTAAAAAAAGGAAACTTTTCCATCTGTCATTTAGTGGGGGTTGTTTTACTCATGTTCACATTAGAAAACCCAATGTAAGCTGCCAGAAATAGGCTATGCTGTGTAAGTGTTTTGAGGTCTGTTGTATAATGCTGATTTTTCTTTCAGTTCATCCAATGTGTCATGAGTGTTTAAATCAAGAGGAAGCTGAATGAACATAATTGACATTCCAACTGGAGCTCTCCTTCGCTTGTCCTCTCTGCCTTCAGTAATATGTGTAAACTTACATCACGACTTTTCAACAGCTGTTTTAAAGTTTATTACTTTATGTACAACTGAAGTTTTATTTTTAGTTTTGATAATAAATTCTTTGGAACTTTAATAAGATCTAGTCTGTTACACCATTTAGAACTTCCTTGAGCCACTGTCAGTCATGCCTTATTTTCTTGCTAAAACTCTCTGTAAATTTAAGTGTGCAAAATGTTTAAATCACATTATTTATTTTTCATTGAGATACTAAAAACTGTTAATCAGACTATAACTGCCATCTTTCCTCTCCTAGAAAGACTCCAAACATAAAATCTTATGTAAATAACACAGACCCAGTTGGGTGCAAAAAAAAAAACAACAAAAAAGGTAATCAGGCCGGGCGCGGTGGCTCAAGCCTGTAATCCCAGCACTTTGGGAGGCCAAGGCGGGTGGATCACGAGGTCAAGAGATCGAGACCATCCTGGTCAACATGGTGAAACCCCGTCTCTACTAAAAATACTAAAAATTAGCTGGGCATGGTGGCGTGTGCCTGTAATCCCAGCTACTCAGGAGGCTGAGGCAGGAGAATTGCCTGAACTCAGGAGGCGGAGGTTGTGGTGAGCCGAGATCGTGCCATTGCACTCCAGCCTGGGCAACAAGAGCGAAACTTCGTCTCAAAAAAAAAAAAAAAAAAGGTAATCCAATAATCCATGTCAGGATTCATCTTAGTAGAAATTTAGCACAGGCCCTTTAAAACCTGTTCAATAATTTAATTGGCAAATACTAACTATCTGTCACCAAGTCCCTTTTGTCATCATTTAAACCTTTGTTAACTATACTTAAAAATCTTGTATATTATAAGATTAACTATATAAAAAGAAAATTGATAGAAAAAGACTAAGGGAATATATGAAAACCTTAACAATGTTTCTTTTGGTTAATGGAATTCTAGATGACTTTAATTTTCTTTATATATTTCAGTATTTTTCAGATTTTCTATATGCTTTCCTTTTTAAATCAGATTTTAGTTTTTAAAATACTGATACATCCATTTTGATATGCTATGTGTTCACACTTTAAAAAATATACATAGCAGAGTATTGGAAAGCATGTCCCAAAACACTGATCTGGCTACCACTGGGAGTCAGAATCATGAGTTCATCTTCTCCCTTCTTACTGTTTTTCCAATATTCTCCAATAAGCAGGTACTACATTTGTAATGGAATAAATTTTTTGAAAAAAATTTAAGCTGTATGCTTTCAAGGAAGATCTGAATTCTAATGCTGGCTTGTGCCTCTTACTATGTGGTTTGATCATTATAGATAATACCAATACCAAGTTTCAGTTTCCCCATCTTTGAAAAGAAGATAATATGTTACCTCTTGGGGGTAGCTCTGAATATGAAGTGTGTTGATACAAGAAGCACTAACAATGTTTCTGTTTCTTAAATTTAAAACTGGCCTGGTTTGCCCTTTTTTTTTTTTTTTTAATCAAGAGAGCTTAACAGATAAAAAATGAAATTAGTCTATTTTCTACTTGCCAGCAGAGTGTCTGTCTTAATTTAGGATGCAGTATGAGAGTTAGTTACCATTTAACTGAACAATTAGTTGTCAACCAATGAAAATAAAACATTTTCTTTAAGCATCTTTAGCCTCATTTCACTATTACTTTTTAAAATATTGTTAAAGTATATATTCATTCATTTAATATTTATTAAAACCTAACATGTAATTATGGCAAGTTAGCCCAGGTAACATAACAGAATATGAAGCAGCCTGCTATATATTACATGGTGACTATAGATTTCATCTCCATATATTGTTTGTGAGGCTACAGAGCTCTGCTTGAGCCTGAGCTGTCTAGAAAAGGGCTAAAAAGAGGCTCAGAGGATTAGGAGGCAGGTAGCTCACCTTCAGTGTCCCAGCACCTGCTGTTTGGTTTCAACTTACCAGGGTCCTCTGAGGAAATCATAGTCTAAGTAAATGGTAATTTTCTGGTTGAGGATAAGCATTAGGGAAGAAGGCCCTTGCTGACCCAAGGTTACAGGCCATAACTGAACAAATCCCAAGGTATGCTTCATCAGTTGTGGTTCTGAATTGGCTTTGGGGTGAATGCTAAAGTATTACAAAACCATGCCTCTGACATTATATTAGTTTGTTCCCACACTGCTATAAAGATACTACCCAAGACTGTGTAATTTATAAAGGAAGGAGGTTTTAACTCACAGTTCCACATGGCTGGGGAGGCCTCAGGAAACACAATCATGGTGGAGGGGAAGCAGGCACCTTCTTCACAAGTCGGCAGGAGAGAGAAATGCAAGCAGGGGGAATGGCAAATGCTTATAAAGTCATCAGATCTTATGAGAACTCACCATCACAAGAACATCATGGGGGAAACTGCCCCCATGATCCAATTACCTCCCCTCGACTTGGGGCTTACAGGTACCTCCATCAACACATGGGGATTACAATTTGAGATAGAGATTTTGGTGGGGACACAGAGCCAAACCATATCAGACATCATTCAGTTAATTTCATTTTAATTATTAATACCTCAAAATGAGTATCTCCTCCCCTTCTGCTTTCAGCCATTCTTTCCAAAAGCATGGAGCATAGTCTTCAGGATGTCCCTGTAGTTAGAGAGTTTCCTTCCCCTTGACAAATTTGATGGATTCATCTCCTTTCTTTAATTACAGCCAGTCTTGGTTACAAGTGAATCTCCTGTTGCCTTATTTCTATTTTATGTTGGATTGTGTTTCATTCCTTGTATACCTCTAGTGCAGCCTCACCCACTACTTTAAAATTATTTACTGGTCTGTTTACTTTTTCTTAAAGCATCTAGTTGGAGCGTGGTAGAGCTGTAAGCTCAAGCTTGATTACTTCAACTATTTGGAGAATTAAGCTCCTCAAATCACTCTCACTTAGGATTTAATTTTATTTTGGAGATAGATATGTGCTTTACTCATGTGCTTCAAAAGATCCACGATTTATGAAGTAGTTTTAATGCATTTCATGCACTTCCATAGGAATGTGGCTGCCAGAGACCCGGTTCTTCCTGGGGATAGTTGGCGTAGATTTGCACTACAGCAGTCATATTAAATTAAAGCTCTTGCTTCCATGGAGCCAAATTGGAGTTTAGACTCTCCTTCAGCATGATGTTCCCAGTGGTACCATCAGTCCATGAGATGGCATGTGGCTAAAACTTCTGCCATCTGTGCACTAGACTTTGCTTTGGCTCAGCTGAGTGTGTTACTATTTCAGTGTTCATCTAAATGAATTATTATATGACTAAAATATAAATACAAGAAATTGAGCTATATGTAATCATCATAAACTTTTAAAATCTCATAATAAATGTACAAACCCTTCATCAGTGACTTCCTTCTCTTTTTCTCACATTAAAACAGTACCTTGACTACTTATAACTTATTTCCTATGCAGCCTGTGAGCTGATGGCAAGGACCCTACAAATGCCAGAATAATGACTGGTAAGTAAAATGGCTGCCTGGAAGATGAAAAGGCCAGGGTGGAACAGTTTTTAGGCAATGAACTCATGAAACTAAACTGAGCCCATCCCAGGCTCAGTGCTTTAGAATCCAGCACAGGTGAACTTACTCATAAGAGGCTAAGCCCTAAGGTGATGCAGATCACCTTAGTGGATATATATATCACTTATATATATGTAATATGTAATATATATGTAACATATATATTATAAGACAGGAAAATACCTTTTCTTCATAAACTCTGCAAGTTTATTGAACACACTGCCTGGTCCACAGGCTAGCATGTAGGAAATTGATCCTCCTTAGGGTGAGGGAGGACATGCTTATGAGGAGAGGCAAATAGATAAATAAGTGAACTACTTCTGCCCCCCAGATGAGGAAACTGCAATAAGTCAAGCACTCAGGCTTTGCTAAAGGGTATTTCTCATCATGTTAGTCATCCCTTCCGGGACACTGGTGAACAAAAAAAGAAACAATCCCTTGACTGTACCCCTAACAAAGCTTCTGAAAGAGAAAATGGAAGGAAATAAAGAGAAAAGAGCCGTGCATCAAAATAACATAAATCTTTTATTGAAAGTCACTTTACTGATGTTACAATGAGAGTAACATAGAAAACTGTGGTATCTTATTAGCTTCAGAAGTGAATACTAATAAAACTGTGCCAGAAATTTGAACCTTAAGTTACAGTGACCTTTAAAAACATCAAGATTTTGTTTACCTACAATGTAAGAACAATTTTATAACTTGAACAGCCATAAAACAAATCACACTTGCTCAGAAAAGCAGTTGCCATATACATTCCCATTGGTGTTTGCCAGAACCCCAGGAATTATTAAAATAGCTTAACGAATCTGAAGTGCAGAGTAGCAGAGAAATGTTGAAATAATGCAATCTAAGTATATACACGATTACCTGATTACCAAAGGTGAAACCATGCTGCTATTAACAGCTCCCCATGGGGTGGCTTCCACCATCTGTAGATGGACTTCACCTGTCAAAGGTGATAAACGTGGAAAACACTAGTGCTGACCTACTGCTGGCTAACATGTAAGCTACTATTTTTAGGTAAAACACCCAGTTTCTCAAAGAAGTCTTTTGCAGGTGCTGGGGAGGGGCAAGTCTTCCAGCAAGTTAAAAAAGGAGTGCATGCTTAGTTATCCTGAATAAACCATTTTTTAAGCACTTTTGCAGTTAGTGTAAAAAAAAAAAAAGTTTTTCTATACAAAACAAAGGTGTTGGGTCATTTTTGCCCTTTAAAAAGACTGGTTGTAGAATCAGAGTTTGATTTTGTGCTGGATTGGAAAAGAAAAGTGGGGTTTCTAATCAGGCAGTGATACACATGTATAGTTTAGCAGGAACTTTTGTATTATTACTAAGAATTAATTCATATCAGCTGTTTCTGCATTGTTACCTTGCACAATTTAGCACCGCTATATTTAAAGATTGGGGTTATTAGCAGCATTTTAGAGCTTAACCATCCAACACAAATCGCAGCCTGAAAATTCATAAAATAATAGGCTAAGCTCTAAAATGAATGTAGATCAGCATATTATACATTTTTTTACAAGAAAGAAAAATACCTTTTCTTCATAAACTCTGAAATTTTATTGATGATTCTGTATGTGCATTAATTTTAGTCTCATTGTATGCCTTTTTGTAAAACAAAACCAAAAACACACATAGTGGGTGGTACTGATTTCAAGGATACTTAAAAACATGAAATGATGATTACCTGATCAAACGCCTGCCAGCCTTGAAGCCTCCCCATATGATACAGGTTCTATGAACAACGCCAACAGGGATGCGTCAGGCGGGAGTGACCAGTCTATTATGGACTGGACCACAAAGTATTCACAGAGCCAACACAACTGCCAAGCATGTCTGTCTTAGGCATCCAGCACCTCTCTTCCCACCACACCCCTTGTGACAATGTGTGCTCTCCTGCACATATGGCTTCAGCAATTTTCCTGTGGATTTCCAATCTGTGTCTATGCCAGGACTAAATGCCCCATAGTCTCCCAAAGTTCACTGCTTCTTATCTCCTCCCCATCTTGAAATTCACACTCTTTGGACTTCCTAAATTGAATAAGCTGCTAGTGTGCCAGTGGGTGAAGATAAAGATGACTGCCACCTTTACTCCCTAGGGCATCTTAGGGTTTTCCCAAGTGACAACTTAGCCAAGGGAACTGACACCTGCAACAGAGAAAGTTCCTAGTCAGGAAGAAAGGGCTGCACAGCTACTGAAGGGGGAGCTACCTGGGAAGCAGAATGGTTCCGGAAGCATCCTGCAAAATCTCACTGTGAGAATGCTTACTGTTTGTCAGACCATGGAAATAAAGAATAAAAGTACTAGTTAGACAGGATTTTGGTTTTGAATGTTTTGTTTTTTCTGCTTACAAACAACCAGAAGATGTTCCATCTGAAGGACTAACAAAGCAATGAATAAAAAGTAGAAACACTGTCCTGTTTTCTGAAGTCCTGCTGCATCTTTGCTCTGCATCTGCAGATGTGGTAGAAAAGCTCCTCTTGGAATTAAAAGCATCTCCCCCACAGAGCATATGCTATGAGCATGTGCCAACAATTCCCAACACAACAGGTGTACTTTTAACAGCTGGGCTACTCACACACAGTTGGGATGGACTGCTGCTGCTCAGCTGATTTTTACAAGAGCAGACTGGGCCCCTCATTATATTATACTATCAACGGGAAACTGTCAAAAGTCCACAGTCCTTCCATGCCAGGAGAAAAGTTGCTGCATCCAAAACCAGAGTAGCCTTAACCATTCAAAAAACATCTCGAGGAAAAACAAAAACAAAAAAACATTTGAGCCCCAAATTAATCCCTATTCCATAGAAATGTTTGCTTCTTACACATCTTAAACTATATCAGCAAGAATGAGAAATTTATCTTGACTCCACACACTTAATGGCGTGGAAAGGTATTTAGGTGGCGTTTTAGGGAAAAAAACATAAATATGAAAGGAAAAATATAATTAAGAACATAAAAAGTAGATATGATGCTGCAAATGTGATTCAGAGCATTTCATGGAAAATTCATGCCAACTTACCAACTGGTAGGGTGATATTTACAATATGCTGCCCATGTGGGCATTCAGTGGCAGCAGCCAGATGTGTCCCATCACACTGTGCCAGCAGCTGTCTCGTCCCTCTCACTCCTGCCAGTTGTAAACTTGGCTCTCCTCTTCCCATATACTCTACAAGCTACTCAATATCCTGTCAATAAATTCCCTTTCCTTTAAATAAAATAAAGTAAAATAGTCTTTTCTTTAGATAAGGATTTATTATCATGTTGAATAACATAAGGAAATATTTAAAGTTATATATATATATGGTTAAAATAGAACTACATGACAATAGGAAATGAATGGATATAATGAATAACAAACAAACCTGATTTTAAAACACTGAAAAAAAGTGAATGGAAATACTATATATCTTCTGGTCCAAAGGTAACTGTAAAACATAAAGAACAAAATCCCAAAAAAGATAACAGGTAAAGTAGCCACAAGAGATCTGGGACAATACATAGGATTAAATTATACAGATAAGCAAGAGAATCACAGAAAAGAAATGTAAGCCTGCCATGAAATTTAAACATAAATAGTCATTCTCTGAAAGTGCACAGAATATCCAATTTTATCTTTCTGACAACTCCTTTAGAAACCCTATTAATGTTACTTTCAGAAATTCTATGCTGGACTGACCTTATATACAAACACAACGGTAAAATCCTTTTTAAAGCAAGACGGACGAGAGAGAAACTGTGGCATCACTTAATAAAGCACCAATATCAAAGTGAAAAATAAGTTGGCATTTTAAATCCACATTTGCTTTATTTGCCATTTTTTAAAGGAACAACTCTAATGATAGGTAATTACTAATCGAGACTCCTGGTTTCTTGTTAAAAATACAGCAACCACAGCAAATTGAAAGCCCTCACCATGTTGCACTGTCTGAGAAGTACTGATTTATTCCTTTCCACAGATTGCATGTGCCCTGGGGATCATTTCCAGCCTGCAGAGTTCAGAGGACCATGCCACTTCCCATGTAAATAAAAAGTGGCTGGATGCAGAGGACAGTTCATGTGGCTAGTCCATCCTTAAGGACTCCCTGCTATCCCGCACCTTCCTATTGACACTTACTGGAGTGTCACTTACTGATTTAAATGTTCCTTTAAATCAGGGTTTACTGCACTGCAATGACTATGAATAAATGGAACATCTCAGGGAGCAGGGTGCCAGTCTGTAATCATCAATGCATAAAACCTTAGAAAGAGGGGGAAAAGGCATACAATGGAACGCAAAGGTCAAATAACTGCTCTCTTCTGCTTAGCAATGATTCTGTAGTGGACTGGGAAATATAAATATTAGTTACATGATATAAACTGTTACATGACCTCAAAGTTTCCTCCAAAATAGATATTTAAAAAGAAACGATGCTGTGCTTGTATATTTAATGCTACGGGTTCACATCCTACCTACCTCATTGGATGAAAAGTCATAAATATTTAGATGTAATGCCTCTAGAACCCCAACCATGAGTACAGATATAGATACTTCTTGAAACTATCCCTTGAGACTATAAATTTATCAGTGAATCCCACAAATGGCTCTGAGAACTGTTTAAACATGGGAGATAGAATAGATTCCAAAAATAGAACATTAAAGTTACTGTATACCTAAAATCATAATCTCTACAAATAGAAAAAGTTTCATTCTGTTTCACTGGAAGGTTATTACCAAGGAGGGTGATTACAAATGATATGCCTCCAGAGCAACCATGTCTCTGAAAAGGCACATGATAATGATCTTCAATAGAAATAATAACTTCATGTAAGAATAACTTAGGTGAGGGAAGACAGATGGATGGATGATAGACAGAGATGTGTTGACTTCTCAGCTAGCCATTTGTGGATTCTTTCAAATTAGAGCTTGTGTAACTGTAACTAGGAAGCATATTTACATGAGGCACCTTTCAAATCTATAAACTCTTTTATAGTCAAAATAAACCTTATAGCATTAGCCTTTTATACACTCAATACCAAGAAACATTCAGTGCATGTTACAGTGATCTTGGTAAAAAATCACTTTATTTGCTACATCTTTCAATCTGTCTGCCCTTCTGTCCTTTGCTTGAGCTATGTGGCAACACTACCCAACACTCACCCAAAACTTCCTGTAATGAAAAATGCTGTTTTACAATATGTAATTTTGGATCGTTACATTGCTTTCCAAACATTTCAAAGACTTTTAGAGGAGAGGCCCATTATGGAAGACACGGACACACAGTATAAATGCTGCCTTCTAACTCAGGCCTTCAGTTTGGGCATCATATGTAATCATATGTAATCAGTTCGATTACATACAAAGATGAGATGGATTTTGTCCATGGATACTATAGGAGAGGATCAAATTTAGAGAGTTTTTCTGAAATCCTGTCTGCAGATTCTATTCCTCTCAAGAACACACAGAAAATGAGGAAATCAGACGTATACTTCAGAGCAGACCATGTGACTGAACGCATCAACTTTCAGCCTCATTAGGGTAGCTAGCTTTGTTTTGGAATGACAGATCTGCATTGTAACAGCTATCAAACTTTGGTTTTAAAGAAGGGGCTTTCAACATAGACTCTTATTTTCCCATGGATTAAAAAATATATGGTTCAAAGCATCAGATTCTTTCCCCTGCCAGCTGTTAGAGTAGCTTCTCAGTTGCTGCATTTCTGTGGTTTAGATCTAATTTAACCCTTTATGAACAGTGAGGTGGCCCAGCTCAGACAGTAGAATATTCTGTCATCTTGCTTCAATCAGTACAGAATGACTTGTTGGGACTCACATTCCAGTGATGACAAATATCCTTAATCAACAGTGTCAGAGTTGTTTTTGTTAAAACAAGTCATTCATTTCACAGATAAGAGTGACTAACGTTTTGTGAAGGAACAAAACTTCAGGCCACAGAGTTAGAGTATTGGCAAGTCAGAAGCTACCAGCTCACTGGCAGTATGTGGTCTCATGTGTCTTTGGTGCACTTGCTTAATCTCAGCAGGACACACTGCTGAGGGACTGGCTCACTGGGATGACATGGGAGGGATGGATGGGACGGATGATTTCCAGGGAGCAGCCCATCGGCAGCAGAGTGAGCTCCTGCGTCAGCAAACAGTGGAGGCCAGAAGGTTTTGCTGGACATTTTATTCTCTCACTCGATTACTTAACTGCCTCCAGACTGTGCACAGTTTAAAGGCAGCATGACAGAAAACCGCTGTCATCAAGGAAGTGTGATCTCATGTTTTGGACAAATACCAATTATGGAGAGACACATTTACAGTATTGACCACTGTATTTACATCACCTGCTTATAGTCATTGAAGATCACTGAATAGATGATGATGATGTGATTGTGACTGAATTTTTAGGCATTTGGCAAAATACACTTGTGTGTAACAGCTGCTTTTTTAAAATTTTAAAAAATGTTACATATATACAATTGTCCTTGTATGCTAATATAAATATGAAAAGTAAAAAACAAAACAAAAATAAAAATACTTGTTTAAAGTTAGCCTATGGGATATTAGTCTCTCAAAGCTTTAAAGTCCTGCAGAAAAATCCTATATGCCTTAGCCCTGCATGCTTGTTTCTATTATGGGATGTTGTTTCCTTAAATATAGAAAACAATAAACAGAAGCTTCATGCATATAGCATTACTGTTTACAATGAGGATGTGCTTCAGAACGTCGAGTTCTGAATCCACTATTGTCCCTTAGGAAACTTGCTACATTTTGGGTCATGTGAGTTAATTTAATGAATATTTCTACATATTATCTGTCATGCGGATTATCCATTAACATACCAGTACCTTTATTGTTCCATGTTATAGTGTAACATTTCAGTAGTTCTTTTCATGGTTCAGTTAAATCCAAGCCAATGACAAAAAGAAAATGGTAACCAGATGTGAGACTTGACTTCCTCTCCTCTGTAGCATCTCAGAGGGTCTTCATATAGTCTGAAGAGCAGATAGACTTTTAATGATTCCATGAGCCTGGGATTCTATAAAAGTTGAAGTAAACAGTTTCGATGTATCACATGTAAACAGATGATCTTAAATGGATGTCTCCCATAGCTGCACAACAGAGAAGAGCAAAATTGCACATTGTAAAAGCAGGAAGCAGGTGTATTCTGAGTAGGAGATGAGAAAGATTCAGTGATTCCATCCATATGTATGTGATCGTGGATGCACACTCTTGCAAAGTCTAATAAATTGATAGAATAAAAACTCCAACTTTTAGTTTTCTCCTTCTGAAAACCTGTGTCTCAACCTTTTTAACAAAAGCTTATCTTTTGATACAAAAACCATCACATCCTCATTTAATGTTACTAAACATTTTGAATAAAGTAAATATTGTGTCTCAAATGAATAAAAGAATTTAAAATATTAGTTTTTAAGCTTCACATGCCCTTCCTTTCCCCAGGATTCTCAGACAGCCAGCTAGAGCAGTGGTTCTCAACCTCATCTGTACATTACATTAATCTGGGGAGGTTTCCAAAATTCCATTTCCTAGGCAGCTCACCAGACCAACTAAATAAAAATCTCTCTGGGTGAAACTTAGGCATCAGAATATTTTTAAAGCTTTCCTGATAATTCCCTTGTGCAGCCGCGACAGAAAACCTCTGACATTTTTTTCTAGGGAGCTATCATTTTTGCAGGCTCTCTTGTGTGGTAACATCTCCAATAACAGAAACTCTGACATGACAACAGCTGAGAGAGAATGTCCCCAACTTGCTGGAGCAAAACAGGGATACAGACAATTTAGGAGGAAAACGTGGGGTGCTACACTTAGACAATTCTTTGAGGAGGGCAGGAACAACATCGGTCTCAGATTTCATTATCACAGATCACATCGTGAACAACTAGATACCAATCAAGAAGTCTTTCATTAATTCAGAAAGCTGAATGCTGGGAATCTGAATTGTTTTGTTATCTTTTACCATTTCTCATATTAACATATAATGGTAATTTATAATGAGTAACAAAACACTGCTGGTAGTTTTTAAAGACTTTTTCATTAAAACAGCTTTTAATTATTTGTGCCTTCTTACTGACTCTGAGTTAATCAAATTAAAATTTGAATAATCCATATTTCCTTTGAACCGCATAATTTATGTTTGGAATCAAAGAGGTTCCAAAACATCTCTTAAGACCAAAAAGTCTAAGATCCCAAGACCTACCAGCAGCTAAAGATGCCGAGGCTTATGAGCTTTATTTATTTATTTATTTATTTATTTATTTATTTATTTATTTGCAATTACTTCAGAGAAGATCAACATTACAGTGTAAATGACCACAACAGAGCCTGGACATCAATAAAGGTAATTATTCTGTGGTTATATCCTTCACTTAAGTCTCTGATGGTCAGTCTGTCACCAAACTCCACTGTAGCTCAAATTTCATATACTGATATGTTTCAGGAATGTTGTGGGACAGAGTGGCAGTGTCATTAAAATGTAAAAGGTCACATAGCAAAATAGTTTTGTTTATTCTAGGTTTTAATATATTAGCTACAATAATATATAAACATATAGCAATTATAGAAAATACAATCTAGACTATATCAATGCAGATTAAACCATTTGCACATATAAATCTGAAGCCCAAAGCCCCAAGAATCTCCTTATTTTCAAGTTTGATTTTTTTTATTTTCTTAGGAAGAAAGGTAGAAAAATGACTCTCTCTCTCTCTCTCTCTCTCTCTCTCTCTCTCTCTTAAAACATAAACTCATAAATAAATGATAATGACTGAACATGCAAGCACATGGAAGAGGTTTCCACATACCCTGGCACTTTGTCGGTTCACTTTCTTCTCCTCATCAGGAAGTGGAGGCATTGGGTAAGGGTATTTTCTACTGGAGGCAATAGACCCAGTTGATGAAGAAGGAGACTTGGCAGGAGATAAAGTCCTGAGATGTTGAGAACGTGAAATAAATATCATGTGATTGCACAACCTTTTTCAAATATCTGAAAAGTGGGTTCAGAACAAACCCTCTGACTTCTAACTTTCATATGCCAGTACTGCAAAGATTTAACTACTGGGAAGACACTGTGACATTCTCAATACTGAAATGCTGCAATTTTATTTTCCTGATTTCATGACTGCAACAGATTAAATGTTAGTACACAGAATGATACTTTTCAACTACAAGCCACTAAAAATGTGTCCTATGGAATAGATAAAAAGCTAAAATGGACAAGGGATGAAATTATTCTAAGAGCTTATAATGACAAATTAAGTGTATAAAATATTAATATTATGCCTTATTTTTACCACTTAATGTAAAAATGTTTAGGTACAATAATTCTATCTTAAGATCTTAAAATCCATTACAATTGATATATTTATTAGTTGCTAAATTACACATCAGTTTACACAACACTCATGCATTCAGAGGCCAGTGTGTTAGTTGTGAAGGAACAAAGGCAAAAACAGGGCTTTTAATAATAAATTAGTAAACATGCAAGCAGTAAGGAGTGCAGAGTTCCAGCCAAACAAATTCTGATGAGGACATACAAAAATGGTCTAATTCGTCCCTATAATCAGCATTTCTATGTAAGCTGTTGGTGTATTAGGCTGTATATGATTGATTTTGCATGTGTAGTGGTAATTTGAGACTAGGCTGAACATACTAGACTAGCCCAAATCTATTGCTAATTTGTCTTTAAAGTGAAAAAAGAAAGCTGAGTAAAAAATGTCTACTCATGTCAATGAAAAGCAGACGTGACAACTATAGTAGCTACTCCATTCACAAACGTTACCACTACACATCCACTGCTCCTTATTCACTGGTGCAAGGTGGGAAAAGCCCGCATCACTGAACTGGCTATACTGCCGCATTGTAGCACAAATATTTATTTCAGTGGAATATACCTCATCTGCTGTGACTGACCCAGCCTGGGAATGTTGGTGGGGGGCAGGGGCAGCACTGGGTAGGTCAAGATCTACTGGCTACACTGCATTCAAAAGCATAAAGATGTCTTTTTTCCTCCCTTGTTTTAAATTTTGGTTTGCATGTACATCATATCCTTTGCTCTGGTTCTGCCATAGTTTTAATACTAATTTCCATTTTATGGACACTGAATTCAAGCTAAAGTTTGAAAATAATTTTTCCTGCATACCCTAAGATAGTAGTGAACATTCTTGATAGATTTTAAGAATGAAGAATTTTAAGAATTGAAGTGGTACGATTCACTTTTAATCTGTAACTCCTATTTTTGAAAAACGGTCAGGACCACTCCTTTGCATGAATGCTTAGACCACAGCAACTGTTTGATTTCTCCTATGTTAATACTCTCCATTGCTAAGTGGATAGGTATAACTTATGCTAGTACTTCCAATTCTCTAAAGTTCTATTAAAGCAATGTTCCACTTCTTATTTTTCTAACTGAGAAATTAATTTATTTTAGGAAAAACATTTTAAATAGGACTGTGATCTTTAAAAAACATATTTGGTACATTTAAGATGATGGCAAACTTCTCCATTTAGATATCTAAATACACCTTTCTAAAATGAGGACTAGTAATCTGGCATCAGCTTTTTAGCCTAATCACTACTGATAAAATATTCAAGTTCAGGAAAGCTAGCAAGGTACACAAATAATTAAATCTTGTTTACTTTAGGGGATCATGCAAAATGGGGCATCTTTTTAATCTGCTGCAGCAGGTGCACTCACAGCATTAGCTATTAGCTTTTAGCTTCACAGTCATTCCAGCTATAACTTGACCATGTTCCAGATGGCCAGCCTGGTACATGTACAAAGCCATTCCAAGAGGGGTGCTGAAGGTCCAGTCTTCCTCTCAAATATCTTTCCATGGGCAAAGCCAATTTAGAACAAAAACAAGAGGTTTTCTCCAGAACCCCAAAGAAATTGCACATATACTACTTAGTAAAATAACATGCTAATTAATTGACACCTTGGACCCTGAGCAGAAGAACAGAAGCTGAACAGGAAAGTTTTAGCAGGGAAAAGGGTCCTGGAGGCTACGTGGTATGTGACAGCATAAAAGTGATTATCTTCAGGGGATGGAAAGCACCAGAGCAGGAGTCAAAACAGGAGTAAAGAACAAGGTAGGGTAAAACACTTTAGGGAAAATAAACTCAAAATTTCTCACAAATGTCTAAGGAAGACATTTATTCAAAACCATTTCCAGGCTCTTTTCTGACCCTGATTGATTACTTGCCTGGCAGTTCCAAACTGGCTTTCACTTAAAGCCAGGCCTCAGCCCAGCCCATTCACTTAAAAAGTAAAGTGCATCACTGGATACAGATCAACCATCATTATTACTGCATTTTATTTTAATTTTATTTCTTAAGACGGAGTCTCACTCTGTCACCCAGTCTGAAGTGCAGTTGGCATGACCTCGGCTCACTGCAGCCTCTGTCTCCTGGGTTCAAGTAATTCTCCTGCCTCAGCCTCCCAAGTAGCTGGGACTATAGGAGTGTACCACTATGCCCAGCTAATTTTTGTATTTTTAGTCGAGACAGGGTCTCACTATGTTTGCCAGGCTGGGTTCAAACTCCTGACCTCAAATGATCCACCTGCCTTGACCTCCCAAAGTACTGGGATTATAGGAGTGAGCCACCCCACCTGGCCCATTACTGTATTTTTAAAGATGATACTTACCATAATGGGTGCCCTATTCGAATCATACAATAAAGGTATGTTTGTGTGCCAGTGGATTATGATGCCTCTTGGAGCTACATCAAACTTCCTGGGATTACCTTCTGTATTTATGCCTGTAAAGCTAATCTCAGTTCAGTTCTACCCCCAAGTACAGGCTAAAAACCAGGCCAGTCACATGGAGAGGGACAGAAGTCCATCTCTTATTTACTTGTGTTCATATATGAATTTTATAGTAGGCTGATCCAGTAGAATTTTTGTTTTTAATTTTATTTATTTATTTATTTTTATTTATTTATTTTTGGGATGGAGTCTCACTCTGATGCCAGGCTGGAGTACAATGGTGTGATCTCAGCTGACTGCAGCCTCCGCCTCCTGGGTTCAAGCAATTCTCCTGACTCAGCCTCCCAGATAGTTGGGATTATAAGCACACGCCACCATGCCCAGCTAATTTTTGTGTTTTTAGTAGAGACGGGGTTTCACCATGTTGGCCAGGATGGTCTCTATCTCCTGATCTTGTGATCTGTCCGCCTCAGCCTTCCAAAGTGCTGAGATTACAGGCATGAGCCACGGCACCCAGCCTTGATCCAGGAGAATTTGTTAAGTGTACTAAGAGAAAAGTAGTCAGTATCCACTCTGCTACTTTAAATTAAAGTGAAATGGAAAAGGTACAGATTTTGGACTCAGAGCCAGGCTATAGTTCTGGTTCTGACACTTACTAGCTGTGACACCTTGAGTTACTCTTTGTACCTCAGTTTCCTCCATCTACAAAAAGGTAATAAGAATGCTTATACCCTAGGATGTGAGGAAGAAAGTTATATCATAAGCACTTGATACACAATAGTTGTAATTATTCGTTTCCTTTCAGAGTCACTAACAATTCCAAATAATCATGGAAGTGAACTCAAAAACCCTGATGAAGTGAGTAATCAACGGAATAATACCCAAGAGTAAGGATACCTTCTAAGAGCTTATAAAGCACTTTCATCAACAGAACTGCATCCAGGATCTGGGTGTGGTGAGATAATGCTCTTGCCCTGATCTCATCTGCTCCTTCCTGGTGGCCTGAATCCATGCAGAGAACAATCTGAGCAACCACTGTCATATCAAAACTGGATAAGGAGGCACAGCAGAGGCACTGATCACTCGATACCTTTAGGCATTTGCCTTGCTCTCTGTAGCAGTGTGGCTACTATATTTTAAATGCTGGACTATATTTTGGACCAGTTTGCTGCAGATTGCATTTTGATAAGGTTGCCACAAAGCCAACACTACATGGGTGTAATCCTGGGACTCTGGGAGGCCGAGGTAGGTCGATCGCTTGAGCCCAGAAGTTTGTGACCAGCATGAGCAACACAATGAAATCCCATCTCTACAAAAAAACAATAAGGTGGCTTTTGCCCTCACTGGTGGTTTTGACAGTGAAGGTAATCCTGAATGACCTGGCCACAGAGGAAGCAGATCTGAACCTAAGCATAGAGCTGGCAAAGCACAAGCCAAGGTGTGGATGCACTCTGGGCCTCCTATATGAGGCTTGGCATGGATACGGAGTGGATGAAATTCTCCCTTGCATTAGAATTACTGTGTTAAACGTTTTGGGCCATCTCAATTTATTCACCACCACCACCACAGAAATTCTGTATTGATCAAGTTTTATCATCCTTATTAACCTAAAAATGAGAGTTAAACTATAACTGTCCACAGAACTTTATGTAACTTTTAAACATAAATATAAGTTTTAACAATTAATTCTTAATTTTACTATCTACTGTAGGAATCAACACCTCATATTAGAAGAGAAAATAAAGGAACCCTCTAAAATTGCCCTTGCAGTTTTGCACGTGCAATCAGGGGTGCTAAAGCATTTCCCCATTCAAATTGCATTTAGTCATGTGGCTTCTGGGCAGACCTGGGTGCTGATTTTAAGAAACGTGACCTCTTTCTCTGAGAGTCACATAAACTACTCAGCTCACCCAGGGGAGGTAAACCAACTCTTCCGGGGTACCATTTCACAAATTATCACTGCAAAAATGCTAAATCTGTTTGGGAATAAAAGCCCTAACCCACATAGGACCAAAGTCATTCTGTTTTGGTTCCATGGCTGGTACAAATTACAATCTGCCCACAAGCCTGAGGAAAACAGAAAGGAGAAATAGGACTGCAGGTGAGCCAAGATTACAAGTAACAGTCAAAATCATCTTACCTGTCTTCCTGCCGTTGGCCATCTTGGGAGCTACAGATGAGGGTGGGATGTTTGAATGTGAGTGTATGTGTATGAGGTTCAGTGTGGGAAAGTGTGGGGCAAGCAGAGGGACAGGGCAGAAGGGAAATATGGGTTATAAAAGCAGGATATATTTTTGTGAGCAGGCAGGAGTTATGCTTTCCTTGGGGTATATGCAAATGTTATGGATCAAATTAAAAGGCAGGTAGGTCTAATCATTTTCTCAAACTATACATAACTAAACTAAATGGTACACTGGAAGAGAAAGTCCACCTTATACGGGTGCTGAGAGTTAAAAACACATGCATATTTTGATATCTGTTCAATGTTGACCCAAGTCATGGCAATCAGTAACATGAAAGCTTATTGTAAAATTGTGTTCAGAAGAGGTAGTAATTGAGTCCATATTTCTCCTTTACCTTAGCTCCACAAAGTGGTCAGATATAAAGTGGACATTTACCTCTAGGAAATCACTTTGATATTATAAAGGGTGAAAAATACCATTAAGAACTCTTGGAAATTCTTTCTGACCTGTAATGTTACACAAAGCTGCAGTGAATTGAGTAAATTTGATAGTTTCTAAAATGTAGCACTATTCTTCTATTTTGTGAGTCAATAATATATTTCCAGCTGCTTCCTGTTCTATTTGTAGTATTAGATGACAACATTTGTATTAGCATAAAAAATTCCTTAAATGCTTTGTTGAGAATCTGTAAAACACTTCTTAACACAGCCTTTCTCTGATAGGAAATGGTTATACTGAACAAACAAAACCTACTTCTACATACTCCCATGTGGTCAATGTTATCTCAATAATTTTCCAGTTAGACCAAATTATTGTTTCTACTCCAAGTAAAATCCCATCACATTTCATTTAGTTTCTTTTTACCCTTTTCCTTGAGTTTTTGTATGCACTATGCACTCTTAGGCAGTAAGTAGGAAAAATGCATTATGAAATTGCTAGATTCTAGAAACAAAATTGTTCAGGTTAATAGTACTTTATTAGTGGAAAGTATGTTTCATGCCCAAAGAACACTACATAGCGTAAAAATGAAGAGAAAGCTACTAAAAAGCTTAAGATGGTGATAGGGACATGCACTAAATGGCAACCCTTTCACATGGCTTTGTTTAAAACATTCAGAAAAGAACCAGACTTGTTCACAAAGCTAAAAACAGAGTCAAAGGCAGCAAATAAACAAGGACCCCTTTCCACCTAAAGGAACTTGTATTGGGAGATACAAGATAGAGAGCCAGTCACACTACAGTATTTGTATGTGCTGGGAGAGTTTGAAAAGGATATAAAAATTAATTTATAAAATACCTAAAGTATGGTCCTTCAGTGTTTTTATTCACATCTTCTACCCACTTAGCTACATTATAGTCTCTTTTGAACCATGGGTTTAAATACCTGCAGAAAGCAATGGAAGGAACAAAGAAAGCAGAACAAGATAGAAAATCTGAAAATACACAGCACAAGCTTAGCAAGGATGTCTTCACCCTCCAAATGCAAGTGACCATGGCAAATAAACCAGAATGGATGTTGGGTGATTATGAGGCAGTCTATACAATGACATAAGAATAATCTCAGCTACAACAAGGCTCAAGGCATTCTACAAAGTATTCAACATTTCTGGGAAAGCCTTTTCCAGTGGCTTCCCAAAGTGAATTACAAGCTCCCTTTCAATCACAATACAGTCAGCAGTCCCACTCACCCACCTCCAAAGTGGCTTTTTCCAGGCCACCTCTCATTTGGCTTTTTGGTTTTTAAATGACAATGATGCTTTTTGAAAATATTCAGATGGCTGCAGTTCCAATCTGGCATTTGGGCATACGTGTGTACACCCTAAGAACAATTAAAAGGAACAAAGTTCTCTTTCCAATATAAGAAGAAGGCTTTTACATGGCCACTATTTTACTCCCTATAGAGGATGCCAAGCTAGAGTCAACATGAAAGTACGTTCCAGTTGGCCCTGTAAGGAGCAAAAAGGGTCCCACTCTTCTGATCTTAGAGCCTCAATGCACATTAAGTGTGGTCCAAATAGGCCTCCATGATCCTGAAGCTCAGTTTAGTAATTTAGTTGCAGCTGAATGTTCCTTTCTCTTCTTTGTGCACTTCAGAATAAAGTGCTCATGTTTCCATTAGGAACTAGCCCTTAGAGGTTGCCTTCCAAGTGTTTGACCATGAATTGTGTGAATGACTGTCAGAGAATAATAATGACCTTAGTTAGCATTTCCCTGATGGATCTGGCAATGTTTCCATCAGAATTACTGTGCAAATTTTAAAGGTAATAAAATTGGAGCGACGTCTAAGCTGTTGGTCTTCCCCAGAGTTTCCTTTCATTTTTACCCTGGAAGCCAAGCAAAAATACATCCCCCTCAGTTTGCCCTTATAAAATTATGTAGATTTAACAAATTCTGTATTAGAAGAATTTGGAGGGGTTTTTTTTCCCCCACTTAAAAAGTAACTTCTAGAGATACTAAAGATTCAAGCTCTATAAAACGTTAAGTTATTTGTAAACGAATCAGGGGAAATTATAAAATACATTGTTTTTTGTGACATTTTGCTTCTTTCCCCCATATTTAGTTATCGGGCTGTTCATAAATATGTTTAAATTAAGACTACATTTCCAGTTATATAAAAATACCAGGTTAGTTTTTCCACAGCCCTTTCCTTCATTTTTAGTCAAAATCAAGGTAGTATACAAAATAACATCATGAAATTCTCTTCTGAAAGAAGTGTTCAGTTGCTTTTTCTGCTTATAAGACCATTTTTGCTAAGACGGTATCTTCTGATTCAGAAACAACTCATTAGTTTTGCCTTTAGCCGCAATCATTGCCAACTTGTGCTTTCACAGATAGCCAATTAAAACTTGCATAAAGATTTCTACTGAGACTCTCAACAAAAAGAAAAAGTCAAAAAGCAAGTGCAGCCACAAATGAAGGCTAGTGAATGCTCTGGCCTGGGGAAAACCGGAAAAAAAGCCCATGCAGCTGTAATCAGGTGAAACATAGCCACACAGCAAACTGAGTCACCCACAGGCACATGGCCACTTCCAGGAGACATTTGTTCCTTTCACTGACAATCTTAGAAACTCAAAGGGCTGGTACCACAGCTATTCCATGAATGCTGCAACAGCATGGCTTGACTTGCACTTGATGGACTTCTTGTTTCAGGGAGCATTTCAGAAGGCTAAGATCACTTCACCAGAGAGGTTTTCACTGAAAAGAACTCCCATTTTTTTGTTCTTTCTGGGGATATGCCCATGAAAATGTCTTCACAGTGAGCTTCCTAACAGCTCAAGGTCATGGTGGCTGGAGTGATGGGATTTTATCACATTGCAGTAAACCTGCCTACGTGGCTTGACTTGGCATATAGCGCAACATGCAAAAAAAAAAAAAAAATGCATTAGATGGGACAGGGGAGCTCTTTGTGTTCTCCAGGATGGAAAGGCAAAGGAAAATTAGCTGGTGCTGGCTGGACCAGGAGCACCTACCAGCAAACGTGGGGGGCTTGCTCAAAGATCAAATGACCCTGTGTTCAGCCAAGGAAAGGACTTGGAGGGAGATTAAGTGGCAGCCCAGAATGAAGGGGCAGGTGGAGACTGACCTGTGATCCAGACTCCCTGTCTGGGGGCTTTCAGAGCCCCCTGGGCTTATGCCTTGGGATGGGACTGTCTGGGCGAGGGAGTGCCCAGGCTCAGGTGCTTGGGGCTCCCTCCTGTAAAAACACAATATATAATACAAAGTCTAAGCCAAAAATTTTTTTTACATCATGTACAACAATGAGGAAAATTCAAAAGTTTTGACTGGAAAAACAATACAATAAATGAGGACATTTTATTGTCTTAATTAGCAGAGCATGCATTTATAGTGCATGTTTTAATTCATGTTCCAATTTTTCATCATCTTTTGGAATAATGAGGTACTAAAGGGAATGCTGAGTAATGGACCTGAAATATCTCTTATTTGAAAAAATAAAAGATATATTAGTCTGTGGTCATTCTGCTCCTCATGCCATCAAACAAATGATATTATACTATCAGACGCAAATGAGATTACTTACATATGGAAAGTATTAAAAGTTTGCCAACATAATTCTTGATATGCTCCCTATCAGGAATCCTTGTAAGAATGTGTGTGTGTGTGTGTGTGTGTGTGTGTGTAAATATATATAGATACGTTTCTATATATAGAGAGAGAGACAGTTCCTGTGCAAGAAGGTATGTGAGAATTGTAGTCAGCGTCACAGACTTGGATCCATTTAATTAACATGAGTCGTGTAACCAAAATCAGAAAAGTATGAAAAATCTGAGGAAGTCCTTAATTCTCCCTCACAAAGACAATCCTATTATAATGTATATGAAATATTTTAATTTAATTATCTCATAGGCAAGATTTCTCAAAGGCTATCTATTGTATTACAATGTTTAATCATACGATATGAGTGAATATTATATATAACATTTTAAAAAATAAGTAACTGCACTAGAAAACATTGTATGAATATTGTTAAACACCAAACGTACTTTCGGTCCTGAACTTAAAGCTTTAAAATAATGCTGTTTTTTTTTTTTTTAACCTAGGAGTTTTTGAAGCCTTGTTATAGGAAATGCTGTTAGAACACTAAACAGTACACAAGGAAGTTCTAAAGAACATTTCACAATTTTATCTGTACTCCTGTGAGCAACTAAGATAAGTTAAGGAGCTCTTACTAGGTGACCTCATGCAGAACAAACCAAACAACATTCCAAGAAGAGTTTATCAACAATGAGCCCTAAAGCATCCAAGTGCTTTGGGAATGTATAAGATAAACTCTAACACATTAGTTATTTATGATGGAATTCTATGATGCCATTCTGGACCATGCAATGGTATCACTTGAAATTGTCTATTGTGTCTATAAAGTATCCTCTAGTAAACGTTGATAAGCCACTTACAAGACAATACCATTCAGGTGGAAGGTCCAAATTTCAGAGCAATGTTATTATTCCTGGACTGAAAAAGGCAGGGTATATGATGGAAAAGCTAACATAAGTTTTTGACAAGCAGTTTACAAATACCTGCTATTCAGACTTTCCAAGTATTAAGGCATGAAGAAGCAATAGAAATCCTGGAAATAATAACTATCACTATGGTGAGAAATAAGTGAAAAATTTTAGGAAGGATTAAAAAAAAGTATGGGTAATAAAAATCAGGTGGCAAGTTCAGTCCAAAAGGATACTAAGGATGTGTTTTATTCCATGAAGGGAGATAAAGATTTGAGGAGATTTTGTTTTGCTTTTACTTTCTTAAGTGGAGAAACAAACAAAAAAGTACATTATTTACTTCACTATAAATGACTTTTAACGTGACTTCCAAACCCACCCCTCTTAAAAAAAAGTAAATTCATGGCTATCATTTAAAACAGATAATGTTGCCTTTAGTGACAATGATTCAGTTAAAGAGCAAGTTTGGGAAAATGCCCTTTTAAACGTTCTCAGATAGAAAACTTAAAATGAAAACTTATTCCATTAGTCTGAGAGAATGCTTAGATTGCAGCCATGAGGACCTCATAGGGGTGATTTCAGATCGTGAGCAGTATCATGCTCTCGTACAACAGGAATTTTTCCCTGATGCTTACAGGCTGTGTGAGTACTGGGGAGAGGAAGGGTGACCCTTTGAAATGGTTGAATCCCAGATGATGAGAAGAAAGGAATGTTATCAAATTCCCTTCATTCAGAACCAAGACCCCACAATGGCAGGTGACTGGAGGGAAAAGCCTGCAGCCAGGGTGAGACCCCCACTATCAATGAATATTGGCATGGGCACAGTTGCGGAGATGCCTATGTAAAAGAGAAAAGTCATGGTTAATTTTTAAAGGGCAAAAAAGAATTTAAAAGACAAAACCAAGACCGGAGACATGGTTTACAGTTCTTTGACTATCTGTGTAATTTCCTTTTGACACGAATTGCACAGGACCTTGGAGGGCCTTTTTCCATTAGAGGTTCAGACTTACTCAGTTGAATTAGACCGAGGTCTAAATCTTTTGCCTCTGATTTTCTTTTTGTTGCCTCCCAGGTTACCTGAAAAAGATGGTTTAGAGCTAGATTTCCATGTAAATAAGTGATTGCCCTATATCTAATTATGAGGCATTTCAAGTGGGTATAATTTATAAGGAGCACCACCGTGGAACCCTGGGTTTGTCACCCTGTGCATCTTTCTCAAATGTGTCTAGTGTCCTGGTGCTATCAATCCTATCATTTCCCATCCAGATAAAAACTAGACTCTCATTCTACGTATTCTCCTCTCTGTTGAGAGAAGAGCTAAAGAACTTCCAAGAAATAAGGCTTTACAACCAGGGGCCACAGAATATAGAACTTGATTGTGTGGACAGACGGAGTCAGAATGCCAGCCTCTACCTTGCCAAGAGTTACTTCGAGGTCGCCCATTTTCACAGATGTCTGAAATATGTTTTGTGTCTGGAATCCTTTCACTCCAAGAATGAGAGAGCCCATTTGACCTGAAATTGAAAATATTGGTAAATTGTTCAAAAATGTAACCAAATGAATTTTCAGAGATCAGTAAGCAAAACTTCTAAGCATTACTGTGCATTAAATAAAATAAATCAAGAAAGAAAAAATCTGAAATGAAAGAATGAAGAGAACATGAAAATCTTCATGAAGAAGGCAGAATTACACAACATCCAATTTAAGAAAAGTCAAATACAATGGAACCCCATTACAATAGTATATAAATGAAAAGTATCAAAACACAATGCAAGCCAATTTACATTCCCCAGAACGCAGCAACCACAGCGCAAATTCACTATGTATTTCAGAATAACCCCAGCAGCAGCGTTATAATGGGGTCCCACCATAGATGTTTCTTAATTGTAAAGCAATGGTTTCCATTCAAATATTATGAGAACATGGACTTCCAAGAGATTACATAAAGATTTGCTCAAGTGAACCTGGTTAAACTTTATCAAAGAATTAGATTTTCTTAAGCAATAAAATTATTTTATAAGAATTGGCATTTTTCTCTACAAATATGGTCCAAAAAAGTGTAGTATATGTTGGCAAATTGTTCAGTAACTGAACTGACTCAGATGTTTATCATGACAGTGTCTCTCACAAAGCCCATGTACCACTGAGCCCTCTTGCTATTTGTGACCTACCATCTTTAAATAAATTATCTACAAGAAGCAAAATTTACACACCTACCGTGTACCACACAAGAATTTTGACAAGCTACATATACTTCAGAGAAGGCTTAATAACTTTTAACTGCTTAAGAATCATAACCCACTGAGATTATTCTAAAATCTGGGAATTATTTAAATTGATATTTTAAACTCTTTTTTAGGTACCTTAGAAAATAGCACTATACTTAAAACTCTTTTCCACATATTATTCTGGTTAATTGTTAATAACGTCTATTTTAAAATAAGCCTTCTACTGATGAGTGAAAATAAATGGAACTCAGCACCAACTATTCCATATAAATTTCCTAGGCTGGAATTTCTCAACATCATTTGCTACTCACAGAATGACTCATATTTTGTACAAAAAAAAAACAACAGAAATTCTGCTGGAACTCACTAATTTCTCCACTAATTTATTATGTAATTTAAAATTTAATATTCTATCAAGAAAATATTTGTATGAGAGAATTCAAGTAGATCCCTAGTCTTCTTCTCTTAGCCAACAAGCCCTCTATAAATTAAAAGAATACATTTTTAAAAACATTATTCTGTAGGACCATACTCCTTTGGCAACAACTAGTGTTTCTACTTTTGCTTTAAGCTATGTTATCTAAGTGAAAACTATCCTTCATGCTTAAGAAAGTTCCATATAAAGTAGAGTTCCCAGGTCTCACTAATTCCTTCTATTCTCCTTGTTCACTTAACATTTACAAAGACTGAGAGCCATTGCAGAATATTTACAGATGATCCACTCTACAAAGAACTCCAGAACAGGTCAATAAACTAGCAATAAACTAGCAACTTCCCCTTCATTCTGCAAAGTAGCTAATGTGCCCTAAGGCATGAGGAGGGCTACCAAATGTTTTTTCCTATCCATTGTACTCTTATTGGCAACTTTAAATAGATTCTTCCACAAGAATATTTTTGTTTCCTTCAATGTAAATATAGGTCTCATTTCCTAAAACATGCCAACTATTTATTGTTTATTTTATTAAGCAGTTACAAAGCATGCAGAATTTTAAAAGGTGTCATATACCTTAAGATGCTAGAATAAGAATATAGCATCATCATTTAAGGCATATAAATAATATGTTAATCCCACCTGTGCCATTATAAAACTCAGACAAAATTAAGCATACTTAATTTGTCAACTGAATTGTAACTTACAAAGTCTAGAAATAATCATCCCCCAAAAAAGGCAAAATCATAATACTCAATATATGATTCACAGAGAAGCAATCTTTGTTTCATAGCGAGCTTAGCTTTGATATATATAAAATTAAAAAATATTCAATGCAGCACTTATAATACCAGTTTATTTAACAATTGCTTTTATTGAAGCATGACAGTAACCTTTTTCTTTGACTACCAAACATGACATAAAGCCCACCATTTAAATATTACTAAATACTATGTATAGTTTCTTAAGCCATAAGTAGCAAGACTAAAAAACCCAGAGGTTTCAATAGAGATTCAGAGTTATTGGTTGGTTTGCTTTGTTTCGATTTTGTGGCCTGATTTGTATAAAGAGTGGTTCTGAGCATATGGCATTTTGAAGTAGAGTAATCAAAGAACAAAGGATACTATTTTTTAACATTCAAGAAAGAAGGAAGAAGTAATCAAACCTGCTGCAAAATAATGAAATGTTCTGACTAATGGAATAATGTGTGATGGAACAGGTAGAAATCTGAAAATGCGACAGAAAAGCAGACCTCTTCTTAGAACTAGATGCTGAGTTTGTGCTGACTCCGGGAGGAATGTCGCTATAAAAAGAGTCACCATCTCCAGGCTTTTTTACATAATCTCCCTGGGGTAACTGTCTAAGGCATAATAAACATTTCAGAGTCAGAAAACAAGACACACACATGAACACAGACATATACAAATATTATTTCAGGAAAAAAGAGAGGTAGGGATAATGATCTACATGAATCAAATCTATCACAACACATAAAATTATCAATAAATGAGACAAGTTAAAGTCATTCTAACTGTAGAGGCCAGAAATGCAATTACAAAAGCCTTCATCATTTGGATGAATAAAGCTTTGCTTTGGGGAAAAGATATGAAAATATGAGTGTTTTCATGGTAACTTCATTACACTTGAAAATGTTAAGTGCAGTTTTGTCTTTAAAAAAAAAAATTGATGTCGAAGGTGTGTTAGGACAGACAGTCCCCACTCAGATTAAACACAGTTTTTTTTTTCCTTGTAGTGAACAAACTATTTAAAATTTCTGAACATTATATAATGTAACCTGGATTTGATCTTAAAAGAAACTGATTGACTTTTAAGCTATTCTAGAATTTAATCCAAATAAGTCCCTATTAGAGTTTGATGTTCAATTAAGAGCTTCATTATTCATTTAACAGAAATATGAAGATATGGAAAGATTCAAAGTTGAATCAAAAAGATAATTTTTAACCATTCAGTGGAATATGTGAAGGAAGACAATTTAGCAAGAGAAAGAAAAGGCTGAAAAGAATAACTGAATTTTTGTTGAGATTATAGAAGCATATTTACAGGTAGCTGGTGACCTTAGTTCTCCATCTCTACTGTAGTAGGAGTGCCCAAGTAAAAATGTATTTAATCTGCAGTTATTGACCCAACTCATCTGATTTTCAATAAACTAAGATTGGGACAGATTTTTCTTACTTCTCCTAAGGTAATCAGATAGAAACTTTTAGTTTCTACCAGTGAACCCTCCTGCAATAGCTAATCTGGTCACTTGTCAGTGGTGTAGCCTCCAAATAGCCAACTGCATCCAAAACTTGATCCATTTCTATTCAGTACTATTGCTGGAGGTGCCACAAACTAGTGCCGGACTGAGAATTTTTAACAAACCTATGCTTAATTAAATCTCTAACAAAAGCACAAATTTGCTAACTTTTCCTTTTCCTATTTGGTTTCTCTTTATTTATTATTATAATTTTGATTTTTGCTGATGCTGAATTTAATCCCCCAAAATGCCATTTTCAGGTGTTTGCTTGCTTAAATAATCATCACATTGTTGTAAATGTTTAAAATTACTTGGTCGTGCATTCTCTTGAATGATTGAATACTCTCTCATATTATTTGAATGCTATTTAGTTACACGTGTGTGAATCTGAAAAAGATTTTTCAATTGGTATGAAGCATATATTTTAACTTGTGTGATTTAATCTACTCCCCTTTATGTTAACTAAAGAAAGTAGAATTTCTCATGAAATTAGTAATGTAGGACTAATTCCACCTATAATTATTTGATATAGATTCTTCCAATATATTTTTTTAATTCTATAAATAAATTCAGCTCATATTACTTTTTCTCTTCCTCTGTATATTATAAAATATTAATTCTACAGAAAAAATAATATAAAATCTCATATTTGTACTGTTACATGACATCTGATATATCTTCCCCTGTAAGAGATCTTTGTAATATTTTCTATTTTACAGTAAAATATTCTATTTATCAGTAAAATATTCTATTAATGCCAAAAAAAATGCTCTCAGTAAAATCAGAGTTCTATATTTTTGACTTGGGGAGAAAACTTCCCTTTTGTATTATATCAATATTTGTAAAAGAATCCCATGAACACTGCATTTCCAGTAATAATCTTTATGGTTAACAAATCCTATCTGTCACTATTATCTTCACTAATAATCTTTATAAACTGATGAGATATGCCTCACCAAATTCAAATTAATTAAAGACTAGGCTGGGCACAGTGGCTCATGCCTATAATCCCAGCAATTTGGGAAGCCAAGGTAGGCAGATAACGTGAGGTCAGGAGTTGGAGACTAGCCTGGCCAACGTGGTAAAACTCCATATCTAAAATAAATACCGAAATTAGACCAGACGTGGTGGCACACACAGCTGTAATCCCAGCTACTTGAGCTGAGGCACGTGAATCTCTTGAACCTGGGAGGCAGAGATTGCAGTGAGCCAAGATCGTGCCACTGCATCCAGCCTGGGCAACAGAGCGAGACTCTGTCTCAAAAAATAAATAAAAATAAAGAAAAAAAAAAAAGAAAAGCCATTATACATGAGCTCTGAACTACACTTGACCATTCCCAGTATTCCATCCCCCAAATCACCTTCTCTTTACATGAATCTGGTTGGCCTTCAGGCATTTATCCTGGCAATTACCAAGGCCTTGCTTAGCTGACACTGAGGATGTAGAGGGACTGCCTTTCACAGTGGATGGGGCCCAGTTTTGTTTCGTGTTTTTAACTGAGCACATCTTACTACCCCTTCAATTTAACTTCTCTGTAGTCCACAGTCATTTTTACACAGTGCTGAAACATCCTAAATGCTAAATATGTCATGAACTGTGGGTTTCAGTCAAGGGGTTGGAAGGGAGTTTCAGTTCAATGTACTTCTGGAGCACCATCTTCTTTTCATTACATTGAGCAGATCAGATTCTTATCTATGTCATTGCAAAGCCTCCAAAGGACAGAAAATTGCTGCCTTTTCCTTAAAATTACATGAGGAGTGAATGTAACTTTCTTCATATGGTAAATGTCAATGATAAGTTATGAATTTTGTTAAAGATCTCTTAAGAATAATGTTTTTGGGAGGCCGAGCAGGGCAGATCACAAGGTCAGGAGTTCGAGACACGCCTGACCAACATGGTGAAACCTCATCTCTACCAAAAATACAAAAAACTTAGTCAGGTGTGGTGGTGCATGCCTGTAATCTCAGCTACTCAGGAGGATGAGGCAGGAGAATCACTTGAACCCCGGAGGCGGAGGTTGCAGCGAGCCAAGATCGTGTCACTGTACTCCAGAGCCTGAGCGACAGAGCGAGACTCCATCTCAAAAAAAATGAATAATGTTTAACATCCTTCATTGTCTAGAAATTTGTCCTTTTTACAATTATTAATTGCATATTATAACCAATCTAATTCTTCTTGCTTTAATAGAGACTATCAAGCGCCCACGATAAATAAAATAACTTTTCATCATTTGTTGAGAAAGATATAAATGGCTAAATGATTCTTTAAAATTTTTAAATCAAACTTCTTTTTCCAGTCCTTTATTATTTTTATGGCTTTATTCCTAAATCTTGAATGCTTCCTTATTTTGGAAACTGAAAGTGATCACATTAGGTGGCCTGATTAGTGCTTAATTTTATAATGGGAAAATTACCTCATATTACTTATATTATATGCAAATATTTTAGACGTGCATGATTTTTTAGTGGACAATAGCCAAAATAAAATAAACACTTATGTAACTAGTTTTTTTTTCCCCCTCAAAATGTATCTCTCCCTGCATTAATTACATGTTGTCTTTTTCTACTCTGTACAACCTTGGCATTTCATTTGGTGTTTTGAATTGATGCAGCCCATTAAGTGACATTCTTTTGAAGGTATTCCCTATTTTCTAAGGTAAAGACCAACCCCTGTAACTTAATGATTCTGAAGGAGCTAATTTATATAATTATTTCTCTCCAGGTCTACAATACTCTGCTTATTGCTTGCTTATTCTTATTCCACTTCAGAAAACAACTCTTAATGTGTTCACAATTATAAATCATCTAGTTGTTATGTTAGCATTCTAAATTTAAACATTAAGTAAGACCGTTTCTCGATCAGCCCAAAAACTTTAGGCAAATTGGTGCTGTTATGAGAGAAGTCTAATATTTCCTAAAAGCATCCCTTGAATTATATTTATCTCAATAATTCTTATCCATACTTAGAATGCTGGGGGAAAACCATTTAACCAACTCTTAACTTTAATGCTGAAAGATGCATTTCTCCAATGCTTGGCTGGTATCTGGGCTGCCGCTTACTGGAATTGTTACTTTACTGTGTTAAGAAATACTGTATAATGTGTGCCAAGTCACACTGACAGATGCAGGAATATCACCGAAAGAATAACAATAATATAAAAACAAACTAAGAAAGGTTTGGAAAAAAGATAGGAAGTTCACAAGCATAAAATAAAATGGCTAAATGAGGTGAGAGACAAAAGAAATGGGGCAGGGGAGGAGATTCTGTTTAAAGTAAAATCATAGATCAAAAAGATATAATCTAATTATTTTTTCCATTTCTCATCAATCATAATGGTGTGTGTTCATCTCAAAGGAAAAGAACAAGATTTCAGCTAAATATAGATGTTTTATATATCTAAGTTCAGTTAATGTTTCTTATTCTATTGCTATTTGCAAACTTACCCTAAAAACTAAAACCCACTTATAATTCCCATTACAAGTCATATAGCTTCTAAGTCCTAAAGCAATTGTGCTACGTATAAATAGTAATACCAACTGAAAAAACTGAAGTTTTCTTTCCTGAATATTTTAAATAAAAGGATAAATATAATCATCCTTCTAATTACCTAATATCTAAGGCTGTAGCTCCCTGGTTCCATAATTCTGCCCATCACAAGACACTGGCAGATTTAAAGTGATGTACATACGTGGAGTTCTGCCTTTACTATGCCCCTGAATGGAGTTTTGGTTTCTTTTTATTATGAAGTTTGTTAACAAAAAGAAAAAAAATGGGTCTGCTTCTCACCTTTTTATCAAACTTGCAAGTAAACATACAATATAATACTTTCCTATACTGAAAAGCTTGAGGACCCATCCTCAGGAGAGAAAATGTATCTGGTTATGAAACTCAGTCACAGAATCACTTGCCTGTCCTCTCTAGGAATAGGAAAGTTATGCCCAGTTTGGCACTTCTGAGCCATTGCAACACTATTAAAAATCTGATAACTGGCTATTGTACTTATTATGTCTTGCACTTAGTGTCAAAGCAAAAGTTACATTCACCAACATTGTCAGCACCTCAAACAGTATATGTGAGGCTCACTCATGTCAATGAATGCTGCCCTCTTCTTTGAGAGCAACTACATTGACCTCATTCATTCAAAGATTAGAGAAACACAGTCTTCCAAAACCACATGCTAATAATTTCCCTTCACCAAAATGCTTTGCAGATTGCAACAAACCTTACTTGATTTCAGAGTTGAGGAAAGTTCGATTTTCCAATACCACATACTAGTAGATTTCTGATTCCTTGTAGATTGGTTTCCCTACCATAGAACCTCAAAGAAAAACGTAATTTAAAAGCAATAACAACTCAAAATTCTTAATTTTACTTCCTGATATCTTTCGGAATTGGGAAGATCTTCACAGGACTGAACATTTTTTAATGCATGTTTTGGTCTGCTGGCCTTACCACTTTCTCTGTAATCACTAACATGTATTCTCAAAAAGGAAAATCATTTAGAAAACACTTATACATTCACTACTTCCTGATCTAAAGTCTATTCTTTGCCATTTCTCCACTTTGAGACCTACTGTACAAACCTCGTATTCATTAGTTATGGTCAAGGACAAAAAAAAAGTTGTGTTGATGTATATCAAACTATATAAAATAAATATCCGCTGAAGATGTGACAACTCTCAAAATATGATAGGCTAGATTCCAAAAGAGTAGCCAGAACAATGAAATGATGACTCAGTAACACCAGGAGACATGAAATTATATCAGGCACATGAGATTCTTCATGTGAAAATGTTCTTAACTATATCTCTGTACATATTGAGTTAGAACAAAAAATCTGTGCATACTTTTCAATATTATCATTTTTCTAAAGTGTGGGCAATTCCCTTATTCTGGTAGAATCCCTAATGAGAACACATCTTAAAGTACTGTGCTAGCTTTGCTTATGTTACATATGAGACATTTCACTTTCTTTTTCATATATTCAGCAATATTAAATTACATTATAGCCTTAGCTCCTGGGAAATGAAGCCAAATAATTAATCTTTTTAATCTGATTTGCCTAATTCTGTTTTCCACTAAAGAAAGTCACCAAACTTAGATTTCCAATACTACCAATCAACTTCTACCCAACAGAAAGCCTAAACGGCGGCTCCTGCTCTATTCAAGTGCTTTCGAATACAAGAGTTTAAAACATGTAACAAAGAAATCTGGTTGTGTTTAAAATGTAATTTTGTCCCAGTTTTACTTTTGCCGTTAATGATGAATTAGTCACTCTAGGGCAAGGTTAATATTTTCTGTTGTCTACACAAACTGACCAGGATTTCGAATGGTAACCCATGGGCACCATATATTTATACAGATTCTATAGATACTTATAGTTAAAGCCTTATGGGAATTTTAATTTATTTTAAAAAAGAGCAAAGTTTAAAATTTTGATTTGTGAAAAAAATGAAAGTTGTGATGGAGCATGACAAACTACCACATTTATACATCTTGTTGATAAGCTATCACAGGGATGCAATTCCACAATGGAAAAGTTAAATAAATAGGAATCTGTATAAATACCATGAGTATAGAACTAAACACCATATCATGTGTAATACCTGGTCTAGGTTATCAGTTTCTAGGATAATATTTTAGTATTTTTTTATCAGTAGCTAACAGCACTAGTAACTTTTTAAGTGTGAAAAGTGAAGCGTGCGCTAATTTAGATTCAGATAAAATGGGTAATTGTTATAGAACAGCATGAATGCTTTGTATCTCTTTTTAACCAACAGTCTATCAAAACTGTTGGCTAAACATAGATTTTTAAGGTTATGCTATAGAGGATGTCTGACTTTCTCAAGAATTAGGCATTTTTATTAAAAAAGAATACACAAGACTATCAGAGATTCCAAGTATGCAAATTCTTTCTTTAAATGTTTGATTACCTAATCAATACAAAAAAATTCCTTAGGCAGAGATAAACAGGCTCATCAAATGCTAGAGCATTCCCAAAGCAACACTGCCCAAACAATCTTTGTCATTTATGAATAGACATTACTACATAACAAGAGTAACAAATTCCCTCAAAAAGTATTAGGCAATAAGAGTATTATAAACATGAAGAAAACCTAATATTAATGTAAACAAATGTGGCACCTTAACATAGAGGAAGTTTGTTTTATATGGAAAAAAAATCAATTTCTATATATATTACTATTTGTAAAAAAGCAAAAATCTCCACTAATTTTAGTATTATTGGATTAAAGAACCATTAAAATTAAATCCCAGGTCTATCTTAAATCACCATATTTCACAGTACCATCATTAAAGTTATCTCAAGATAATGAAAAAATCACAATTAGTGTATGATCACTGTGGCATAAAAACAAAGTGAACTTAATTATAATTGCAGGTATGAATTTCCACAATGCTAATATGAGTCAAACCTTCCAATTATATGTTCACATTATTTTTATCACATACCTCTGTTCTCGATAGTTTCTTTTCATGGACAAGAAGAGAGAGGGGAGAAACACAAGAGTTAGTTACCTCTGGAAGGACATCGAGAGGAAGCACTAAACATAAAAGCTCTAGCTTTCATTGAAAAGTCTTCACTAGAGGATTTCAAATTACAGAATTAAAATGGGGAATGCATACACAAAAATGTCACCTCATCATTAGGAGAGGTGACAAAGAGTGACAGCATTGTCTAACAACTATCTATTTTTAAAACATAAATATGTTGCAGTCATTAAAGAGTAACTGTTTTCTCCACATCAATCACTGCTCTAAAGTAAAGCTGATTTCAAATACAGGTCTTCAGACATATATTAATTTAAATAATGAAATTAATGAATCAAGTTACTTATATAAATAACCGTATTTTCACAGAAATAAAATCATAATTCATTCCTAATGGAATACAAACCCCAAACTATACTTATTCATAAGAATTTCAAAAAGGAGGATATAAGTGAATACCAGAGCATCCTACTTCATCAGGTATGATAAACAGGAGTAAGTTAATTCATGGCAGTTAAGGATCTCCTAAGTAATTACTACTTATTAACTGAAGCTTCACATTGGAAATACTTTTTCAATGTTTAGTCTCTGTGTTTATCTAACCATAAACTAAAATCAACTTAAATACATTTCCAACTAAGTGGATCTTATTAAAAAATTACTCTAATGGGTGTGGTAGTGAAGTACCCCGTGACTTTTCAAGAGTTCGTTGCTAACTTTATATCTTGATAAAATTAAGTGTTAATATTTTGGAGACATGTTAAAAAGGTCATACAACTGAGTGGTTTGGGGCTGCTTCCTCTAAGATCAAGGATAATGTTTTCATACGGATTTCACTGGTAACGTCATTACTTGCCAGTCTATTTAATTCACATTATAAGTATCATGTTTGATAACAGGCACATGATGGCAAAGGTGACAATTTGTTATTATTTTTAATTCTGGAAAATATCAGATGCGGAAAAAATAAGCCTGGTATCTTTCTTTTCAACATGTTTTGTTTTTTATTCCCTCAGTCTGGTTTCCCAAGCCATACAGTTACAAACAAGCATTCTACATTTTTTGTTCCTGCTGTTCTCTACCCCAAGGCATGGAGAAAGGCTAGAAAGTGTAAATGAACAGACTAATGAAAAAATGAGTTCTCAGGTTCTAAATCTGGTTTTAAATTTCAAATAGAATAAGTAAAACATCATATTCATGAATTTAATTCCTCTACTAAAATGTCTACATTCCCATTCTATTCCTAAATATATTCTGAATAATTTTAGAAATATTGAAACTTTATTTGGACTACTTATTTATAAAGAGGATACTGCAGTATGCACAAGGTTTGTCTTTTTCCTTAAGTTGCAAAGTGTATATATTCAGAAATGAACAAACCTCAAAAGAATGCTATAAAAACAAGAAATCACATACAGAAAAGGTGCCTTTCATTCTAATCAATAAAAGCAAATAGACACATAATCTAAAAAGTAATAGCCGTGTTTAAATTTTTAAAAGATAGGTTTTCCAAGATTGTGAAAGTGAAATATCCACTTCCATCACTAGGTGGCAGAAAATCACACACTCCCGAATGAACAATTTTTTCTTTCCTTTTTCACATAACCAAATGAAACTACTGAGCTACTTCAAAACAACAATCTTTGTGATGGCAATTACTACTTAAATCATGCATTAAGTCGGAGGAATGGTGTGACTCCAACATAGAGCTAATTTGCTTGTGGTGCAAGGAGAAATCAAATGACAAACAGAAAAGCCTTCCTATGAGATGTATGATTTCATAATTCCAAACGTTATGCTGAAGTGTGAATCTAAGTGAAATATACCTAGTAACCTGCACACCAAAGAGGTCCATAGGTTGTAAGCATCTGTCATGAACTTATTATTATCACCTAACATGGTCTTAAACCAACTGCACCAAAGGAAACACCTTTATAAGTATATACAGCAATTGCTTGTAAGGCCAAAACCATGAAAGAGTTTATTTAGCTGAAAAGAGAGAGCAATTAGTTTACTGCCAGAATAAGTTTTGTATGCTAGAAGCATTAATAATACATGCATTTGTGGAAAACTATATGGTACAGGGCTAGGTGTTCACTTAATCAGGGAAAAGCTTACTATGATGCTGTGCTCTCCTTCACTATGATGTCATGTCAACCACGTTATGCCAAACTGTACCATGCTGTCTGTGCTACTCGTTATATATAGTCTTCCACAAATGCCTGTATTATTAATGCTTGTAGTGTCCAAAACTTATCCTGGCAGTAAACTAACTGCTCTCCCTTTTCAGCCAAAGAAAGTCTTTCATTGTTTTGACCTCACAAGCAATTACCATGTATACTATAAAGGTGTTTCCTTTGGTACAATTGGTTTAAGATCATGTTAAGTGATAATAATAAAGGCAAACAATTACACAGGGCTTACTGTGGGCCAGGTACTACTTTGAGTGTTCGACATATGTTAACTCACGGAACAAAGCTGAGTCTATCAAAAAGTTTGGGGTAAAAGTCTAAACTTTTGATTCTAATTCCCAAAACTTTGAGTTATCTAAGTTTGGTCCATAAGGAAAAATGTGCTATGAAATGAGGTGATGCCGAGAATGCCTAGCACAAGCTGCAGGCTTTCCAAATGGAGAAAAACCCCAGTCCTGTGGGCTGGAACATCATCATCAAGGATCAGCAGAATATTATTTTAAGTTGAAATATTAAAGAACACTTAAGGTTCACTGTATTTTTTAACTTATTAAACTTAAGTTAGTTATTTGAATACAAGGCAATTTTTCACATCATAAGGCTGAAGCACTTAAAAAGGAAATTGAATACTCTGGTTTCTTTTCAGATTACATAAATCATAAAAAGGAAATTGAACGAATTAAATAGATAAGTTTACAATGTTTGAAGGCATTTACTGAGCAAAATGTTTAAGGCTATCAAATTCTCTTTAAAAGTTGCAACTTAAAAGTTTTAAAAAATTTTAGACTGATTTCAATTCACTGCAATGATTTTAAAATAACACCTAGTCCTTTTACAATGGAAGGAAGTTGTCTGGAAATCTAAGAAATGATGTTCTTATCACCCCTCACCATGCCAAGAACAAGCACTGACTGGCTGCTAAGCCAGACTGATTTGCATTGCAAGTATATTCAACCAATGAAACAAAACTTTCCAGATGTTTTCATATAATCAAAATGTTCAGAAATATATTTTGATAGTAACAAGACTGAGACATTTCACTTACTTATAACCCCATGCAGTTATTCCTAATATGAGGGCCAGCACTAAAATGGTGCCAGCAATTATGCCTATTATGATATTGGTGCCAGCAACACCTGAGAGGAAAAAAAGAGAGAAGGAAGATCAGTGGTATAAAATTCTTTCAGAAACTTTATTGTTCAGATGTGTAATCATCATACGAACAACACTGTTTTCAAAAATGCACATATTTCAAAGGAAAGAAAAATCAAGCATAATTCAGCAACCCACATCAGTTGTTTTAAAAATAGTATTTGGTGTATGTCCTTTTCAATTCTTGTCCAAGTACATCTTGCACAGTTTATTTTCCAGAAAACATGATGTCATTGAACTAAAAGAGGGAAGAGTAATGATACCTACAGAGGAACTTGTAGAAAATCTGTATTCCTTTTGATCCTTACCTCTTTATCAGAAATTCCAGAAATGTTATTGTGCATATTATTCCATTTTGACAACTAAAGCAAGGTCCTTATTGCTCTTAGTTGTGTGTGTGTGTGGGGGGGGGTTATATTTTGTCTCTCAAAGTGAATATGAGCTTCTTAAGGGAGAAAACATGTCCACAGACTTTTGTGATTACTGCCCAGGTGGTGTAGATGATAAAAACACTGGGCTTGTAATTCCCAATCTGGGCAATGATGGCTGTGGCATTCTAGAGAAGGAAAACCCAAAGGAAAAAAAGAGTTGAGTGAGCTGGAGGATAGAAGCTGATGTGGCAGGAGAGGGGAGGGAGGCAGCACCACACTGGCAGTGAGACAGGCAGGCAGAATCCAGGGCAGGGTTGAGGCCTAGGACACAGTGATGGCATTGTTATACCAGTATCCATTGTCAGGTAGGCTGAGATATAATCTTTTAGAGGATCATCACAACAAAATGGCACCATGAGTCAAAGTCTTGGTCAATAAGCTCAAAGGAGGGCTCAAAGGCAGAAAAGGCTGATCTGAATGAGGTGTGGCTCTGACACCAGAAGGCCTGCTTTGCTGATAATGATTTATGCCGCATGGTTAACTGCAGAGCTTTCATCCAGAGCAGCTTAGATCCATCTTTGCCTGCTCCATTGCTGAGGCATCCTTTTATACATCAAAGGTCAGGAGTCATGGGCTATTTGAGATTTCAATTCTCCATGACAGGAATGGCAGCCTCTGTCTGGGAGCGCTCAGAAGTCCTATCAGACAGCAGGGCTAGGACATCCAAGCAGACTGGTGGACTCCAACCTGCCAGGTTCTCTGTGGGATGCACAGATGCAGCTACCAGAAGATCCCTTGGGTCAGTAGGATTTTTTTTACTACAAGACCTAGCATGTCTGTCCTCCCTTCCTTTTCTTCCAGGGACTTAACAGGGATTGATAAACTTAAATGTTAATCTTGTTTATTTCTAAGTAATGGGTATGGTTTTGACAAGTCACTTAAATCCATGTACCTAAATATTATTGTCTGAATTAACTACTGGAATAAGCTCCACACTACCACTGCTAAGACTGGCATTCTAAAATCTTAGTCATCCTATGATTTTCTCTATAAAAGTCATATTAGCTAAGACTGTTTACCTTTCCGGATTATTAGAATGAACTTCGAGATTTGAGCATTATATTGTATAAAAGAATACTCAATAATAAAATGGTGAAATAGTGTAAAAGGGGACATTTACCTACAATGTATTAGTTCTTTCAACCATCTGCATTCAGTTTCTATATCCCCACTTGGGCCACCCTAGTTTTTAGGACTGCATCTGTTATTTCTTATCCATGTCCTTAAAACCCCTCCAGGAACCTTGGCCAGGACTACTGCTTCTAGTTCAGGCTACAGAACTGGGGTTGAACAACAATGAGATTCTATAATAAACAATATTAAAATATTTTAAAATCAATTAATTCTTTTAAATTATTCAGTTCAAAAATTTAAAACTCTTCCTTTAAATTCACACAGTTATGAGTTATGACTACTTTCTTCATTTAAAAGAAATGTTATAGTTTATTGACAGCCTCAGACAAGTATAATACTTGAAAAATCTCAGAATAAAGTAGGTCAAGATAAGGTTAATTAAATAGACTAAGTTTACATAATATTACATATCATTATAATTTAATGGACATAATCAGTTTCACAAACTGGACCCTAGTTGTATAATTCATTATTATGAAGATGTTTGATTGTCATCAAAATAACTCAGGTAAAGGTGTTCAGAGAGCAGTTTTCTCTGTCTTTGTGTAAAAAGACTACATGATGTTACCAAATTAAGTACTTACCATTGCCAGACAGAGTGATACCAGTCTTTGCATCATCATTATGAGGGAAGTAAGTGTTGCAGTCAGAACCTATCCAGTGTCTGTTACAAACACACTTCAGCTCATTACTGCAAACCTGAAATCCAAAATCAAGCCAGAGTAAATGTCAACTCTCTGGTACAGAGGCATGAAAAATAAACACTAATTTCTTACTATTATATGCTTAGAATTTGATAATTCTGAAAAATTATTAGTATGTTCTTCCTAATACTAATTACATTATTTCGCCCTCCACTACCTCAAATAAATGTTTCCTAGAGACCAACAACTGACCAAAAGGGAACGATGAATTTTAAGAGAAATTTATCTGTCTATAAAAAAAAAATCAAAGAAATTATTGTTTTGAATTTCATTAACTCAAATTTTATGAGGAAGATTTTAAAAACTAAACAGACATACAATAATCTGTCAGTTATCTAATACAAAGGTTTCTTTGCTTCCTTAGTAGGCATCTTTATGCAAAAATGTTATTAATTTTTTAGGAAGCAAAATGAGATAAAAATCTGATGAAGAGGGGAGACCTGATGTTTTGCAGGGGTCTGAGAAGTAAGTTTCACAAGGCTATAACCTTGGCACCTCAATCCATGCTGTGGATACTAGCTATGTCAGGGTCAAGGAACTCCCACAAACAGAGTATAGAAAAAAAGATTCACATAAAATTGACACCATTTTTTTTTATATTATAGGAAAATTATCTCTCTCCATTAGTCCACTCAGGAAACAGAATATACACCTAAATCTAATTCAAAACAACTTTGAATAGAGAATGAGGAGAGAGTTAAGTTAGGTTTCAGATGAGCTAAGTTTCTCCTGAAACAGGTTTTCACTACAGGGGTTTCCGTCTTGTCTGATCTAATTTTCAGGAACACAACATACATCTACATCCAAATGTAACTATAACCCAGCTTCACTAAGAGCCACAGATTAACAAATAGGCAGAAAGAAAAAGGTTTAGGCTTAAAATTAAAAGGCCTGGATTTGAGTCACCCTATCACTCCTATCTTGCTAAGGGACCTTAATCAAGTCACTTGGCTTCTTTAAGCATCAGTTGCTATGTCACATATCAGGTATCAATGAAATAGTGACAAGAACAGACAGTGATGCCAGGGTACAGTAATAATAATAAATAGCACAGCTTATATTTATATCCCAGGCTTGTTTTAAGTGCTTTACAAGTTAACTCATTCTTCGCACAATCCTTTAAAGCAGGCACTATTATTATCTCCATTTTACAGAGGAAGAAATTGAGTCGCAAAGTGTATGAAATTTGCCCAATGTTACCCAGCTAGTAAAAAGCAGAGTTGGGATTCAAACCCAGGCCATATGATTTCAAGCCCACACTTTTAAATACATAATACATAGTACATAAAGAATACTTGTATTAATTTTTCCTGTATTAATTTTTGTCACAAATACAGTTGAGTTGCTGTAAGTTAAAATTACCCCAAATATAATTATGTATAATTATTGTGAATACATAATTATATTATGTATTTATATATTATGCATAATTGTTTTAAATTATCTGAATGCTAAGTTGTCATCTGATTTACTTGCATTGGTTATTCTTCTACTAATTAATTAAACAAACGGTCACTAAGTACAACTATGTTTGGTCTCTTGTATTTTGTTTCAGAATCTTAAGATGGATAAGGTATGATTATTCATTAGCATGGATGATCAAGAAAAATTCCATTATTCTTCTCCTCTGATACCCTAAAAGTATTTCTCCCTGACATCCTCTTAAAGATTAAGGAAAGAAGACTTGGAAGACTCCTTCGCAGGAGCAGAGCTACTCAGTACATGTCTGCTCTACTCTTACATGCCACGAGAATTCCTATGCTTTGGCAAGAAGGAACAATTAGTTACTTTCCTAAATAAATTCTTGGCATATCCCTGAGGATGTGCATGGAATGACCAGAATTGAAGGCTTACAATCCCAAAACAGAAATCCTTTGTTTTAACTGAATAATACAACAGTTCAAGCAAAGAATCTGGAACAAAGATAAAAAGAATGTCACAGTGCATGCTAAAAGAAATAGAACAAAAATATTTTTGGTAGTATTAGAATTCCTAAGTGAAAATGAGAAAACTTTATCAAGAGTAGAGAATGAATATTTAACCTGGAAACTTACCTGTACAGGATATACATTATCTGACATATAACTGAAAGAATAGAATTAAAAGTCTTTCAAATGCCATTTTTTTCTATTCATTTGTAAGAAACATTTCCCTAAGTTATTCTGTTTTTATTTCTAGGACTTATCCTCAGCTTGTACACACTGGTGTGGCTACAGCAGTTATTAATAGCCTGTTCAGATTTGTCAGTGCCTATACCACATCAGTTGTTAAATACTGTGGCCATTACATCTAATTTTTATTCTCTTTCTTAAAATACCATTATAGTTTGTTAAAATTTATCTCCTAGTTCACTTGAGATAAAAGTTGGCAGATAAAAAAGAAGGATGTAAGAATTTGGTTAGAAAAATTATCCTTTCCTCAGGAGGCTGAGGCAGGAGAATTGCCTGAGCCCAGGAGGCGGAGGTCGCGGTGAGCCGAGATCGCGGCATTGCACTCCAGCCTGGGTAACAAGAGCGAAACTACGTCTCAAAAAAAAAAAAAAAGAAAAATTATCCTTTCCTTATTCCCAGGCTTTCTTAGATTATATAACAGAAATATTCAAATAGCTATAATTAAATTAGTATTTACATACCAGCTGGAAATATGAATAATCAATCATGTTTTCCATAATTAAGGAAATAAGTAGTTTAGGGCCATATCTGCTTCTGTGATATAAAAGAAATAGTTCCCAAGAAGGTACTGGATACTTACTCCATTTCCTGAGCAAATAGTGCCTTCTTTACTGCTCAAGCAAGTGCTAAAGTTGAAAGAAGCCACCGGAAGACACCTGTGTTCTAAGCACATCATTTGGGGGCCACAAGGTGTCCCATCTTCCACATAGCCAAGATCTACATCTTCTTCAAGCTTTACATGCCCACCACTAAAGACAAATTTAGAGCAAAAAATGAGTCTAGTAATTAATATTCATTTTGAAAATATGCTCAAAAACTTAAAAGTAGACAATATCGCTTCCTTTATTCTATTGATTATTTAATAAAAACTAGTAGCATAAGCCAGTTCAATCTCAGAGAAAGCCATTGAATCTTTTGATCTAATTCCTTTTGGAGAAATTGATAGTTTAGGATTTAAACATAATTATCATAACTGGGCCCTGAATTGAAACAGCTTTATCATTTCACCTGGGCTACAAAAGTTAAATAAGGCATTATTAGTAGCATGTAATTTGATAAGTAGGTTTCAAGATTTGAAGTGTGTTTCAGACAAGGATGAGAATTGGTTTTGGTTTACCCAAAAAGATTGCATATGTATCAATTATATTTGAGAATGACTAAACTATTGTTTTATCATTCAATATAGCAAACCTGCATATTAATTAGAAATGTTTTTTAAAACCACGGTAAGAATTGAAAATATATATTCATAATTTATTCATACGGTGCCACATCATTGCTACTATAAAAGTCCCCATTCTTTTTTTAACTTTTATTTTATGTTTAGGGGTACATGTGCAGGATTGTTATATAGGTAAACTCATGTCATGAGGGTTTGTTGTGTAGATTATTTCATCACCCAGCTACTAAGCCTAGTACTCAATCGTTATTTTTTCTTACTCACTCCTCCTCATCACATACCTCAAGTAGGCCCCAGTGTCTGTTGCTCCCCTCTTTGTGTCCATGTGTTCTCAATATTTAGCTCCCACTCATAAGTGAGAACATGTGGTATTTGATTTTCTGTTCCTGTGTTAGTTTGCTAAGGATGATGGCCTCCAGCTCCATCCATGTCCCTGTGAAGGACATGATCTTGTTCTTTTTTAAGGCTGCATAGTATTCCATGGTGTACATATATGTTCCACATTTTCTTTATCCAGTCTGCCACTGATGGGCATTTAGGTTGATTCCATGTCTTTGTGACTGTGAACAGTGCTGCAATGAACATATGTGTGTGTGTATCTTTATGATAGAATGATTTATATTCCTTTGAGTATATACCCACAGGATTGCTGGGTGGAATGGTATTTGTTTTTAGGTCTTTGAGGAATTGCCCGACTGCTTTACACAATGGTTAAACTAATTTATACTCCCACCAAAGGTGTGTAAATGTTCCCCCTTGCAACCTCATCAGCATGTTATTTTTTGACTTTTTAATAATAACTATTCTCACTGGTGTGAGATAGCATCTTACTGTGGTTTCTCTAATGATCAGTGATATTGAGCTTTTATTCATATGCTTGTTGACCACATGGATTTCTTCTTTTGAAGTGTCTGTGCAGGTCCTTTGCCCACTTTATAATGAGGTGGTTTTTTTCTTGTAAAGTTAAGATCCTTACAGACGCTAGATATTAGACCTTTGTCAAATGCATAGTTTGCAAAATTTTTTTCCCATTCTGTAGGCTGTCTCTTTACCCTGTTGATAGTTACTTTTGCTGTGCAGAAGCACTTTAGTTTAATTAGATTCCATTTGTCATTTTTTGCTTTTTTGTTGTGATTGCTTTAGGTGTCTTCATCATGAAATCTTTGACTATTCTTAGTGTCCAGAATAGTATTGCCTATGTCGTTTTCCAGGGTTTTTATAGTTTTGAGTTGTATATTTAAGTCTTTCATCTATTATGAATTGATTTTGGTATATGGTGTAAGGAAGGGGTCCAGTTTCAAACCTCTGCATACGGCTAGCCAGTTATCCCAGCACCATTGTATAGGAAGCCCTTTCTCTATTACTTGTTTTTGTCAGCTTCATCGAAGATCAGGTGGTTATAGATGTGCTACTCTATTTCTGGGCTCTCTATTCTGTTCCTTTGGTCTACATACCTGTTTTTGTACCAGTACTGTGTCGTTTTGGTTACTGTAGCCCTGTAGAATAGTTTGAAGTTGAGTAACATGATGTCTCCAGCTTTTTAGTCCCTGTGAATTTTAAGTTTTTTCTAGTTCTGTGAAGAATGTCACTGATAATTTAACAGCAATAGCATTTAATCTGTAAATTGCTTTGGGCAGTATGAACATTTGAATAATACTGATTCTTCTGATTTATAAGCATAGAATGTTTTTCCATTTGTTTGGGGCATCTCTCATTTCTTTGATTAGTGTTTTGTAATTGTCATTGCAGAGATTTTTCATTTCCTTAACTCACTGTATTCCTAGGCATTTTATTATTTTTATGGCAATTGTGAATGGGATTGCATTTCTGATTTGGCTCTCAGCTTGGCTATTGTTGGTGTATGGGAATGCTAACGATTTCTGTAGGCTGATTTTGTATCCTAAAACTTTGCTGAAGTTGTTTATCAGCTGAAAGAGCTTTTAGGTTGAGACTATCGGTTTTCTAGATAAAGAATCATGTCATCAGCAAAGAGCAAAAGTTTGACTTCCTCTCTTCCTATTTGGATGTCCTTTATTTCTTACTCTTGACTAATTGCTCTGGCCAGGACTTCCAATACTATGTTGAATAGGTGTGTGAGAGAGGACATCTTTGCCCTGTTAAGTTTTCAAGGAGAATGCTTCTAGCTTTTGTCCATTCAGTATAATGTTGGCTGTGGGTTTGTCACAGATAACTCTTATTTTGAGGTATGTTCAACACCTAGCTTATTGAGAGTTTTTAGCATGAAAGGATGTTGGATTTTATCAAAACCCTTTTTTTTGCATAATCATGTGATTTTTGTCTTTAGTTCTATTTATGTAATAAATCGTATTTACTGATTTGTGTATGTTGAACCAAACTTGGATCCTGGGAATAAAGTCTACTTGATTATGGTGGACATGCTTTTTGATGTGCTACTCAATTTGGTTTGCAAGTGTTTTGTTGAGGATTTTTTAATCAGTGTTCATCAATAATACTGGGCTGAAATTTTCTTTTTTTGTTTTGTCTCTGCCAAGTTTTCATATGAGGATGATACTGGCCTCATAGAATGAAACAGGGAGGAGTCCCTCAGTTTTCTGGAATAGTTTCAGTAGGAATGGTACATCCTCTTTGTACATCTGGTAGAATTTGGCTGTGAATTTGTTTTGGTCTTGGCTTATTTTTGGTTGGTAGGCTATTTATTACCGATTCAATTTTGGAGCTTGCTATTGGTCTGTTCAGGAAATCAGTTTCTTCCTGGTTCAGGCTTGGGAGTGTGCATGCGTCCAGGCATTTTGTCCATCTCTTCTAGGTTCTCTTTTTCTTTTTTTACTTTTCTCTTTTTCTTTTCTTTTCTTTTTTTTTTTTTTTTTTTTTTTTTTTTTTTTTTTTTTTTTTTTTTGAGATGGAGTTTTGCTCTTGTTGCCCAGGCTGGAGTGCAATGGTACCATCTTGGCTCACCGCAACCTCTGCCTCCTGGGTTCAAGTGATTCTCCTGCCTCAGCCTCTTGAGTCACTGGGATTACAGGCATGTGCCACCATGCCTGGCTATTTTTGTATTTTTAGTAGAGACGGGGTTTATCCATGTTGGTCAGGCTGGTCTCGCACTCCCAACCTCAAGTGATCCACGCACCTCAGCCTTCCAAAGTGCTGGGATTGATTACAGGCATGAACCACCACACCCAGCCTCTTTTAGGTTTTCTAGTTTGTGTGCCAGAGGTGTTCATAGTAGTCTCTGATGATTGTCTGTATTTCTGTGGGGTCAGTGGTAACATCTCCTTTGTCATTTCTGATTGTATTTATTTGGATCTTCTCTATTTTCTTCATTAGTCTAGCTAATGAAGCTAATTTTCTTATTAAGTTTTTCAAAAAATAAACTCAGATTTGGTATTTTACTTGGCTTTTCACATCTCAATCTCCTTCAGGTCAGCTCTGATTTTGGTTATTTCTTGTCTTCTGCTAGCTATGGGGTTGGTTTGTTCTTGCTGCTCTAGTTCTTCTAGTTGTGATGTTAGGTTGTTAATTTGAGATCTTTCTAACTTTTTGATGTGGGCATTTAGGGTATAAATTGACCTCTTAACACTAACTTAGCTGAGATTCTGGTATGTTATATCTTTCTTCTCATTCGTTTCAAAGAACTTCTTGATTTCTGCCTTAATTTCCTTATTTACCCAAAAGTCATTTCAGGAGTAGGTTGCTTAATTTCTATGTATTGCATGGTTTTGAGAAATTTTTAGTCTTGATTGCTATTTTTATTGTGTTGTGGTCCAAGAGTAGGTTTAGTATAATTTCAGTTATCTTGCATTTGCTGAGGATTGTTTTATGTCCAATTGTGTGGACATATTTTATCAAATTTTAGAGTATGGGCCATGTGATGATGAGAATAATATATACTGTGCTGTTTTTAGGTGAAAAGTTCTACAGAGGTCTATCAGATGCATTTGGTCCAATATTGAGTTCAGGTACTGAATATCTTTGTTAATTTTCTGCCTTGATGATCTATCTAATACCAGCAGTGAAGTGTTAAAGTCTCCCACTGTGTTTGTCTGGGAGTTTAAGTCTCTTTGTACGTCTTTAAGAACTTGCTTTATGAATCTGGGTGCCCTGTGGGGGTGTGCATATATATTTAGGATAGTTAGCTCTTCTTGCTGAATTGAACCCTCTACCATTACATAATGTCCTTCTTTGTCTTTTTATATTTTTGTTGGTTTGAAGTATGTTTTGTCTGAAATTAGGATTGCAACCCCTGTTTTCTTTTTCTGATTTCCATTTGCTTGGAAGGTTTTCCCCCTTCCCTTCATTTTGAATCTATAGGTGTCACTGCATATGAGATGGGTCTCTTGAAGATAGCATACCACAGGGTCTTATTTTTATCCAGCTTGTCACTCTGGTGCCTTTTAAATGGGGCATTTAGCCCATTTACATTCAATCCCCATTCACTTCATTTATTTTTATCAAAATTACATATGCATGCAGTTTAAATAATCAATAGATAAACCGTTTTTAAACACAATAAAGTCTGAAACACCTCTCTAGATATTCTTCCAGATACTCCTCCTGAGAGAAAGCCACCTTCTACTCTTAATTCATTCTTCTGTTACTTATGAAAGTCTCCTGGCGTTTCAGGCCTGCTCTTATCTGTTCTGATTGTGCCAGTTTCATAGCAATGTAAACCATGAGCCGGTTTTGTAGCAATGTATATCTTGACTTTCATCTCACTATCAACTTGGGGATTGCCCTGTCTCTCCTTGTGGTATCTTATTTCCTATATTCCCTGTCTTTTTCTTTCTTGATTTCCTTTGTTTTAGTGGATTGCAATTTCCAGTACCTTCCTGAGGAATTTGCAGCATAACTAAACAGGTCTTTATTTTCTACTCTCACACTTGATTGATATTTTGCCAGAGTACAAAATTCTAGTTTGTAAATAATTTTCTCCATTAGTCTTCTCACTCCTAGGGCTCCTGTTGCTAAATCCTAAACCACTTTAATTCTTAAGTCTGATTTTTTTCTCCTCTCTGGAAACTTTTAAAATTCTTTGCTTCGTCTTAAGGTTCTAAAATTTCATAATGATTATGTTTAGATGTATCTCTAATTTCACTCATTGTATTCAGCACTTGGGAGAGCCTGTTAATATGGAAACTCCAGCCCTTTATTTCTAGACCATTCTCTTGATTTATTCATTGAAAATTTCCTCTTTGCTGTTTCCTCTGTCTAATAGGTTAAGATTTTCTTTTCCATTAATATATTCCATTTCTTTTCCTTTTTAAATTTACTTTCTAGAATTTCAACTATGTTTTTTCTTTCTGAATGATGTTTTTTAAAAAAAGAAAAAAACAAAACAGCATCCTATTTTATTGTTTCATTATAGAAGTCTTATCTCTCATAAATATTGATAAGTGGTTTTATTTTTTCCCCTTCATTGTCTCATTGTTTTTGTCTCCTTTTTTTCATGTTACAGACTTTTCTTCACATCTCTGATAACCTACATATATTTGAGTCAGGAGGCCAAATAGATGACTGGAAATTGGACCCATTAAGGTTGGACTACTTCCATGCAACACTGATATAAATACTGCTTGCTGTCCTCCAGTTTAGAAACTTCCTCTTTTATTCTCCATAGAGTATAAATTTCCAGTCTTCCATGGGAGGGAAATCCCCAGTTTAGCTGAGTTGGGGGAAGTAATCTGAGTATCTCACTGCTTTCATCTGTTTTCTGTATTTCAGCCCCTTTCCCCCATGCCTTCCCTCCCTCTTCCTAACGTAGATGATGCTGTCAATTTCTGAGCCTGTGACGAAGTAAGAGTTTATCTTGGATTGATTCTCAGTTTTCCTAAGTACTGACTCAGGAATTCAGCTTTCTCAGCTTCGATAAGTCATGTGCCACACATCCATTTGCTTTATATATAAACAAATATTGTTGCTATTGTCTCTTCTCTCTTTCTCTGCCTCCCTGTGGATATATGAACTTTTTAAAAAGATCAATTTGATATCATTTTAGTGGGATTTCATAAGGGAGCAAAAGTAGATGCATATATTTAATATGTTGATTTTACCCAGAGTCCTCATTTTCCTTAATAAGAATTAAATGGAAACCAAACTCTGTAAGACTTTACTGACCAATCTAAGCCTAACTCTAGTAATCACATAATATTCTTCATTCAACTATTTTTTTTGTCTTCTTTTTATCTCTTCTCTGTCAGGATTTACTCAATCATCTCTATGAACTAGATTATATTTTGACCTACTAACATATACATGAATTGAATACAGAAGGAATCCTAAACTGCATTCCTGAGAAAAAAGGTGACTCAGGTTCTTACAGAATGCTTAGATGATTACCTGCAGTTTAATGTTCTTCCTTGCTGCACAACTAAAGTAGATGTGATTTCACCATCGAGTTCTCCAAGCCTTGGGATATTACCAATATTGGTACACAAAAGGTAACCACAAAGCACATCCCTGTGTCAAAAGATTACCAATTACTTCTTTTCCCAAAGATAAAGCAAACCACGTATAGTAAGAATGATAATCTTCTCTCATTCTAGCGTTTCATTTTCATCAAGTACATTATCTACTCATATGCCAAGCAAAATAAAGTAAGTCCAAATTAGTGTGCCACCTACTCTAAAAGTGTCTTCTCTGAAACTCTTGTTGGTGCACCAAAATCCCCATTGTTTCCTAGCTTTTTCTTTACTGTCTGTTAGTTCAAGTATTTAAAGAATCAATCAAATAGGCTTCTTTTATATTGACACCTCTCTTCCCCTAAGACAATACTGGATATAGTAATCTATTTCTTCTTCTTCTTCTTCTTCTTTTCCCCTAGAGTCAGGGTCTTACTCTGTTCTTCAGGTCAGGTTGGAGTGTAGTAGTGTGATCATGGCTCAATGCAGCCTCAAACTCCTGAATTCAAGTGATCCTCCTGCCTTGGCCTCCCAGATAGCTGGGACCACAGGTGTATGCTACCATACCCAACTAACTTTTAAATTTTTCACAGAGACAGAGTCTCACTATGTTGCCCAGGCTGGTCTTGAATTCCTGATCCCAAGCAGGAACCTCCTTCCTCAACCTCCCAAAGCACTGGGGTTACAGGCATGAGACACTGTGCTCAGTCAATTTTTTTTTTTAATGGTAACTGAGTGATATTTGTATGAGCATTCTTTTGGAATACAGATTTTTTTCCAACATGTTGCCCTAGAATTAAAGAAGAAACTATATACTACATATATTTTATAGATTGTCAACTACAAAGGCTCATTATCCTTTCTTCAATATATTTTACTACTTCCCCAACTATTGCATATGATACTAATTTAACTTACAAAATATCTTTACTGGTGTTAATACAATCTTACATATTATTTATATCCAACGCATTTTAATTATTGGTAGAGATAACAATAAACATTTTTAAAATATCTTGTGAGGATTAATTAGTAAGTCTGAAAGATTATATATTAAAATATCAGACTTTATCAGATGAAAAATAAAGAAAAATTAGAACCTATATTTTTAACCAACACAGAAAAGAATGTATTAATTTTTTCTTTAAAAATGCTTTTTAAAATTATGTCATCATGGTACTGTATCTATCATAAACAAAAATGCTTTCTCAACAGAGAAGAGATATTCAATCCAAATTTTCTGAATGGCATTTATGTATCTAAACCTAAGTAATTTAGAATATATAAAGAAAATTCGGTATTATTTTTATCCACAAAAAATTATACTCTAGATGAGATGATATATCACAAACATAAACATAAAACAAAATCAGGGCCAAATAAATACAAAGTGCTGTGGAAATTCACAGAAGACACAGATGATTTATTTCTAGAGTAAATCAGAAAGGAATTTATATAAAGTGTTTTCCAAGCTGGGCTTTGAAGAATAGATATATTATTGGCTGGTGATGGTATGAGTTAAAGGGTGTTTCTGGAGAAATAAATAGCACAAATGTAGACATGGAAGTACACATATTAGGAATGGTAAGGTTTGCTAGATTTGGAACAATATAAATGAAATGACAAAAAATGTAGGTTGGGGAAAATTGTGGAATAGGTACAGTGTCAAGCTAATGTTCCGTTTAATTTGTTAATAAGACTATGACATTCAGCAAAATGGTGAAGGGAGAGTTTTGAAATCATACTCTCCAAATTCTAATTCTGCTTATTATTACGTCCCATATACATGACTTTGGGCAAGTTAACTGTGTCTCAGTTTCCTCCTCCATAAACCAGGAGGACTGCCATAAAGATTAAATGGTATAACTTATATAAAGTGTGATACAGTGCTTAGCCCATAGTGTTCACTCAATCAATGCTGGGTCCTATTCTCATTATTAATTAGCCATGTGGAAGCAGTGAAATTTCAACAATGAATTGACAGCAAAAAAAGATCTGAAAGATTATTCTGATAGTAGTACACCAGGGAATCCTGGCACAGAAAACTCTTAAGAGAATTCTGTAATAGTTGAAGCATCAATATAGGTCTTAGTTCAGGTAATGGCAACAGGCATGTAAATGAATACATGAATTAAAGACAAATGGTGGCAAAGCAAAGGGAAGAATGGACTTAATTTGGCATTGGGACAACGTGTAGAGGGAAGGTAGCGCGTCAAGGATCACTTTAAGGCTTCTAGACAGAAGGACAGTGAAATATTGAGACCTTTGTCAAAAAAAAAAAAAAATGGTGGTTTGGGAAAGTTAGAGCCAGTTAAATTCAATTCAGTAGCACTGAGTACATATTCTGGTGGCTTTATGTTCTGTTGCTTTTGAGATGCTGAAAGGTGTCTTCTAGGTAAGAAAATACTGAGGTAGCTGCAAGTATGACCTGGGCCTTAGGAGAGAGGTAAGCACACATGTCAAGGTTCGGAAGCCCTCTGCATAGGTGATGCTGCAACACTGGGAAGAGATGAGGTTAAAGAGGCAAGAGCACACTTCGTATTATGCACAAAACTTCCCAGTCACTCAAAAGAGTACACTTGGAATTGACCAGGGGATGAATTCCAGGCTGACTTCTCCACCTCACCGTTTGTTGCACTGTATCCATGTGTCTTTGTCTTTCCCACAGTTACCCTTCTCTGTTCCTTCAATATTCAGTTTCTCATAGCAGTATTTGTCTGATGCTGTCACCTCTGAGGCAGAAAAAATTTGTTCAGTGAGGCAAGTAACATTTAACTGCTCAAAATCTTTGCAAAAAAGGAAAATTGTAATATAAGGACTCTTCATCACTAGTGTTATCAATCCCAAAAATGTTACCAATGGTTCACAACTGTACCATGGATTGTAGATATCCATGACTCAAATATATTCCATTAAAGCGCACTTGAAATTTAGAAAACAAATATATTCAGATCTCTGTTGGGTTTCAGGCTGCAGGCTACAAAAACAAACACTCCTTGGAATTTGTCCAATAATTAGGGGAGGGCAATACCAAATAGTTCCTTGAATATATTCTCCATTCTTTAACCTCAATACTAAATATAATACATGAATTTCTCATTCAGCATATTTTATTAATCATAAAGACAAGTTTATTTAAATAGTTATATCCTAGAAGATTCAAGAAACAGTGGTACAGTTTTTACCTTGCTCACCACTTCTTAGCAGCTATCAAAAGCAATTTTACTTTGCATTAAGACCAACTTGAATTCATGCTAAGTCTCTGAAAGTGAAATAACATTTTAAGGTATGTCGGTATCTTGTTCGAGCTTTTATCTCTTCTAAAGCCAGGGACGGTTGACAGAGTAATCTAAGAATTAGGACAAAATTCGAACTAATCAAAGAATAATTGTTGGTATATATTTTTTTAAAAACCAACTAGTTATGATGGTAGTTTCTTTTCCTACTTCTTGTTGTCAGCTACTCTTTTTGCTCAAGTGGATAAAACAAAAATGATACATTTTTTCAGAGTACAAACCTGCCTGACTAAATGTTTTCCCATCCCAATGTTTCCAATTGCTTAAAGAGAGCATACACTTCCCCTCCTAAAAGGATTGTGGCACCTACTTATGACAATTAAGAATTATCATTATTTTGTATCCTGAAACAGTTTACAGTTACAAATTGTATCCTGAATCAGTTTAAAACAAAAACTGCTTCCAAAAGTTTGAGCTAGTAATACTTCTAGACAACAATATATTAAATATACATTTAAATAGAGTATAATTTAAATACAAATGTTATATATTTTCCTTTGAAAATCTGATAGACTTTAAAGCCTAAAACTTTAACATTTCTTTCTGATACAGCAAAGCCACCTTAGCAGAAATGCTGCTGTTCTAAATCAAGGATATCCTGTCCAGGGTTCATGTCCATCCCATATGGTTCCGCAGCTTTGGCTTCAGGGCACTCAGCTGAGAAGAGTATACATGGAGCTGAAATCCAGGTCTGCTCTATTCTCCAAGCTGTGCACCCTGGCATGGGCTTCATCTGCCCGGCAGCAGAGGCACTTTCTGTCTCGTCTACAGGCACTGCCAACTAGCCAAGATGTGCTGGGCTGTCTTCTCACAGCGGTGCCTTACTCTAATTTCCAGAAACATCCCCCTGCTAAGATCTGCAGTAGCTTTGAGAATCCCCCAGCCATAAAGTGGTCAAAAATTTACTTTCAGCACACTTGTCCTTGAAAAGTCTGCCTGATATCATACTTTAACACTGATCAAGCCACACTATTTACTTACTTTGCCCCCAGATGTATTTGCATTGTCTATCCCTGGTTTTACATCTTCCTCCAAAGCAAATTCCCTAAAATGGAAAAGCAAATACCCATTAGCAATGCAATATCTGCTTATGTCAGATAACTGAAAAAGAAACTATGATCTGGAAAAATAATAGATGAATAGTAGACCTTTTATCTTCAGAATTGATTATAAACATTTAAATGGATCTTCCTATTTTGACAAGATTTCAGAATTTCTTTTATGCTGGTACACACGAAAAATTTAGGTAAAAATGAAGTGACCTACCTGAACACCATCACATGAATATCCATCCATTTTATGAATATTAGGGGCACACTAGGAAAAAGAGAACAAACAATTAATCAAATACAGTGAAAAATAAATGGATGAGCTAATCCCTTTCATGTTTTCACTTTTAAAAACACATTTGATAATATCGCTAGTACCTTATACCATCTGAAAATAAGATGCAAAGGAGGTCAAGAGAAAGCAAGTATATGTCCTTAAAGTCCGGGTATTTGGTTAAGAAAAAAAAAAAAATTAAAGAGCTGACTACAATACACTCAATTAATGATATATTTAAAAGCATCTTGATTCATACAGATAAACTATTTTTCAGAGCAAGAAAGGGGACAAGACAAAAGTAAAGAGTAGGTCGGCACAGAGGGAGTAATAACTACAGTTTCCTTTCTTTTGCCATGAGAAGAAACATAGCCCTTATACTTAAAATAATGGCTTTCAAGCCGAAGTCTACTTTAAGAATGTCAGAAAAGAACACACTTTATAATCCTTTTTTGCAGCAATTATAAAAAATTATAAGGCACTCTTGAATGAGTATAAACAGAGAGCAAATCGCGCAGTTGTGTTGCCTCTTTGTCTTCCGGTGATACCGTGCCATTTTGCAAAAATGGAATATCAAGAAAGGAAACTGGCCAATAGAGTTGGAAGTGCAGCAAAGAAAATTGATGACAACAGAAGTCAAATGCAAATTGAACTTACAAATGGAGTTATAGAAAAAAATAGCTGACAGTGGGAATATTGATACTGCTGTTCAAGAGCCTCTAGACATGCAGCACCCCAGAGGAACTTGGTGAAGGAGGACCTAATGACATTGGTGAATAAGGTGACTATGACATATAGGTGACAACTGCCCTGAGTGGGTAATGCCAGCAAGAAATTTCACGTTCACGTCTTCACATCTCTCGGGTATCTCATGACATTGAAAGCACAAAGAATAAAATGTTGAAAGCTGATCCAAACTAGGAGTGTGACAGCTCAGCAAGGCACAGAAAAGACACTCACTCTCTATCATAAAGCTTGTAAGAAGAAGGCAAGCTCTATTCAAACTACCCTGGTAAGTATTTTACAAAGGAAACAAATCCTTTAATTCTCAATGTTCCTCTTTTAATGTACAGTATGCTAAATAAATATTATTCTTTCACCTCTCTATGCATTTAAAACCAACAGTAAGAGAGTTTTTAATAATTTGACAGCATTTTTTGAAGATTGTAAAACAACTGCAATATTTTTCTGATTATTAAAATGACTTTTAATGTCATTTTTATGGTTTGGCACAACCCTTCAAAGTGAGGACTGCCTGTAGGTACACTGTCCATTTTGAAATCTGTGAACCCCCCGCAAAGTTTATTCAATTTATCTAGCCTGTCTATTTATAGCTAAGTGCTATAAAATTCAAATGCAGCTATTAATGGTGATGCAAGCTGTGTCAGAGAGGAGTCAAGAGAAGGAAATGGGTCCTCTCTAAGAATCCAATGTGCTTCTGGGCCCTTGCCTCCGCTGACTCCTGTTTCAATCAGCTGAAGAGAAAGAATTTTTTTTGTTGCTTCTTTTACTAAGTAAATGAAAAGAAAATGCCTACTTAATACAAAAACAAAACAGTTAAGGCATGCATGCAGTCTGAGGTTACTTCAACATTAAGACAAAAATTATGTTCAACATCTGCTTCAATCACTGAAACTGAAATTCCTAAAAAAGTGGAAAGACAGTGAGAAGTAATGTGAAAGAGACATGAGCATCTTGCTCATTTACATTTCTCTTTAAGGGACAGTATGCTAAGGATACCTCCACTTTTTCCCATATGGTTTAGAGTAGTTATTTTGTAAATTACCTGGCTCGAATTTCCTGAGCATGTTTCACGAATATCACAATCATTTACTGCTTCTCGGCACACAGTGCCCATAGGCTGAAACTAAAATGAACAAAAATCAATGTGTGAAACTGCAGAAAAGAAAAAAAAGACATCTTACAATATCATCTAAAGAAAGCAAAATGAAAATTGTTTGGCTAGAAATACTTTAAATTATTCTAAGATGGTTATCTGTGAAAACCACAGTTAGTTAAAAAAAAATTTTTTAATAGCTTTAAGAAACAGTTTCTTGTGTTGATGAAATTTCCATAGTCATGACACATAAGCCTTATATTATACTGCTAAATTCCACAAGACAAACCAGTTAGTCCAGGTTCTAGTAATTTTTCTGTACACATAGCTTTTGAATTTACCCTTTATCCTTCATTCTCACTGACATTTTTATCACATGATTCTTTTTTTGCCTTATCTACCAAGAATTTTAAAATTATATTTTGGGTTGAATAATAAAAATTAGATTTTCTGGCAAAGTTATTTCCTCCAATGCTTCTTCTTACCTTCTCTCCTGCCTTATTTTTACATAGATTTAGATCCTGGCCTTTTATTCTTTTCTAGTGTTTCTATTATTTATGCCTATGTATAGGCACTTTCGTTTTTCTGTTTTCCATCACATCAAATACTTCTTGCAAGCGTGAGAATTGTATAAACAAATTTTTAACTTCATTAGGTTAAAAATGTGAATTACAAGAGTACTCATTAAAACAAAACAGATGAGAGATATACAGCTAAAGTACTTCCCTTCCCTCCTCAATCCGTCTTTTTTCCTCTCCGAAATGGTAGCATTCAGGGCTGGATCCTTAACACGGTTTGTCTCTGCTCACACAAAGGCACATGTTATTCTGTTTCCCCTACTTTCTAGATAAGCTTTATCTTCTCTAGCTGCTCAGAACCCTACAGGCATTTGAGTCTCTGGCTGTTCCTAGCACATACACTACCCACATAAACTCCAATCTGGATTTCAGCAAGTATTTTTTTTCAGAAGATCCAAACAAAATATGTATTCATTCATACATTCATCAAGTATTTAATAATGTGCAAAGCACTGTTCTAACCACTGGGAACTCAATGGAGAACAAAACCCAAGAACTCTGCTCATAAGGAACTTGCATCTTAATGTGGGTTAAAAATAAAGAAATAAAAAAATTTAATTTCACATGTTTCTCTTCTTCCCTGGGACTGAGGGAAGCCACCATTTAGAATATCTAGGGTAGAAATATGAGCAAATTTGGAGCAGTTTAGAGGAGTGCAAAATGTTCAAGAATTTCCAGGAAACTTCTAAAAGAAAGAATAGTGAGCAGGGATTTGCACTAAAGTACTAGGATACAGCAGTAAATAAATCAACCAAAATCCTTGCCCTACTGGAACTTGTATTATAATGGAAAAAGAAAAGTAATAAACAAGTAAACAAGCACTCTTTAATAGCAGTGGTCTGCAAACTGTGGCCCAAGGGTCAAACTTCAGTGGCTGCCTACCTTTATAAATAAAGTTTTACTGAAAACATAGCTATGCCCCATTTGTTTCTGTATTTTCAATGGCTGCTTTCAAAGGCAGAGCTGAGCTGCAACAGAGACTTTATGATTCACAAAGCCTAAACTATTTACTATAATGGCTCTTTATAGAAAAAGTTTGCCAATGCTGGCTTATAGATACACTATTATAAATACAGGTAGAAAAAAATAGAGATACACATGGTTTCTTATCTTTTCCTTCTATTCTCCCTCCTCCATTCACTATTCTGCCTCTGGCTGCTATAGAGTCCAGAGTGGCAGGTAAGAGTTGAGGAGGATGGTAAAGAGAGTGGCAAAAAAGATCTCTCTTGAGTCTTGACTGGTACAGCTATAACTGTACAAATGGCAGTCATGCCATTTTATTTTATGTATTTTAATTGTATTATTTTCTACTTGTTCCTTGAAATGATTATATCACAGGAAGCCTAATTATATACATCAAAGGGAAAACGGTACAATAAAATGCATTTTATAGATGGGTAGACTTAAAACATTGAGGATTAAGATAAATGATTTGGGATCTCATGTTGTAGCAGTGGAAAAAAGCTGACAGAATAAACAGGGGTGGTAGCCAAAATCAAAGAATGTCTTTCGCATTTGGTTTTATCTTCTCTTTTACAGAGTGCTTTCAGAGATCTCTGCCAGTGCCTGCTTGTCTTAAAAAGCTGCCAGGAGACACAGTGGCAGAGTGGAAACAACAGAAGCTGCTGCCAGCAGATCTGGGGTGTAACTGTACATCTATTCCTTTCTGGCTGAGTGAGCCTGTAGAGGTTAACTTCCTTGAGACTGAGATTGCTTAATTGTAAAAATCAGGATAATAATGCCTATCCCAAAAGTGTGCTTGTGAGCATTATCTCAGACAGTGGTCTCAACTAGGGGTGATTTTTATCTCCCAGGGAACATTTGGCAGTGTATGAAGATATTTTTGGCTGGCCCACCTAGGAGGGGTGCTGCTAGCACCTAATGGGTGTAATGCAGGGATACTGCTAAATATCCTACAATGCACAAGACACACCCTTACGACAAAGGATTATCCAGCCAAAAATAGTGCCAGAGTTGAGAAATTCAGATATAAGATGATACAAAAGTGCATAATCTCTGGCACACAGTGGATGCTTACTATGATAGTTTCATATCCCATCCTCCTTTAACTCATTAGACTAAAGTTACTGAATCAGCAGATTATCACTGAGAGAGTGCTGTGCATATTTATTCACTCACTGAACAAATATTTACTGAGAATGTATACCAATTACTGTCTAAGTGCCTGGCTCTGCTCCATGAAATGCGCAAGAGTAAAGTGAGAGACAGATATTAAACCTCAGATATAATGTAGACTACTATACCAGATTTTACACGAGAAAGATTCAGATTTCTTTAGGGGAAGTAAGCCTCAAATTACTGTTAGTCTTTATATAAAGGCTTAAATATTTGGGGATAGGTGTGAGGATGCTGCTGAGAGGATGAAAACATCAAGTGTGTAAAGATGCATTCTAAACCTGCAGCAACGATAATATATGCAAGGTATGATCACGTCTCAAAGTACTCCCTTCCTCCCTCAGCAGTTAATGCAAGAGACACACCAAGTTGGGCAACAAGAAAACATCTATTGAAACTCTCCTTGGCTTCACCAAGAAAATTAAACATCATTTAAACATTAGTAACACCTGGTTTCTTTTAATGTGCATGCTCCACAGGAAGTATGGAAAGGACAGCCTCTGAAGATTAACAGGGTTCACACCCTAGTTCTCCCAACTTCCTTGGTGTAAGACCTTCGGCAAACTACTTAACCACTACTAGCTTTAGTATTTTCATCTGTTAGGTGGGAATAATAATAAGCAACTACACCTCACAGGATTTTATGGGGATCCTGTAAAGCACCTGGCACTTAGTCATTTAATATGTAATAGATACTATTTTTGTTATTAGATTATATTTACCTAGCCTTAAGGATTTAATCAAGTATATTCTTTTTTTCTGTCAAATGGCCATTTATGTTTATTTACCTTGCACTTTTTACAGCAAAGACCATCACTGCACTGAGAGTCTTGAGTCAAGGTGCATTTCTTACAACACTCTGCTCCTTCAAGGACACATTCCTAAGAAATAAAGCATCAGAAAATGGTGTCACTTTCCTGAAAGTAAAAGAATGTTTCCAAAATAAATGTACAAACTCACAATAATAATCTTTCTTCCACAAATCCTATAAAATTTCCAGGCATGACACTTGTTCCAGTGTGTGGACCTGGAATGACCCTGAATTACCTAGAATATATCAACAAAACAACCAGAGACTTACGGCTGGGGTTCCACAGTCACACTCCTCTCCAGTTTCAATGAAGCCATTGCCACACTCAGGAGGATCAAGAAGCTGTGGGAGGAAAACCAAAAAGTGAACTAAAATATAGAAAATTCAACATCGAAGACTTTGAGAGACCCTAAGTGCCATATCCAAATACACCTGCCCTGTCAGTCATTCCAAAATATAGTTTTATTTTCCTAAACTAGAAAACATGACTTCAGAACTTGGAACGTTAGAACAGAAGTGTCTACACACCACATAGGGTCTGACAAACATCTTCAACATTAAAGATGATCTAACCATTCACTAAAATCAAACCAGACTCTCTCCTGAAAATTCATTTGAAACCGGAAGTGGTGAATCTGGAGTCAGATGTATAAATTAAAATCCTGGCTCAATTACTTATCTCGAGTAAACTACTTAACATCTTAGAGACCTTAATACCCAAAACAGGAATAATAATAATATTAGTTGTCCACCTACATCAGAAAATTGTTGTGAGGGTTAAGTTTAGTCATCTGTGAAAAACCTTTTATTACTATATCTCCTTCTGATACAGGAAACTATTTCATAGACAATGAGAAAAGCATCAAACAATTAGTATATCCATTGATCTACTTAACATAAAATACAGCTCCTCCTATTAAGATAGTTTTGCAGAGAACAAAAATTAAATTTGCCCCAGAGATTGAAGCAAATTTTGACTGGTCCAAGAGTATGTTTTAGGTCTGTTTTATTGTTTAGCTCTTCATCAATTTTGTTCTCTTTCGAATATAATGTATCCTATGGTGATATGCAAATTAGTAAATAATTGTTATATGCCAGATATATAATAATCAAAAGCTAATAAAAGTTTACATATTATAGAATTAAAATGTACACACACCAGTAAACAGATGGACATACACACACACACACACACATACATTTTCATAACTAGAGGGAAAAAAACAACAAAATAAAATATACAACAACAAAACCCACTTGATTTTAAACATTCTCTCTTCTACAAATGAATCAACTTTTGTCTTTACTTCATTTTTGGTTGAAAGTGATGACAAATAAAAAACAGCCAAAATAAAAACTTATCCAAATTAAAACCACACTTATTCTCTTACTCTGGGTTTACAATAATCAATTATTTTGGTAAAAATACTTGAACTGTTTAGTATTTGTGGCAGCAGCGATACAGCTCAAATTTTCTCTTTCCAAGCTTTTGGAGAGTCTTAAAGTTGTCAATTTGCTTTTCAATGCAGTATGATACATTTTCAAAATTTCACTGTAGTGAACAGAAACTAAACCAGGTAAATGATTACAAAGGCAATGGTGCACAGCCCTGTGGTGCACAGAAGCATTTCTTAGTTCACATAATTCACAAGGACAAAGTATTCTTTTTTAACATGGAAAGTCTTCAAAATGCAGGAGGAAAATCTGCTTTCTAGTCAGTAATCAGAGGATATGCTGCAAGTTGTAAAAGGCTGTGACAAAGTCCAAGACTTTCTCCATTTCTGCTTTAAGAAGACTTGCTTTTCATTTGAGAAACACATAATTTTAACATACTGCTCATTCGGAAAGGCAGTAGCAGGTAGGGAGTGATGAGGGTAGATATTCCCCCATGTTCTACCTGTGTGAGTTGTGATTAGGTAACCAAAAAAAAATAAGCATCAAGAAAATGAAAAAGAAAAGTAAAATAAAACCATTTTTGTAAACTAACTTTGAATCATCACTTGGCTATATAAAAAGAAAACGGAAATTTTTCAGACAGCAAACGCTGTTATTTCTACCTGCTTTCTATTCTCATCAGAATAGCGGAAAAATGCCCAACATTAAAGCTGACTTTGAATATGCAGATATATAGCATCTCTAGAATATGCATGTACATGCCAAGTTGAAAAGCTCTCTTATATGCTTCAATCACTGAAAATATGTATTTTAAATATTTTAGAAAGGTTAATAATTAATATTATAAACCTTATTAACCACATTTATTACCTTAGAAGGTTTGTTGAAAAGGCAGGCACCACCTCCACTATTCAGAAAGTCATGATACTCTTCAATACTACACTGGGTGAACTTTTTAGGAAGATAATAGCTATAAAAGAGAGGAAAATAGCCAGGTTCAATTCATCTTTCTCGTTTGTGAATTAGCCTGAAAACTGAACACTTAAAATTGTATATTACTCTTTAAAATGACGGAATAAAGTCTACTTATGTACAACATTTATATTCACTCTATAAGAGTTTTATTCAATCAATATTATTTCTAAATTCTTCATTTGGGGACTAACAGTGGCTGTGAGTTGTTCATTATTTGCATATGCATTCAAGTTAAATCAAGGAGAGTTAGGAAAAATTTATTTCATAATGAGTCTTCTCTAAATATTAAAACTAAGCTAGAATCCAAACTGCAGAGCATTCCACAAAATAACTGACTTATAATATAAACATGTCAGGTCTTAAAAGTCAAAGAAAGACAGAGGAACTGTTCCAGAATGAAGGAAGCTAAAGAGACATAAAACAAAATATGATGCCTTTTGCTACAGATGACATTATTGAAACCTGGGACAATTTTGAATGACGGCTAAGAATGAGATAATTTTACTGCCTGTATTGTGGTTATGTATGAGGATGTACTTGTTTGTAGAAAATGCACAGTAAGGTGTTTGGGAGTGATTGCATACTAAGCAATTTATGATCCGAGGGACAAAAGCTTGTTATTAATCTTGCAACTCTTTTTCAGGTTTAAAGTTGTTTTTTTAAAAAAACTAATAAAAGGTCAACAGTAAAAAAAGATGTTGATTAGAGAATAATTTGGCAACATGCATTAAGAATCTCCAAAAGAGCACACCTTTGGATCTAGTAATTCTAATTTTAGAAACTTTTATTGAGGAAATAATTAGCTATGTGCACAAAGATGTACGAACAAAGATTTTGTGTTGGCACAATTTATAATAGAAAATAACAAAAGCATAACCTAAATGTTCAATAGTAAGAACTGTTAACCAAACTGTGATATATTAATAAAACAGAATACCATATAGTTATTAATGATCATAGTGTTGAAGAACACTCAGAAAAATGCTGACTATACACTGTTAAATTAAAATACAGTGGTATTTTAAAATCAACCATGGTTATTACTGGAGAAGTCACCAAAATTTTATTTTCTATATGTTTAAAACATTGTTTTACATTGAGCTTTGATAAAAAGGGAAAAAAATAAGAATGAGTAGTTTTTATATAGTCTCCCAGCATCATGCAAAAACTGTCTATTTATATCCTTACTTCTAAGCTCAGCAGTTCATACTTTGTTATCAACTAATGGAATTTATAAATAATTATTTACTCTAAACTCATTTTTAAAGTGCTTCCTGCCAAACTCTCCAAATAAAGCTGTCTTAGGTTTAAGTTGTTTGAACTACTTTATTTCCTTCACCTACACTTCCTATAAGCAGACAAGGAGGGTTACCAGAGACTATAAGAATTCAATCAACTTGAGCCATCAGCCTGTTTTACAGTCTCCTGCCTTGCAGCCTGCTTTTTCTCAAACTTTGTGTGGAATATGGGGTCACCTAGTCAGCTGGAACCAGCTCCTGACAAATCCTGGCAATTTACAGATGAACTCAAGTAAACTTTCCTCATTACCATGCTAAAGTCTCCACCACAGGAGCAACTATAGCTTCACTACCATAACTTGAAACCTACATGCTGGCATAATGATTCACTACCTGTGTCTGCACCCCTGGGACCCTTCACTACATCTAATGACACACCCGCTCCCTTTCCATTTCCCATAAAATCCTCCTGGTGATTTTCCTCAGGAAGACACTGGTCTGGAGAATACTCTCAGAGCCCTCTTTACTTGTGACTAGTAATAAAACTCCCATTGATCAAAACCTGCATTTTTTTTTTTTTTTTGAGACAAGGGTCTCATTCTGTTGTCCAGGTAGGAGTTAAGTGGTAGGATCTCAGCTCACCGGGCTCAAGTAATTCTCCCACCTCAGCCTCTGAGTAGCTGGGACTATAGGCATGTGCCACCACACCCAGCTAATTTTTAAATTTGTACAAAGTTTCCCCATGTTGCTCAGCTTGGTCTCGAACTTCTGGGCTCAAGTGATCCTCTCAAAGTGCAGGGATTATAGGCATGAGCCACTGAGCCAGCCAAAACCTGCATTCTTGTGAAGAGTTGTTTATTCTCCCCAGGCAAAGGGACCAGGTTTTTTCAGGTAACAAACCCTAACGAGACATAAACTTTATTCTTCATTTGAAAGTTTCTTATATTGTAGCACCAGACCAATCTGGTCCAACTTTTATGTAATAAGGTTATGAACTGTTTTTCAGTTCCCATGAACTCTCAGGTCACATAGCCTAAGCATGCTCAGGTGAACCAATGGTACAACCACAGGAAGAACCTAAGTGTTCAGCTAAGAAGCAGGGGCTGAATTAAGCAGCAGACATAATGATATAGTTTGGATGTCTGTCCCCTTCAAATATCATGTTAAAATGTGACCCCAATGTTGATAGTGGGGCCTAATGAGAGAGTCCTCCCATGAATGGCTAAGCATCCTCCAAGAGAAAATGGCTGGTAATGAGTTTACAAGAGATCTGGTTGTTAAGAAGAGCCTAGCACCACGCCCCTTCTCCCCTGCTCCCTCTCTCGCCATGTAACACACCTGCTTCCCCTTGCCTTTTGCCATGAGTAAAACCTTCCTGAGGTCTCACCAGAAACTGAGCAGATGCTAGTGCCATGCTTGTACAGCCTGCAAAACTGTGAGCCAAGTAAACCTGTTTTCTTTATAAATTACCCAATCTCAGGTTTTCATGTATAACAATGAAAAACAAACAAATATACACTGAATGACAGGATTCAGGATCCAAGCAGATTGAGCTCCGGCATCCAGTCCAGTGATGCCTCCCAGCACCACCTCATTACAAGATTCAATGAGATCATTTCTCATTACCCTATGCTTATAGAACCTGAGACAGCTTCCATCTCAGGGACACACTGCTTTAGGAACTATCCATGGTATTCTACTTACTTTCTAAAAGTAGTAAAATCCCTTTCACTTAATCTTTCTTGGTTACAACCATTAAGTTGATACCCACCAAGTGACCAACCAAGCCACCTGTTTTGCAGTAACAATATTACTTCCTTTTTTCCTGGCAATGCTTATACCCCAGTCAATGTTTTTATCACCTATTCCTCTAATCCATCCAACATATCTCTGCCAGAGTTATCAAATTTAAATTGGTCTCTTTTCAAAGTCCTTCTTTATTCTACTGGTCAACCTAAGTTGGCTCCATATTGCCAAAGTAAAAAGTCACTAACTCTCAGTGTAGGATTCTTAGAACTTGAAGTCTAGTTAAGATTCCTACAAAGGCCTCTCTGTAAAGGCACCGTCAGGGGTCACAGCCGAGCCCACCTTCCTGCCCACTGCAGAGCTGGGAGGAAGCTCAGTCTGTTCTCCAACACTTGGCAGTGACAGTAAACTCACTCTCCCACAGTGAAGCTTTTTAAATATATGAACAGTTGAAAATTTATGGATTGCTCTTACTTTTATTTTGCCACATCTGACTTCTAACTTCTGAACAGTTTTGTATTCTTAACTACATAAAGCCTTATTCCTCTGCCTTAGCATAGCCCTTCAAATACCTGAAGGCAGATATCATGTCTCTCCCCTACCTCTGCACCCAAAACTTCTGTTTCACAGAGTAATATAACTATTGTTTTCGGAGCATTCTTCAAATTTTAATTTTTATAGCTTTAAATATGACTAAAGGTATTCATTTCATTTTAGCATTACAGAACTTCAGAAAGTAGAAATGGTAGGGAATGTACCCATGGGAACAAATGTCCATAATTACTGCTGTTTGGTGATATTTGGCATAGATCAAATTATAGAATCATATGCCATGGTTTTATACAAAGGGCTTTTCTCTTGTTTGTATCTCTTTAATGTAAGAATTCCAATGTACACAGTTGTACGTATTTGAAGGTAGCCATTTGATTTCACTATGTATTATGCTTAGCGCTATACAGATTATCTATTAAGCATTTTAATAATTAGAATAATCAAATACACTATGTAGGATTTAAAAGACAAGAATCTCTAGTATGAAATTTAGTAATTGTTGAAACTTCAACTATGGAACAAGGACTTTTATCATTTCCTCTCATTACTAAACAAAGATTTTGGGAGAAATATTTTACTTTATTATTATTATTATTATCATTTTTTGAGACAGGGTCTCACGCTGTCACCCATGCTGCCATTCAGTGGCACAGTCATCTGCAGCCTCAACCTCCCTGGAATCAGGTGAACCTCCCACCTCAGCCTCCTGAGTAACTAGGACTACAGGTGTGTGCCACCACACCTAGTTAATTTTTGTATTTTTTGTAGAGATGGAGTTTTGCCATGTTGCTCAGGCTGGTCAGAAACTCTGGGGCTGAAGCAATCTGCCTGCCTCAGCCTCTCAAAGTGCTGAGATTACAGGCATGAGGCATTGCGTCTGGCTGGAAAAATATTTTAAACACATGTTTGCATATACATTCCCTCTATCATTTATTTTTCTTGTCATACATATCCTGTGAGTTCAAAATTCAAATACAGTCAAGAAATATTAGTTGAAAATCAAGTGTGTACAAAGGATTATGGTATGAGTCTGAAATATGTGTTAGTATAATAAGTAGCCTCTCAAAAATGTATAACTATCTAGTGAAAGGAAGTATAAGTACATATAGAATTAAGTTATAATGCAGGGGATAAAATTAAAATACATCTGAGATGGTTAGAAATGTGATTAGAGAAAAAAAAAGGAAAGGCATTCCGGATAAAGAGAATATACTAAGGAAATCAGACAAAGTTGGAAATTAATGTACAATTATGGTGAGCAAGTTTTTAAGAAGCTGAAAATCTATGTAGGATTATGGTTAGCAAATCAAAAAACCTAGAAACTTCTGTACAATTATAGTAAGCAAACCAATCATGAATAGTAGGAGAAAAGGAGACTGCAAACGAGAATGAAGAAAGATTATGGGCATCTAAATACTGAAGTTAAGAATTTGAACTGCATTCTTCAGACATCAGAGACTCACAACACTTCTGAGCAGGAGAATGGCATGTAATGAACAAGAGTTGAATATTTAAAGGATGGGTAAACCTCACAAACATCATGTTGATTAAAAAAAAAAAACAAAAAACAGCAAGTACCAGAAGAACACATACAGCATGATGCCTTTCACATAAACTGAAAACATGCAAACCAATGCTATGTTTTACTCCAACATGCATACATACTACACAGTAAAAATATAAAGAATGACTTGAAAATGATAGGAACCAAACTCAGATGGTGGTTACCTTGGCTGGGGCTGGGAATTAATAAGGTAGGACACAAGGGAGATTTCACCACAAATGTAGTATTTTACCCTTCAAAAGCTGCAAAACGGGTGTACAAGTGCCCACCGTTTTATTCTTCATACCTTTTGAATGATGATGATTCCAAGCTTACCATCATTACTGTCCTAGTTTAAACTTTGACCATGTTTTGCTGTTATTATTTTAGTAATATTTCAAATTTTTTTATTTCCATAGATTTTTGGGGAACAGGTGGTATTTGGTTACATGAGTAAGTTCTTTAGTGGTGATTTGTGAGATTCTGGTGTACCCATCATCCAAGCAGTATACACTCAACCCAATTTATACTGAGTATTTGGAATGTCATTCAAATAATAACAGCAAAAGATGGTCAAAGTTTAAACTAGGGCAGTAATGATAAGCTTGGAATAAAAGGAATAAATTTTTTTTCTTTTTTTTGAGACGGAGTTTCACTCTTGTTACCCAGGCTGGAGTGCAATGGCACAATCTCGGCTCACCGCAACCTCCGCCTCCTGGGTTCAGGCAATTCTCCTGCCTCAGCCTCCTGAGTAGCTGGGATTATAGGCACGTGCCACCATGCCCAGCTAATTTTTTTTTTTTTTTGTATTTTTAGTAGAGACGGGGTTTCACTATGTTGACCAGGATGGTCTTGATCTCTTGACCTCGTGATCCACCCACCTTGGCCTCCCAAAGTGCTGGGATTACAGGCTTGAGCCACCACGCCCGGCAAAAGGAATAATTTTAAAATTTATTTACAAAGAATAAAAGACAAGCACTGATGACTGAGTGTGTGAAGGGGAGGACAGTATAAAAATGAAAACATTTCTCAGGAGAGCAGATTGTACATTTCTCTTCCCAACTCCTTTTTTAGTGATACCACATTGTGAAGCCATCAGTGATGGCTGAAATCAGCCATTGTGGGAATATTTACACCTCAGAAATGTGAGAAAGCTACAAATCCAGGCTGTTTTCTAATTTTTGTTTTCAAGAGTTAACTTACCAGGGACACTACTGTTGATAAACGATTTAATTAGAATTGAAGAAATAAAAGGAATGGGAATTAGCAGGTAAGCCATCAAAAACAGTTTTTCCTCATTTCTTACATTTCTAGCCTAGATTCAAGGCTACAGAAAAAAAAAATCTCTGAGGTCTACCAACTTAACCGACATCAATCTTTTTTTTAATAAACAAGAGGTTATTTTGCAAAAATATGTTATATACAGAACCATTAAGAATATTTACTTCTGATGTCTCATAAATGCCTATGGCTAGATTCCATGCACTAAGCTACTGAGTGTCATATTCCTAACAACACAACGGCATGGCAGAGAATGTAAGACTGAGCTATTTTCATATAGAAGTGGCTCACCCGGTATCTCCCATTATGCACCCGGACCACGTATCCTCGCATTTACATTCACCTAAGAGAAAATTAATACACAAGCCTTGTTGTAATGTGAACACAGGTGCATTAAAGTACTTTCTATTTTAAAATCATTACCTCCATTTTATTCCTTAAGATACCTTTTAAAAAGTCATTCCTTCTTTCTAATTCATCTTATAATAGTTTTAATGTAATATACAACAACAAAAATATGCTTTGATTATATAATAAAAATTATATAATCTTGATTATATATAATTATGTAATAATATAATACCAAAAAGTCCTTGTATTTTAACAAATGGCCATATTTAAACCTTTTATTTAAAATGGATTAATTGAAAGACAATCAAATACCAATGGAATAGTGAAGAACTTTATGTCACCATTGACAGGATCTCAATTTCATAGGCCTTCATGAGAACTATTATACTTTCTTGCCCATTTTTGAAAGTCTCTGCATGCACCAAGGTTTCTGGTAGAAGGCGGTGTAATATATTAATGGTTAAGCAGAAGGGCTTCAGAATACTAGGGTTCAAAACATGAGTTTGCCATTTGATATAAGTGTAATCTTAGAGACATTATACTTGTAAGATCTAGTCACTTCATCTATAAAATGGGCCTAAAATGGGTGTCCTGTAGAATTATCTGGAGAATTAAATGAGTATCTAAATGGAAATAATACTAGTACTCAATCATTTATTATGGTAACAGTTGATTACCATACTCTGTAAATGGTAACAGTTATTTTATTCTACTTTATTTTATTTTATTTTATTTTTGAGACAGACTCTCACTCTGTTGCTCAGGCTCGAGTAAAATGGTGTGATCTCGGCTCACTGTAAGCTCTGCCTCCCAGGTTCAAGTGATTCTCCTGCCTCAGCCTCCCAAGTAGCTAGTAATACATGCACTTGCCACCACACCCTCCTAATATTTGTATTTTTAGTAGAGACAGGGGTTTCACCATGTTGGCCAGGCTGGTCTTGAGCTCCTGACCTCAGGTGATCCACCTGCCTCTGTCTCCCAAAGTGCTGGGATTCCAGATTATAAAAATAACATTTTAAAGATTTGTTACTAAAATGATGAAATAAAAATGGAAATAAAGACATTTTACATAGTATTTGACCATTCAGGGTGAAATGACGTTAGCTACTTGAAAAAAGACATTATTTATAAAAGATGCCAAACCTAGCATATTATACTAGATGCATATATTAACTAAGCTTTTTTTTTTTTTTTTTTGAGACAGAGTTTCGCTCTCGTTACCCAGGCTGGAGTGCAATGGCGCGATCTTGGCTCACCGCAACCTCCGCCTCCTGGGTTCAGGCAATTCTCCTGCCTCAGCCTCCTGAGTAGCTGGGATTACAGGCACGCGCCACCATGCCCAGCTAATTTTTTGTATTTTTAGTAGAGACGGGGTTTCACTATGTTGACCAGGATGGTCTCAATCTCTTGACCTTGTGATCCACCCGCCTCGGCCCCCCAAAGTGCTGGGATTACAGGCTTGAGCCACCGCGCCCGGCCCTTAACTAAGCTTTTTATCAGGTCTGATCCTGACAGGGAAATTCTATGTCTGTGACCATGTTCAGAAATGTTTTAAATAAAACATAATAAAACAGTATGTCTGAAGCCTATATGCCTGGAAGTCTCTACTAAACCATTTTAATGAACAAACTGGGCTTATTTTGTCCCTTATAAGGTTAAATTCAGCTTATATTTATTATCACATGGCTTTAAAGTTTATTATACATGCAGAAATTTCCATCTATAATGTAAATATTCCTTTGTATTACTTTGGGAAGCAACCGTTTGTGCCCTGGCTGTTTATCATTTATTATCACTAAAATTCTTTTCAAGCAACTAAAATCAAAAAATTTAACCTCCAAAATATTTTACAAATAGTCTATTTTAAATACAATTAACCACACACGTACTAAAACTTACCACTTGCTAACTTTCTTTTGTCTGAGATAATACCAATATTATGGGCTAATGACTGGGCAAGTGTAACGGCCATTAAATCAGTTTTCCCAAACTGAAAAACAAAAAGAAAAATAAAATGTATGTAAATCTAAATTGTCAGTGAAAAATAACAAGAGAAAAATGTCACAATATCTTTGAAAACAAGTAATTTCTAAGCAATTTCTTTAGCAGAGGCTAAACAACACATTGTAGCCAGCACTGAATATGCAGTTAGGAAAAAATGTTAAGAAACAAAAATCCATGTTTGATGAGGTCTTACAGGGAATACTAGAAGTCAGGAAATAATCACAGCTTTTGGGTTTTTGAAATGTCTATCTGAGTCCAAATTTCACCACTGAAATTCTTGAAAAATTCAATATTGGTATATAATTAAATCAGTCTTTTCAATAATACAAAATAAAACTAAATGTGTAAATTGTTTTTAGGACTTGTCCATCTTTGTGTTCACTTGTACTCCTGAAATTCCCCTCAACCGAAATTTAAGAACTGAGGATATATTTTTCAATTTGTAGCCTCTTAAAGATGCAAGTATTTTCTTTTCGATCATCTCTCATCAGTTTAGTGCCTTAGAAGTGAAAGGAACCCTTTGGAAAACCTATTCTATTTTTCTTATCCCCAAATCTGTTAAATACTAAGGAAAAACTATCAAATTGTGTTGTTAGGTGGCAAGCTGATGCTTCAGGGAATTGTTGAATTCCCTGGAAAATCATTCAAAGTGATAAATAGGGCTTTATTTTCAATGAAGGTAACGTAAAGATTCTATTTAATCTGTAAATAGCTTAATCTGGAAATTATTCTAAATATAACATGAATGTATAATAACTGACATATATTATATCACTATTTCCTGAGTTTATCCTCTGGTCACTTATAGTAACCATATTTTATTTATTTATTTATTTATTTATTTATTTATTTATTTATTTATTTAGAGACAGGTGTCAGTCACTCTGTTGCCCAGGCTAGAGTGTAATGGCGCAATCTAGGCTCAATGCAACCTCCACCTCCCAGATTCAAGCCATTCTCCCACCTCAGCCTCTCCAGTAGCTGGGGCTAGAGACACACGCTAACACACCCAGCTTATTTTTTGTATTTTTGATATAAATGGGGTTTTGTCTTGTTACCCAGGATGGTCTCAAATTCCTCAGCTTAAGTAATCTGTCCTCCTCAGCCTCCCAAAGTGCTAGATACAGGAATAAGCCACTGTGCCAGGACACCACACTGATTTGTAACATAGCAATCTAACATCTGGAGTGTATGAATACTGAGAAATTATCACTTAAGTATGAGGAAAACATTTTCAGCCATCATACCACTTTGTATTGTACAGATGTTCACACCTACTTCATTCACGCCTCCTCCTTTCAGCAACGAGCAAATCCCACCAATATAAGCTGCCCCGCTCCGGCTACTTTCAAATTGACTCCCCCTTTTAGAAAAGGAAATGAAAAATGCTTACTGTTCACAGTTCAAACATCATAGCATCTCTCATTATTAGTTTACTACATTTATTTTCACAAAATACATAAGATTTCTATACAATATATTCATGTTGTAAGGGAAGAATGTAAAAATTGTTTACACATGTAACCAAAGCAAAAGGTTTCTGAGGCATGTTTTCCCATAAGATTAATAAATATCTTAAATTGAAGTATATCTATTAAAAAAGAATTGGTTGATATGACGTACTCTGAGAAAGACACAAGATCACCTCTCTGGTATTTCTGCCAAAAATACATAACTTGAATGTCATAATGAGAAAACATCAGGCATTCCCATAATGAGGAACAGTCAATAAAATAATTGGCTTTTACTCTTCAAACGTGTTAAATTCACAATAGACAAAGGAAAGCTGAGGAAATCTTTCAGATTAAAGGAGACTAAAGAGACATGATAATTAAATGCAATGTGTGAAACTGGCTTGGATCTTGAGTGGGGAAAATTATCTATAAAAGATATTATTGAGACAATTGGTGAAATTTGAATACAGACCATGGATTGCATAAAAGTATTGTATCGATGTTAAATTTTTGGGTTTTAATAATTTACTGTCATTATATAAAAGAATGTCTTTTCACATTTAGAGAATACATACTATTTAATAATAAATGCCCAGTGTCTTCAACTTACTTTCAAAAGGTTCAGGGGAAAAAAAAAAAAAAAAAAAAAACTGAAGGATGGATGATTAGAAAGAAGGGAGGGAGACTGGAAGAAAATTATAAAACAAATGGGGAAAATGTGAGTAACTAATGAATCTGGATAGAGGGCACATGCAATTTCCTTGTAGTATTCTTGTAACTTTTCTCTAAATTTGAAATAATATATAAAGTTATCCCAAAATAAATCTTTTCTTCCTTTTATAACTGCCTTCAACAGCTCTGACTTTAGATGATAGATTTTTTAAAAATTCTACTATATATAATTTGCTATTACGTCAAATATGTATGCTATCAAAAAAAGAACATAAGAGTGAGGAAAAAACTAAAAATAAATTCCAGAAATACTAAGCTCTCATTTTAGAAGCAAAAACAGAGAAAACATTAACATTTAAAAGACAGTAGCTTTAAAGAATATAATTTATCTGCAGTTAAAAATGCTAAATAAAAGTATTAGCAGTATTTTTACTCAGCAAATGCTCTGATCCATTAAATATCTTGAAAAATTAAAACAAACATTAAATAATAAAATAACTCAAAATTAAATCATTTACATTTTCATGGCAATTTTAAACGATCTATACTTTAAAACTTTTTCCAACTCTATCTGCCATCTGCCATGTCAAATCCTAATTGTGTTATGTAGCAGAAAGGATACATTTCAGTCACAATAAAGCTTATTTAACATGGAATCAAAAAAAGTAATAGGTCATTACATAAGTAACGTACGAAAAAAGGTGAACTGCATCACTTTTCTCTTTGATAAAATCCCTCCTGTATTTCATAAACTCACGCAGGGTGATCATTGGATTTTCAGATATGGCAAACTTGTTGTCAGTCGCCCAGGTTTCCATGGCAACCAATACTATCCTGGTCTTAAGTTGGTCTTGATATATCTAGTATATTAATAAAATGAACACATCAGCTGTACATGTGGTAAAATCAAATAGTTTATGAACAGGACTACAAAACTCCTTTCATGGAAAATTCTTGGGTTTTAGTTAAAGAAAGATAACTTTCTAATTTACATGCATTTCCCTGGGGTAACAGAGAATGAAACTGTTGACTGAGTAATACCCAAAGAACAGAGAACATTTTAGAAACAAAAGATCCCGTTTTTAACAAATAATTGCATCCTATTCAAGGCTCCACCTTAATCTGTTTTCTGGTGCCCTGGAAAAAGAATTCATGCATGTGCTCAAAAATGGAGCAATGAAGACTCTCCAAATAATTTCCATACAACCTGATTGGCTCTGATTAGACTTGTGAAGAAGGTACCGGGACAGCCCTGTCACGGAAAGATTTGGGAAGTACGGAGGTAGAGTGGAATTACTTAGTTGCATCACTGCCACAGCACCAGACACTCTTAAGAAAAAGTACAACTGTTGTACTGTTTCTCCCTCGCTAGAAGTTACTATGAATACCTTTGGTAGGGGTATAACACAACCTTTATTTTTACAGTGTGAAAAAACACATGGAATTTCAGGTATATCTATGGATAACTTTGACCAGTTCCTCTTCCCAGCCAGAGATCAAAGTCAATAAAGTCTATTGCAATGTCACCCAGAACTTACTAGACACCTTGGCTGAAGTGCAACATAGAGCAGTGAAACTATATGAACCATATTACCCATTCTATTAGCAATCAGGAAAATAAGATTCTTCTAGGGCAACAATGAATTGGGTTGATACTTACTAAATCTGCCAAGTTCACCACAGATTTCGCATATGTATTCGTATGTACAACAGAAAGCCGATGTTTTTTAAACTGAAAGCAAAAGAAAACAAACAAGTGAAGGTCTTCTGAAGTGATCAGAAAATAATCATCTCATCAGAGAAAACATGGTGTAATTGAAAGAGCTCTAAAAATGTAAACAAATATATTTTCTGTAAAACAATGTTAGAGTCAGAGTTGAGATCAAGTTCTTTATCTGCTGTGTTGCCTGAGACAGGGCTCTTGAAAGACTGAGGCCTTGATTTATTCATCTGGAAGATAAATAAAAAATATCGAAACCATTCATTTCATAGGTTTATTTTTATCAGGATTGTTATCCAAAATGATAAAACATATGAAAGTCATCTACGAATTGTAAGACATCATACAAACCTAAGTAGGGGTACAGACAGTAAAAGTGGATGTGAACATTGCTGAAAGCATAAAAATTTGAAAGTTCTACACAACTTATTCAGCAAGAAGAAAGCTCAAAGATAAAGGTTACAGTGAGGTGGCATACAGGACAGATGTGGATCACATACATCTTTGGTCTCAAGTGTGTTTTAAAAATCAGGAAGTATCACGTAAAATCCAATTCCTGGTTTCAGTTAAAATTAGCATTCCCACTTGGTAGTAACTGGCAAACACTGAGAGGCAGGTGCTCCCCTTAGATGGGCCATGCACCATTCTTTTCACCACAGGCCTCACCCATCTCTACTGTCTTATACCAGGTTCATTTTGCTTATGTTTTGTATCTACAGATGTCTATGTACATCTGAATTTGTGACAATCTAAAATGCTCAAAATAGCTTATTTTTATTTTATAAAACTCTTAGAGAACAATAATATTCACTGGATTCGAATGGGTAGAAAGATAAAACTTAGACCTAGCTTGAACAAGGAAGCAACACTCAATCCTGATTTATCCTGTTATTATTATTAGCAACAGTAATAATTAAGATCTAAGTTATTTCCATATATTTAAGCATATATAAATAAATGACAAATTTTTCCTCAAATAAATAGTTCAAAGTAAATTAAAATGCACTTGTACTGGAAATTAAGATAAGTTCAACAGTATGTACCTTCTTAGTTTAAAACTCTGGTTACATGGAACAATTATCATTATAACTCATTGCTGTGCTATGAATGTAGTCATACTGCCTGCAACATGCCCATGAACTGAATATAAACACTATGGGTCAAAACAATTTGATTCAGCAACATAAAAGTTTTGTCAAGTTCTTATCCTAAGAATTTTCACTGGTTAGCTCTGTAAGCATTTCCATATGATTTCTGCACAGTAAGACTGAAACGGAAAAACTGCTTTCCTTTTGTTAAGATAAAGCTGTACCTTGCAAACTAAAATCTTACACAATTGGTGGCTCACTTTTTCAACATATAATGGGATTTCCATTTTTTTTAAAACCTTGTCATTTTAGTAAGTGGAGATTCAAATTATTAGTACCTCTACTAATCAAGTAAATTCAAAAGTTGATACTATGAGTCACAAAATACTTTTGACAACTCAAAAATTACCGCTAGTTATTTCCATCTAAGAATATTTCCTAATTTCAGGTTGTCGCGAGCTAAAAAATAAATTTTATTATACAAATACCTTCTTCAGATTACAGCTTGATGGGCCTCTTGCTTTTTCTAAACATATTTTTGCACTCACCAGTTTTACCCTAGGCACGAACAGGTTTAAAAACAACAGCAAATCCTACCATAAGATGATCATTCACAATCATCAGTTCAATGTACTTGGTTTCTTCTTCTACATTACGAGGATATCGACGAAGCTGTAATACAGTAAAAGAAAAAGCACCTAACTCAGACCTCTAAACTTGGCTGTGAAAAGCCACAAAATGTGGAAGAAACTGACAAAACAAAATTTTCCTTTTTATTCCTTTAGCATTTAAAATCTTTTTCATCAATTTGCTTAGTTTCTGAATTGGTAATAGATTTACATGGCTCAAAAAATTTAAAAAGTATAAAAGGGCATATGATGAATGTCTTCCTCTCACCTCTATTCTCTACCTACTCAGTTCTTACTGCTTCCCCCACAATGGGTACAGCAAGTTACTGGTTCCTCCCAGAAATATTTATGCATTTAAAACTAAGTGTGAATATATCCTATATTTTGTACTTCCATTTATTTCACTCCCTTCTGCAACTAGCGATTTTCATTTAACAATCTATCTTGAAAATAGTAACACATGAAGAGCATACTTTTGGATTTAATTTAAGGTCCTCTGAGTATCTGTGCGAGGGTGCAGACTGGAGTGATGGGCACTTTTATTATTTAATCTCCACATTGGGAGTGAGTCATGAGCCTTCATCTAGGATGGTTCAGGGGATCCCCAAATGACATGGGGTCTTTGTTTGAATAGCTTTGAGAACTCCTAGGCAGTCTTGAGTTGTCTATTAACAGCTAGCTTTCTCTGCTCAACAAGTTTTCTCCTCCTTCAAAATCATGATCAATGACTGTTATAGGAAAGAGCCACTAAGGCAGCCATTCTCCTTCTTCTCTATAGTTAGCCTATAATACAATCATTAACCAGGTATGTAAAGCTAACTTTTTCCTTTATGTCATAGTTCAATATAAATTTTCCAGAAAACATTTTGATCACTTACCCACAGTCCATTTTTGTGATAAGGGTATACAATCAAACCTAAATATCAATAAGTGTATGTCTGTTTTGAGTGGTGCTGTTAAAATAAACTTTTAAAGTGCTGCTATATGGATTCTATCATTGCTAACTGCATTCCTAAGCTTAAAAACTTTAAAAAAAAATCTCCTATAACACCACGGTGATAGGGAATAATAGATACAATTCTGAGGTTGGAAACCAAAGAATAACACTAAAGTGCACCTAATAACAAGAGTCATTTTTTTTTTAAGGGAGGGGGGTGTTTTAGGGCAATAGAACTGCTTTGCTACTTGTGAGAGACTAGTTAATACAGTAAACTTTTCAACAAGTCCCAACACTTTGCTAATGTCAGAGAGTTGTCATTCTGGCCCACAGTTTTGTAGCACTTCACCTCCATGGGACCATGGCTTTCTCAGAAAGAGTTATTAAGGACTTGACCACTTACCAAATGACTAGACGTTGAGATGTTTATGAAGAACTTCAGGACACATGTCAAAAGACTATTATCCTATTCTTTTAGTCTATAATTCACAAAAATACTGTTTCACATTAAATACTGATGGTAATTATTTTACCTAACTGGGACTCAAGATATAAATGTCTCTATCTTCTATTCATGTATATATAATATATAAACATTCATAACATTTATAAAAGTTGCAATAATAATTCGTGCAACACATGGGTCTGAGAGGCAATACTTGGTGTATATGTGGTTATAAGCACCTCTCTGAGACCAGACTTCCTAGGTCAGAATCCCAGCTCCACCACTGAGTAACCCTACGTGGCTTTGGCAAGTTTCTTAATCCTCTTATGCTTCAAGGCATCTTTATCAGTAAAATGGGGATAATATAGGTTGAGTATCTCTCATCTAAAAATCCAAAACCCCAAATGCTGCAAAATGAAAAACTTTTTGGGCACCAATATTACATTCCAAAGAAATCCTCATTGGAGCATTTCAGATTTTGAATTTTTGAATTGGGGATGTTGAACCACTAAGTATAATGAAATATTCTGAAATCCACCCCACTCCCCCGCTACAAAAAAAAAAAAAAAAAAAATCAAAATCTGTTGCAACAATTCTAGTACCAAGCATTTTGGAAAAGGAATACTTAACCTGTAATAATATCTTCCTCTTAATGTTTTTATGAGGGTTAAATGTGTTTACATAGTTAAAATTCTTGTAATAGGGCCAGGCACAAGGTAAAAATTTAGCAATTATTATTCACAATAAAAATCTGTCTGTAAACATATTTTATTTCAAGGTAATAAAAAGAAGATATCTGGTTCCTTCAACTTCTTGATCTTACTAAGAATCTATTGCCTTCATCTTGTATTTTTAACACCTATCCCTCTGCCCATACCCACAGTAGTAACATCTTGACTCTGATGGCCGTAACTTAATTTTTTCTAAACTATTTACCAACTCTATGATTCTGAGTAAGTCATTTTCACATGTCAGCCATCACTTTTCTTTCAGTGAAAGGGGAATAACAGTACCGACCTCACTTGGTTTAAAGCACTGTATCAACAGTTATTATTACCCAGTCCAAGATCCAGTTGAACAATCATAAAGCCCCTGACCTAATTTTATATCCCGGACTCCAAAATTGCTCAAGTGAGACAAAAACATTTTGTGGCTTCACAACCTGATAGATTCATTCCTAAGGGGTTATCTTCAAGGAAATAAATACAAGGATATATTCTGTACAAATGGACTCCAGTGTGTGGTACTTATCTGGGCAAGAAAAGAAGGCTATGGTAGAAAGAACCTGAGATGCCACAAGCAGGAGCCTTATAACCCATAATATGATGAAGAATCACATTATCACCACTATCTTGAATACTTACTGCATCTGTGAAATAATATGGCCCCTTTCTACTGCTTCTTCAGATCTGTCACCCTACGGTTTATCATACCCTGACAAATTCCTGAACTAGTACTCACCCTTTCACACAGACTACCTGTATACTCAAATGATTGGCAGCTGACAGTTGTTTTAAAATATCACGACACACCACCATGAATACATACCTGCCGTTTACTCCTTTTTGGTCTTGGCTTCAAAATAAATTTTGGTGGAGTAATGTTTACTTGTTGAAATTCTAAAAGGAAATTAAATTTAATTTAACTTAGTGCATTTGTCAGATTTCTTCAACAGAGGGCAAAGTTTTACCTGTCCTTCTTCTTACGAATTTTATAATATATAATGTTGTGTTTAATGATTACACAGAACATTAAGTAACTGTACTACATCAATATTAAATAAACATATAAAGGATGAATATAATTTGCTAAATCTAGAACATTATTTCTGTTCTAATTTATCTCAAAGAAATTTTCATATTTCTTCAATCAATACCATTACATAGGAATCTTCTAAACAGCCAACTTGACTTTCACTTCCAATAGCAAAATAAAGAAGAGAAGCAATAAGAAGAAAGTAGAATAAATAATCACATATTCATAGGTTCACAGTTTATTAAGAACTTACTATAGGACACCAAAGTTTTGAGTTCCTTTTTTCAATTAATTTACATTCTTCTTTGCCCATAACCAAATTAATCTCAAGTTTTATCTGCTCCTGGTAGCAGATACAAAGATTATATATCAACTGTTTATACACACAGATTAATCTCTGAATATAAGATTAGGTTATTTACAAGGGAGAATTTATTCTACAAAGTGAGAGGAAAGCTGCTATCTTTCCCTAGGGTAAAGATTGCCTAAAACTTTGATGGCTGACTGAACAACCTGAAAAGGCTTATTATAGGAGTAATGCTATACAACACTACAGGTGAACCATTATCATTATCTGTGGATACTGTTAATAAAGAAAAGATAATCATGGTCAGAGAAATCTGTGATCAAGAAGCTGAATAATAAAATCAGGGTAAGGAAATTAATATTCTCTGTTTATTTCATGTTCAAATATTCTCCCATCATGCTGCTTTTGAGAATGTTATGGCTTGAGTATATAAGGGATTTGGTGAGGAAGGGAATAAGTTCTAATTAACTAACCGGACAAACATAAAACTAATAGGACAAATTAACTAATAGGACAAAAACAGAAAAACAAGATCACAAAAGTAACACATCTCATATCACTAATTAGATTAAATAGACTAAATGTTATACCTAGAAGTAAAGATTGCCAGACTGGATTTCTTTTTAATGCAAGACTTAATTATGCTGTTTACAAGAGGGGCACTTTATATATAAAGTATGGAAGAAGATATACCTTACAAACATTAATCACAAGAGAACTGTGAAGAAAATATTAAATATCAGACAATGTAACTTCAGGGCAATAAGTATCTGGGAAGAAGGGAACTATTTCCTAATTATAAATGTATTGATTCATCAAAAAGACAAAATTATTCTAAATGCTTTTTCACCTAATAACAGTTTCAAAATACATAAAGCAAAAACTGACAGACCTAAAAGGAAAAATAGACAAATTCAAAGTTATAGTTAAGGATTTCAACAATCCTCCCTCAGTACTTGAAAGAAAAAAGTAAACAAAATCATATGGATATAGAAGATTTAATGCTATTAACCAATTTGACTAAATGGGTATTTTTACTTTTATTATTTTATTTTTTGAGACAGAGTCCCACTCTCTCACCCCAGTTGGAGTGCAGTGACGCAATCTTGGCTCACTGCAAGCTCTTAACTCCTGGGTTCAAACGACTCTCTTGCCTCAGCCTCCTGAGCAGCTGGGATTACAGGCACCCACCACCATGCCTAGCTAATCTTTTTTTTTTTTTTTTAGTAGAGATGGGGTTTCACCATGTTGGCCAGGCTGGTCTTGAACTCCTGACCTCAGGTAATGTGCCCACCTTGGCCTCCCAAAATGCTGGGATTACAGGTGTGAGCCACTGCGCCTGGCTTAACTTGGCATTTTTAAAACACTTTACCCAATAACTGAAGAATATTTCCTTTTCAAGAATATATGAAACATTCACCAATACAGATAATATGCTAGACCATAAAGCAAGTCCCAATAAATTTTATTTAAAGAAAATGAAATGACAGCATTTTCTCTCGTTGCAACTCGATTAAATTTAAAATCCGTAACAAAAAGATGCCTGAAAAATATAACCAAATATTTCGATACCAAGCTCTACATTTTTAAATAACCCATTGGACAAAGAAGAAATCACATGAGAATTTAGAAAATGTTTTGACTAAAGTAAATAAAAATATGACAAGCCAAAATACAAGGGATGCAGGCAAGGCACTTAGTGCTTGAAGGGAAATACATAGCTTTACATGGTTATATTAGAAAAGAAAAAAAAAAGTTTAAAACAGTGATCTAACCTTCTATCTTAAGAGCCCAGAAAAATAAGAGTAAATTAAACACAAATCAAATAGAAAAAAATGAGACTAAAAACCTAAAAAAAAAAATCAATGAAATTGATTAGCAGGGCTTGTCTAATAAAGAAAAAAATCACTACAGATTATGTAGATATTAAAAAGATAATAGGATATTATGAAGAGCTTTATGCGAATAAATTTGTTAATTTAGATAAAATTCCTTGAATATGACGACTATATATAAAAAATCTGAATATTCCTGTATTATTAAATAACTGTAACTTTTAATTTAAACTCTCCAAGAAAACCACAAAATGTAAATTAACCTTAAATGTAAATGGGCTAAATGCCCCAGTCAAAAGACACAGACTGGCATATTGGATAAAAAGTCAAAACCCATTGGGGCACTGTATCCAGGAAACCCATCTCATGTCCAAGGACACACATAGGCTCAAAATAAAGGGATGTAGGAAGATTTACCAAGCAAATGGAGAGCAAAAAAAAGCAGGAGTTGTAATCCTAGCCTCTGATAAAATACACCTTAAATCAACAAAAATCAAAAGAGACAAAGAAGGACATTACATAATGGTAAAAGGATCAATGCAAGAAGACGAGCTAATGATCCTAAATATATATGCACCCAATACAGGAGCACCCAGATACATAAAGCAAGTTCTTAATTATCTGCAAAGAGACTTAGACTCCCACACAATAATAGTAGGAGACTTTAACACTCCACTGTCAATATTAGACAGATAAATGAGACAGAAAATTAACAAGGATATCCAGGACTTAAACTCAGATCTGACCAAGCAAACCTAACAGACATCTACAGAACTCTCCACCCCAAATCCACAGAATATACATTCTTCTCAGCACCACATCGCACCTACTCTAAAATTGACCACATAATTGGAAGTCAATCACTCCTCAGCAAATGCAAAGAACGGAAATCATAACAGTCTCTCAGACCACAGTACAATCAAATTAGAACTCAGGATTAAGAAACTAACTAAGAACTGCACAACTTCATGGAAACTGAACAACTGGCTCTTGAATGTTGACTGGATAAACAATGAAATGAAGGCAGAAATAAAGATGCTCTTCAAAACCAAAGACAATGAAGACACAATGTACCAGAATTTCTGGGACACATTTAAAGCAGTGTCTACAGGAAAATTTATAGCAATAAATGTCTACATAAGAAGCAAGAAAAGATCTAAAATCGACACCCTATCATCAAAATTTAAAGAGCTAGAGGGGCAAGATCAAAAAAACTCAAAAGCTAGCAGAAGACAAGAAATAACTAAGATCAGAGCAGAACTGAAGGAGATAGAGACACAAAACACCCTTCAAAAAATCAGTAAGTCCAGGAGCTAGTTTTTTGAAAAAGATCAACAAAATAGACAGACTGCTAGCCAGATTAATAAAAAAGAAAAGAGACAAGAATGAAATAGATGCATTAAAAAACCATAAAAGGGATATCACCACCAATTCCACAGAAATACAAACTACCAACAGAGATTACTACAAACCTCTCTATGCACATAAACCAGTAAACCTGGAAGAAATTGATAAATTCCAAGACACTTGCACCCTCCCAAGCCTAAACCAGGAAGAGGTTGAAACCCTGAATAGACCAATAACAAGGGCTGAAGTTGAGGCAGCAATTAATAGCCTGCCAACCAAAAAAAGTCCAAGTCCAGATGGGTTCACAGCTGAATTCTAAGAAACATACAAAGAGGAGCTGGTACCACTCCTTCTGAAACTATTCCAAACAATCCACAATGAGGGAATTCTTCCCAAATCATTTTATGAGACCAACATCATCCTGACACCAAAACCCAGCAGAGACTCAACAAAAAAAAGTAAACTTCAGGCCAATATCGATGATGAATATAGATGTAAAAATCTTCAATAAAATATTGGCAAACGGACTGCAACAGCACATCAAAAAGCTTATCCATCATGATCAAGTAGGTTTCATCCTGGGGACGCAAGGCTTGTTCAATATACACAAGTCTATAAATGTAATCCACCACATAAACAGAACCAAAGACAAAAGCCACATGATTATCTCAACAGATGCAGAGAAGGCCTTCAACAAAATTCAACAGTCCTTTATGCTAAAAACACGCTATAAACTAGGTATCAATGGAACGTAATCTCAAAATAATAAAAGCTACTTATGACAAACCCACAGCCAGTATCATACTGAATGGGCAAAAACTGGAAGCATTCCCTTTGAAATCTGGCACTAGACAAGGATACCCTCTCTCACCACTCCTATTCAAAATAGTATTGGAAGTTTTAGCCAGAGCAATCAGGCAAGAAAAATAAATAAAGGGTATTCAATTAGGAAAGGAGGAAGTCAAATTATCTCTATTTGCAGACAACATGATTGTATATTCAGGATCGTCTCATCCCAAAATCTCCTGAAACTGATAAGCAACTTCAGCAAAGCCTCAGGATACAAAATTAATGTGAAGAAATCACAGACATTCCTATACACCAATAACAGACTTAAAGAGAGCCAAATCAAGAACAAACTGCCATTCACATTTGCTACAAAGAGAATAAAATACCCAGGAATACAACTAACAAAGGATGTAAAGAACCTGTTCAAGGAGAACTACAAACAAAGTAAGAGAGAACATAAACAGATGGAGAGACATTCCATGCTCAAGGAAATAAGAGAGGACATAAACAGATAAAAAAAAAAATTCCATGCTTATGGTTAGGAAGAATCAATATTGTGAAAATGGCCATGCTGCCCAAAGTAATT